CCGCCACCTGGGTGTCCGAGTGAGGGAAGGAGAGAATTAGTTGGGTGTCATCGGCATAGCTGTGGTAAGAGAAGCCATGCGAGCGAATGACAGCGCCAAGAGAGTTGGTGTAAAGCGAAAACAGGAGGGGACCGAGCACGGAACCCTGAGGAACTCCAGTAGTAAGAGGACAAGGTTCCGACACAGATCCTCGCCAGGTTACCCGGTAGGTGCGGCCATCGAGGTAGGACGAGAGAAGGGAGAGAGCAGAGCCTGTGACACCAAGTTCCTGAAGGGAGGAAATAAGGATCTGGTGGTTGACCGTGTCAAATGCAGCAGAGAGGTCCAGAAGGATGAGGACAGAGGAGAGAGAGGCGGCTCTAGCAGTGTGGAGTTGCTCAGAGACAGCAAGGAGAGCAGTCTCTGTAGAGTGGCCTGCCTTGAAACCTGACTGGTGGGGGTCAAGGAGGTTGTTACAGTGGAGATAAGAGGAGAGTTGATTAAAGATAGCACGTTCAAGGGTTTTGGACAAGAAGGGAAGAAGAGAGACCGGTCTGTAGTTGTTTTCTTCAGAAGGGTTGAGGGTGGGTTTCTTCAGGAGAGGGTTGACTCTTGCCTCCTTCAGAGAATTGGGAAAACAGCCAGATGACAGAGCGTTGTTGATGAGAAAGGTAAGGAACGGAAGAAGGTCAGGTGCGATAGATTGTAGAAGATGTGATGGAATGGGGTCAAGAGGGCAGGTGGTCGGACGGGCAGAGGTTACTAGGGTAAGAATTTGGTTAGGAGAGAGGGCGGTGAAAGAGGGAAGTGAGGGCGAAAGAGGTGAGGTCGGTGGGACGCGAGAAGTAGGTGGTGGGTTTGAGAAGGAGGAGCGTATGTCAGCTATTTTCTTGGTGAAGTAGTTGACAAAGTCTCCCGGAAGAAGGGTGGAGGGGGGAGGAGGGGTAGGGGGTTCGAGGAGATTGGAGAAGATCGAGAAGAGTTTTTTGGGGTTAGAGAATGAGGATTCGATTTTGGACTGGTAGAAAGAGCTTTTGGCAGCAGAGATAGAGGCAGAGAATGAGGAGAGGAGAGATTGAAATTCAAGCAGGTCGTCAGGTCGTTTGTATTTACGCCATCTCCTTTCCGACGCTCGCATGGTGGCTCTCATGGCACGGACCGGTTGAGACAGCCACGGAGCCGGAGGGGATTTGCCAGTCCGTCGTGTCGTAAGAGGGCAGAGAGAGTCTAGAGAGGAGGAAAGAGTTGAGAGGAGAGTCTCTGCAGCAGCGTTCGGATGCAAGAGTGAGAAGGAGTCACCAAAATCTCCAAACCGAGGCGTCGATGTCTCGTGTGAAATGACAAACTATGAGATCTTAAACGTAAATCTTCACCTCTGAACTATAATGAGCATTAAAAGGGTTTGTTCCTTATTGTTTTACTATATTGCTCTGCACTGATTTAAATCTACACGCTTCATAAAAAGATCAACGTACAAAGTAAAACTGTGATTAATCTTTGTTGCAGAGATTAACATCAGCTGGTCAATAAACGTGAGTCCTGAACCTTCAAAGAGCTTCAGAGGCTTCTTCTGCTGCTTCATATGTCCCAAACACACACAGACCTTCATACAGGACCCGAAAGAACAGAAGAAACACGCCATTTGTCCCACCGGGGCTCATGAAGAAGCTTAAACAGGTGGAGACGGGTTCAGAAGTAAAACTCCACCCGAAAACAAGCTCTTTAAAAGCTCTTAACTCCCATTTCAGACCTTTATTATTACGTCCTTTGTATCTGTTTATCAGGGTGGAAGTAAGCTCATACCGCTGACAGGCCACGCCCTCTCTGGTGACATCACACACTAATCGATGACATCACACACTGAAATGGGCTCCCTGTCTAAAGCCGATGGATCGATCGTTTGACCTGGCAGATTTTATAACATTCACAGTTAAATATGAATGAATGTTAATAATCTGTTGTCATGAGAAAGAAAGAGAAGCTCCCTGTTTACCCGTATTATTTATTATATATTAAGAGACAATATTTTGACGTAAGTTTGTTTACTTCAGGAAGTAAAACGTCTGCTAGCTGAAGTCAGTTACATCGGAGAAGCCAGATGGAGAGAACTTTATGCATTCAAATAAATACATTTAAAAGTAGCAACAGGGTTTGAAATTCTAAAGTGATTACTCATTATTAGTAAGATTTCATCTTTAGAAGAAAGACAAACATTCATTAACAACAACAACGCAATTAATTAATCGAGATGTGCGATAAATTAGTTAATTTTTTTAAATCTATTGACAGCCCTAATTATCATCCATCATCCGTCCATCAATCAAATTCCATCCATCATCATCCTTTATCATCCATCCATCATTTATCATCATCCATCATCATCATCATCATCATCATCCATCCGTCCATCATCATCATTGTCAATCATTTAACCATCCATCATCATTCATCATTAATGATAATAAAAGATAATATATCATTATATTTTGTATAGATTATATACAGATTACTGTTATGAACCCATTGATTCAGTGTTAAATCATTGATCCTCATTGATCACTGTTCAATCATCTGCAGCTGAAGTAAATCTATTGGACAAATGTGAACATTGATGATTTGAGAAACTTCAACTTCAACATATAACTCAACCGATCAATACTAATCCTTTTAGTGATTATTAAACTTTACTAGTCAATAATCATCCCTGAGGATTTATTTTATTTACTGTCCGGTTTTAAAAACTCATCTTAAAATGAAAACATTGCTTCAATTTCAAAGAAGAATTGCTTTAAAGATTGTTTTGTTTTTTCATTTGTGAAATAAAAACCATAACAGAAATATAAGAAGTGTGAAGATGATGCTGATGCTGAAGAAGATGCTGATGCTGATGCTGAAGAAGATGATGAGGATGAACTCACCTGGACCTGGTACATGGCTCCGGTTCGCTCCTCCGTCCGCCGGGGTGCAGGCTGGAGCTGCAGCCGCCAGCGGTGCACCACAACCCGGCTCCACTGCAACCACCCGCTCGGTATCTGTCCCGGGCCTCAAAGCGCTCAGACCTCCGCAAGATAACCCGGATGTCCCGGTCCGGGCCGCGTGTTTCCGGGTCTTCCGGTCGGTGCTCCGAGTTCCGTCCCGGTCCGCGGTCGGTTCGGTGCAGATCGTCCGACACCAAAGCACACAATCCGGATGTGGCTTCGCTCCGCTCCGGTGGAGGTTGGGATGAAAATAAACCGAGCGGACCCGAGCTGAGCCGAACCAGTCCGATATCAAGCTACGGGAACACATCAAGACTTCCTGTTTAGGATTTCACAACAAAAGAGTCGTTATGGAGCATCCGGATAAAAAAGTAAAAATGGTGAAATTCAAACCGAAATAGAACATTTACGTTGATAAAATATAATGAAATAGAATATTTACTCTTGAAGTGCTTTAACGAAATCAACGAAAATGTGTCAAAAACCCAAACGTTTTATTTTGTCTTTTAGTTTATAAAAATAAACTTTGTACTTCATCACAGATCGATTCTCTAGTTCAGAACCCAGATCTTCAAATTTGCATCCCTATGGTTTTGATCACATTATTAGTATAGAAAAGATAAAGTGTTTATTTTTATGAACTTTACCTTCTCTTGTGATCCAAACTAAACATTCTAATATTCGGTTTGTTTCACTTGATTGTCTCAGAAACATGAATCACTAAAGTAGGGGACTTATAATGATATATTGACATAAAATATAATATGTTGCTATTGTTTCAACCCAAAACCCAACAAATGAAAGTATGAGTGTATAGTCTAATTGAGATAATGTATGATTTTATTTTGAAAGCAAAGTTGCGTCTACTTACTTTTTTACTTGACATTCGAAACACCTGCGGCGATGAAGAGGAAAATATTAAAATATTGATATATATAATTTGGCTACGCTTCACTCCATCAAAATCAGAAATTACTTTTTGAATAATTAAGTGAAAAATAATCATTCTAAAAATAATTAAATTGATGAACTGTTTATTTTTAAAATAAACATTTTAAAATTCAAATATTGTATCTTAATTTTATAAAAAAGCAAAGAAAAATATTAATATTAAAATATTATTTCTAAGTTGAAAGAAATATAGAAACAGTTTTATTTAAATCATTCAAACTATCAAAAAGTTAAGACGGCAAAGGTAGGATGGGAGCCACACCCTTCAGTCTCTGGAAGAGCTTTTCCTCCACACAGGCTTCTGTGGATGGTGGTTACATCACATAACTGGTCCGGTCTTCTGTTCACTAGGCAGTCACATTTAATTTTCTTTACAACAGTAAGAAGCAAACATTTAAATAATGAAACCGTCTGTTGGTCGTGTTTACGGTACCCGACTTGAGGTCTGATGGTTTGGCTCGTCTGGACTGAGCGCTAATAGCATCAGTAATTCACGTAGCAGTTAGCGGTAATCGTGTAGCAAACTGTTTTCACTCTGACTAAGGAGACTGTGACGGCCTCCGAGGGCTTCAGCGAGGCCACTCTGTGGAAGTGATGCCTCTCTGGTCTTGCCAGCTGTGTTTTGAGTTGATAGCAGATCAGGTGAACCTGGGAGCCGTGAACCAATGGGGACACAGCTCCACCTGGTGAACCTGGGAGCCGTGAACCAATGGGGACACAGCTCCACCTGGTGAACCTGGGAGCTGTGAACCAATGGGGACAAAGCTCCACCTGGTGAACCTGGGAGCTGTGAACCAATGGGGACACAGCTCCACCTGGTGAACCTGGGAGCTGTGAACCAATGGGGACAAAGCTCCACCTGGTGAACCTGGGAGCTGTGAACCAATGGGGACAAAGCTCCACCTGGTGAACCTGGGAGCTGTGAACCAATGGGGACAAAGCTCCACCTGGTGAACCTGGGAGCTGTGAACCAATGGGGACAAAGCTCCACCTGGTGAACCTGGGAGCTGTGAACCAATGGGGACAAAGCTCCACCTGGTCAGACTACACCCGTCTCTCTTCACTGCAATCCAGACATCAACCACGGGCTGATCACGCTGCTTGGCACATCTTTTGGGGGGTTTATTTCAGTTACAGAGACACACCTTATACATTACAAACGATACGTTCAGTTTATTCCTTATTTAAATCATTCACGCTGCCTAGTTCGCCCTGTTGTCATGAGCAAGGTTATGACACCAGCATCTACAGAGGTCATGACAAAAAGCAACCTTAGTGATTAACCCCATGCAGCAGGTGTAAAGGTGCACCTGTAGCCACGCCCCCCGTGATGTCACTGGCTCCGGGCACACACCTGTCCATCCCAGCGTGAAGTGACAGGTTAAACCTCTAGATGCTCACGTGGAAAGTTAACTGAGGTCGCCGCCAACGTGCAGTCCATTGTCAGAGTTGCTGTTGCATTGTGGGTAATGTAGTTTTAGCCATTGAAGAAGAGTTTCTTCTCAGCCTGTTTGCCGACATCATCACTTGAGGTCGTGACGTCATAGTTGACCTTGGGACCTGCCTGTAGGTCAGCGGTGGCGGTCCGATCCTGGGCGGGGTCTCTCTGACCGCGGCCACCCTCACGGTGTTCTTCCCGTAGAGCCTCCGCTCGTACCGCAGCAGCTGCTCCCAGAAGCCGGCGTTGAGGCGGACGAAGGGCCGGCTCTCCTGCACCCAGCGGTGCGCTTGGCGCAGCGTCACTGCCCGGTAGCGCATGAGATACGCCATCACCAAGGCCGGGGACCGGCTCACACCGGCCGCGCAGTGCACCAGGGTGGCCCCCGCCCCGTTGCCGTGGATACGCTCGGCCACCCGGTCAAAGTGGTCTCCGAGGCGGGCGCCAGGAAGGTCGGCGACGGGGACGCGCACGCACTCCACCCCCGGGTAGCAGGGGCTGGCGTGGCTGAGCGTGGCGTTCACGATCAGGGTGATGTTCTTCCGGGACACCAGGGCGGCGTTCAGGGGGGCGTCGGCCCCACCCAGGAACAAGGTGGGCGTGACCTGAGACACCGCCATGACACCTGTCAGTCAAACAAGTGAGAGTGAGTCCTTGTCCCCATAGAGTACAAATACCACATTGTATAGGTGCTAAAACCCCAAACGTACAAGTACTAATACCACACTGTATTTACACTGTGTAATACATTAATACCGTGTTAGTGTGAAGGTACTAATAACACAATATAAATACTAATACCACATGTATGAATACAGACAGTTTTCTCATGCCTCCAGCCTTTGTGCTCCAGCCTTTGTGCTAAGCTAGGCTAACCGCACTCCTGTGTGTTACCTGCTGGTCGACTCCTCTCGTCTTGTTGTGTCTGCGTCTGGTCTCTGCTTTGTAAGGAGACACACACACACGCACACACACACACACACACACCATAGAAGGCCAGTTGAACTCTGTAAACTGGTCACCTGACTTGGACCAAAATAGAACCTTACAAAACCATCACAGGAAACCTGAAACTGTTTCTACTGGGAGCTTATCACTGAATTTAAATATAATCAAAATTATTAAAATGACAGAGGTTCTCACAGAAAAAACAAACAAAAATATTGATTGAATTATATAAATATAGCATTTTACAGAGGAAAGTAACCTCCTCTTATTACTTTAGTAATATTCTTGAGGAGCTATATTGTGCGCAGTCAGTCATAAAATAATTGAGCTCAATTAAAACGTACCTTATCTGTTAATTCATTACAGTATACACGTTTATTTATCTTAGTCACTTTAGTTGTTTACTCTACATCCACTGTTATTGTTTATAATCAGACACCATATGGGGAAAGTTGTGTTTATTGATACGTGTTAGTAAAGATCCTGTGGCGGGCGGCAGAACGCAGCAGAGGGCAACCGGAAGTGTAGAAGAAGAAATCGTCCATCTTGCTAACCGTTAGCCAGTTAGCTCCCTCCGTCATGGCGGAACTAAACCGACAGCTCCAGGAGTACTTGGCCCAGTCCAAAAGTGGCGGCCCCAGGACGGTCTCCCCGTCGGGCTCCAGCACCACGGTGGACCTGGACGACTCGGAGCCGGTGTCGGGGAGCTGGTTCGGCCGGTGGTCGAGTCCCTGGTCCCGGGGCCGCGGCGACAGTCCTTCTAGCCAGAGCTCTGGCGGAAACAGCGGCTTCTCGTGGCCGTGGGTCGGCCGAGCCGGACCCCTGCCTGCCGGGCATGAGCCGGCGGCAGCGGCTGGTGGCCTTCGGGGCGTGCGCGTCGTTCTCCGCGCTGTGCTTCGGGCTGTCCGCGCTCTACGCGCCGCTGCTGCTGCTCTACGCGCGTAAGTTCGCGTTGCTGTGGTCGCTCGGTTCGCTGTTCGCCATCGCAGCCGTCGCGGTGCTTCGCGGGCCCAGCCGGCTCGCCGCCGGCGTGCCCACCTCTCCCGGCGCCGCCGTGTACCTGTGCGCTCTCACCGGGACGCTGTACGCGGCGCTCAGCCTCCACAGCACCGCGCTCACCGCGCTCGGCGCCGCGCTGCAGGTCGCAGTCATCGTCGGCTACGTGCTGTCGCTGCTGCCGGGAGGAAGCGCCGGGATCCGCTTCGTGGGGGGGATGGCGGCGTCCGCCATCAAAAGGACCGTCACCGGGAAGAGCATGTCGATCTGACTGATTATTGATCATCGCCGTTCTGAACACTGAGCTGAGGACAGACCTCATGGGACCAAGTACAGATGTTTCAACCTTTCATGAATGTTTGTGTAAATAGTCACTTAATAAGTAAATAAAACAAGTAAACAATGTTTCATGCGTGACCTCTGACCTCTGAAAGCAGTATTGTACTGACTGTAGTTCGATTGGCTGTTTGCTCTTTATCATCATCTCAAAGTGATATCAGCGCAGTACAACATGGGAATCTTTATTGTCCACCTCAGTGAAAACACAAAACATAGAAATCTTTTACAAAAAAGCAACAACACAAAGTGACACTGAAATAAAAGACGGCTGATGATTCTCTACAATATTTTACATTAAAATTCTGTCTTCCCTGCTGGCACGGACCAATCAGAAGCCAGCGTCCCGCGAGAGCTGAATGTGTCACATGACCAAAGGTTTTTTCGGCCCTTCAGGACTACCGGCCCCGGCCGCCCCCCCTTGGTGGTCCTCTGGGTGCTGGTCCTCCCCTCCTAGGCACTGGTCCAGGTCCTCCGGGTCCCCATCCACCTCGCCCACCTCGACCAGACGGGCCGTAGCCCCCGTCCTCCCTCAGGGGGGGGCGCCCTGTGGAAACAACAGCACACGTTTCAGATTGTGTGATTGTCCTGACATTTGTCCTGCAGGTGGCGCTAGAAGTTTTTATAACCTGACCCACCTCCCTCGACTCCCGGGGACTCTCGTTCCCGTGGATCTCCAGTTCCTGGTCCGTCCTGCCAGGGACGCTTCCTGGGGGGCAGAGACGCCATGTCCATCCCCTGGAGGGAGGCAGAACGCTCACGGCCAGCCGGAGACGACCCATCATGCATCTGCTGGCCATCCCGATAGCCTTCATGACCTGCAGACAGGAAGGACCGGAGAAAAACGCCACAATAAGGGTCTGCGTAGAAGGTCAATCTGAACGAAACCATCGAGTAGGTGTTGATGATAGATCATGACATGATAATGATGGGAACAGTAGTCTGACCTTTGAACCCTTGACAATTGTATTATCCTTGAAAACCAGAAGAGAAAGTGACTTATGAAGCAGAAGCTCTCACCTCCTCTGGGTGGACCACCTCCTCTGGGTGGCCTCCCTCGGCCTCCGTTGTCCCAGCCTCTACCCAACTCCTCTGGGCCCTCGAAGCCCTCCTCCTGGCCCCCGTACTCCTCCTGGTAGCCTCGGGCTGCGGGCCGACCGGGGCCGCCTCCTCGGAACCTGAAACACGCAAGATGTCACGTCGGTCCAGACCTCCCACATCTGGCCCAGTGGGTTTCAGTAAAAATCGGGGTGCTCACCTATCGTCCCTCCGTCCTCTGAACTCTCCCCCGGTGAACCGCTCCTCGGGGCCCCAGCTCCCTACGTTGCCCCCCCCTCCTCGGTGTCCTCCCCCCCTGTGGCCCCCTCCACCCTGGTATCCCGGTCCAGGTCTCCAGCCCTCCTCTCCTCTGCTGTGGAAGTCCTGGCCGCCGTCAAAGTCTTGCGGGCCACGACGACCCTGCTGGTTTTCCCCCCAGTAAGCACTGGAGCCCCCCTGGTCCGATCCCGCCGGTCCCTGCCGGTCTGAAGGGCCCATGTGGTGGTTGGGCGGCGGCCCCCGAGGGTCTGAGAAGAGTCCTATGTGGTTATCAGATCTCTGATACGTCACAGACATGATGGACCTGAGAGGGGAGTGTGGTCTTACCTTTGCTGTTGGGCCCCTGCTGCCCCATGCCGTGCATCATGGGCCCCGAGTTCTGAAAGACCGGATCACATTTACACACGGCTCTCTGGTACAGGCTCCTAGAGACCAGTCATTACAGGGACAGGTCAACTCACCTGGTGCTGCATGTACGGGGGCCCCTGCATGCTTCCATGCGGTCCTTGCATGTTACCTTGTGGCCCCTGCATGTTTCCATGCGGTACTTGCATATTTCCTGGGGGCCCATGCAAACCTCCCGGTGGCCCCTGCATGTTGCCCATCCCATAGTTGTTTGGCCCGTTGCCGTGTGTCCTGGGTGGGGGCCCCATCATCCCACCCTGCGGGCCCATCATGTTCCCCTGAGGCTGCATCATGCCCCCCTGAGGTGGGGGACCCTGAGGACCCATCCCTCGAGGAGGGGGGCCCATCATGCCACCATGGGGCCCCTGCATCCCTCTGGGTCCCATACCGTGAGGCCCTTGGGGGCCCATATTTCTCGGCGGACCTGGGTGTCTCTGCATACCTTGGGGCCCTTGCATGTCTGGGGGTCCCATCATGGGCCCCTGGTGAGACTGAGGTCCAGAAGGTGGCCCCATCTGTCCAGGGGGCATGAAAGGAGGCTGCATGCCTCCGGGGCCCATTGGGGGCCCCATGTTGTTGGGCATCTGCTGAGGCGGCATGTTTGGTGGAAAGCCCTGCTGGCCGGGAGGCATCGGGCCCCCGGGCCCCCCAGGGAAGGGGGGCATTGGGCCTTGTCCCTGCGGGGGCCCCATATTTCCATCTGTGCTCATCCGGTCCATCTTCATCTGCTGCAGCGAGAACCAAACATTTTAACTTCAGATCCACTAGAATTCAATTAATCACATTTGTATTTTACCGTCAACTAAAATCTACGTATCCTGCAGCATCGTCTCACCTCCAGCATCATGGGGTTCGTGTACTGCAGAGACGCCATCTCCTGCTCCACCTCCGCCTGACTCTTCTTTTTGCCGTCCGCTTTCTGCTCCACCTTCCGGTCTTTGGACAGCTCTCCGCCGGGCGGCATCATGGGAACCTTGTTCTCTGCCCAGGCCTGAAGACACGAGGGAGAAGTCCAGGGTTTAGAGGTCGAGGGTCACTATCAGCTTCACGACGAACCTCTCCGCTGGTTTTACCTGTTGGAACTGCGCCGGGATCGGTTTGGCGTACGGGACTTTCTTCTGCGGGACCTTCTTGGCGTCTTTACCCATGACCTCGTCCATGCCCCAGTCAAGACCAGGGATGGACATCTCCACTTCGGGGGCCGCCTCTTTACCTGGAGACAACGGTCCAAAATGAGCCTAAGTAAAGCCGATCTGTATGCGAGGTCCACGCAGCCCGAGGAAGGAACCTACTGCTCTGCTCCTGCTCCATGGCGGCTTTCAGCTGCTCGGGAATCCCCATGCCGGGGATGGAGGCCACGCTGTTCAGGTCCACGTCATCTGAAACACAACCAAAGGAACGTGAGCAGCCGGGTTGACGTCACATCTGCAAACACCGGAGGGAGGTGGTGCTCCCCGCTCACCGTACTCCATGCCGTCCTCTGACATGCCGGGCAGCAGGTTCAAGTTGTACCGGTCCCTCATCTTATCACCGGGCCGGTTCCTCGTCCAGAACTTACTGAAGCAGAGACCAAAAACTACGATTAAGATCCACTCCGACATCCAGGTAGACCGACACACACACAGGGACCCCCACACACACGGACCCCCACACACAGGGACACACACACACACACACAGGGACCCCCCCACACACACACACACACAGGGACTCCCCACACACACACACACGGACCCCCACACACACACACACAGGGACCCCCCACACACACACACACACAGGGACACACACACACACACACAGTACCTGGTGTGGTCGTTGGAGCCTGAGCAGAGGATGTGACCCAGCGGGGTGCCAGGCCAGACTCCAGATCATCTCTTCATGCGCCATCTCCATTCCCTCCAACTTCCTTCTCCACCCTGGAAACATAGAGCAGAACATGTGAGACCCGGAAAGTCTGTCGAGGTGAGCTCAAACCCACCAGGTGCCACATCCTTACCCGGTGTGCCAGAAGAGCAGCGAGCCGTCAGAGCCTCCGCTGGCAAACAGACCTTCATGGACGGGATGCCAGGCCACCGCTGAGGAGACGCGAGTGGAGACAGTCAGAGATGCAGCAGAACCACCATCAGTACACATATAAGCCCCTCCCACGACATTCTGCTCAGACTAACCCGTCGCCTCCTTCTTGTGTCCTCGGAACACCTGCAGCTCCTCCTTCAGGTTTCTGATGTCAAACAGCTTACACAGGTGGTCGCGTGACGCCGTCAGCAGCCAGTTGCCATTGAGGTTCCACTTAACCTCCATCACCGTGTTCTTGTGGGCGTGGCTGAGGGAGAAAATGATGGGAGGAGCTACAGATTCAGTCATTTCACTGCACGTGCGTATCTGTCTGTGCACAACGTGTTGAAAGAGGCTGCCGGGCGTCAGACTGGAGTCTGAGCCTCACGAGGGACTCACAGCGTGGCCAGACTCTGTCCCGTCTTTGGGTCCCAGAATTTGATTGGCTGTTGGCTGTCTTTGCTACCAGAGACCACCAGGCCTTTGGTGGGATGCCAATCCACACACTTCACATCAGCTCCGTGACCTGTGCGCACACACACACGCACGCACACACACACACACACACAATGAGGGGGCGTGTCTCCGACTGGTCAGCGATCACATCAACAAGCCGATGAAAACAAGGTAACAGAGAAACCTCTTTTACAAATTAAATATTCAATATAATTTGTCAAGACATACAAACAGCACAATTAAGTTTTCAGAAGTTGTTTTGTCAGTAAACAAAGATTTAAATGTCAAATACTTATTTCATATACTACGTAAAGACACTTAAATATCCAAATCATAACTTTATTCCTCAATTTCAAGTAATGAAGTTTGTTGTATTTAACCAATAATCATTAATCTTTATTACACATTTGAATGAATTATGGGTGAAAAATGAAGCCTTACGTCATTTATACGACTTAAGTTTATTGTTATGAGAATTTATTATACCTTGATATTTGTTCTATAGGAAGTTAATTTATATTGAATTATTACAGCTGCATGAGTGGAAAATATAGGAGCATGTTTATGGAGTTAATCTTTTAATGTTATTGGAATTATCACTTGGTTTTGAACTCATGAACTTCCATTAAATGTCTATTTTGATTTAATGATTAACATATTATAATTCAGTGTGTTTTTATCTTTCGTTTTGTATTTTAAGATACATTTTTAAAACAGCTGTTATTCCTGTATTAAATGTTTTAAACAAACGTTATTAAATCAACTTTCAAAATGTAACATGATCTTCATTAAACCACGATTAGAGCCCAGGTGACCCCAGGTGACCCCGGCAGCGAGGAGCTGTGTACCTCGGAGGATCCTCTCCTCGTGGCAGCGCATAAAGTCCCAGATCCGAACGGTGCCGTCGTCTGAGCAGGTGGCAAATTTATTATCTGTTGGAGAAAAACTGAAGAATACAGACAGAGCGTCACCACGGTGACGTGATGGACACGTCCTCACTGGATCCTAACAACAACAATTAATGTCACAAGGTCTCATTTTTGATTGGTCGAAGCATTTGGCCGCGGGGTTTCCCCCTCCAGGTGCATTGTGGGGATTCACAGTCTTAAATCTGATTTGTTCCTCAGGGCTCTACATTGGGACCGAATCTCTTCTGATAAGACTCGCAATATTCAAAGTTGGAAACTTTCCACGGGAACATACGGGAATAAACTGGAAATGTGGGGAGAATTTTACTGCATTTACCATTTTGTTTTGTCATAAGAAGACATTTCTAATACACATTAAAAAAATTAAATTTTGGACTTAATCCACACACATCCATCCTACTCACTGCTGTAAGACGTTAGCGTGCGATATACAAATGAACTAAAGTCAGCTTGGCTTCAGTGATCCACGTGCCTGCAGCCTGCAGCCTGCACGGTCCGTTACGTGCTTTGCAAAACAACTTTTAGAACAATGAAAATTCACATGGAAAGTTTCTGAAACCTTCTGGCCCCGTTGCAGCCCTACTTTGCCTCCCGGATCTCACAAACACGAGACAGGATGAAGAGAAATACATTTGGTAAAGTGACTGTATATTTTCCATTAGTGTTCAGATGACATCTAATAAAAAGTGAAAAGTCAAAGTCTGCCGTTGGTTCTTTCTGCTCTAGATCGCTGGTGTTTGGACTCTTCTAAGCACACGATGGAGGTCGGGATAAAAAAAGAACGCCTCAAAGTGGAGCAGTAGACTTGTCAGAAAACCTGTCGCGCTCGAGCAGAGGTCACACCGAGGTCATCGGTCAGAGGGCGTTGTCATAGTGACGCCACTCTCTGGTCTGTGGACATTTTGCAGCCGTTACTTCTGCGTTTGAGTTCAACTTTTTATTGTTTGCTACCTGTGAACAGGAAGTGACCTCATCTGGACTGAGGATGTCATATACGTCTCTGGTAGAAACCTGTCAATCAGCGTGTAGCCCCGCCCTAAAGCATCCCCTGCTTCATGGCCGGACTCTGAACGGACCATAACTCGCTAAATGAACATCAACAAGATCAGCGGCACAACAGAGATCTCGCTAAGGCTCATGGGTAATGTTTAGCAAACAGTTTGGGACGTAGCTTCCTTCCACACACCGAATAACGAACACCTTTGGCGTGACGTGGTGCAGGCCGGTGGAGACGGAACGAGAGAAGAAGGGACCTTCTGGGCGGCCGTCTTGATGCGTACCGTCAGCGCGGTGAAGCTAACGGAGAAGAACGCTAGCGACCCACTGGAGGTTTACCAGGAACAACCCGAAGCGTTAGCAAGAGAAGACACTCGTCTCCGTAGGAAACAGCATTGATAGCAACAGGTGAGGAATTAGCCCGCTAAATAGCAAGGCTAACAAACGGCATGGTTAGCTGATCCGCCATGTTTGAAGTTACACTGGTTGCAGAAATGTCCCACGGCTCTGGAGAAGGTTAAGCTACCACGCCATTACAGCGCCACAGACTGAGAAGTCAGGTTTGCCAAGCGATGACATCACCCCGTACCACACAAAGAGCAGAGTTCTTTGTACCATCCAGGTGCATCATGGGAGATGTAGGATCCAGTGGCTTTGGACTGAAAGTTGGGGTCTGTTCCTTGTGTCCCACTTAACCAGTTAACAGCAGTAGACGGTGTGTGTGGGGGGGCGGGGGGGTATTTAGCTCCAGGGCAGAATTGAAATCTTTATTTACTCCTCTACAGGCGCCTGTTTGATGAGGCTCAGACGAGCCGTGGGGCCGTGTGCAGCAGCTCCACTTGATTCACTTTATTGATCCCCGCTAGCACTTTATTGTGGCATTATTCCTTTAGCGTCCTTGCCTACGCAGACCAGATGTTAAAGATAAATGATTGACTTTATTCAGCACAACAGAGACAAACAGCTCATCAGCCACATCAGGTAGAACATCAACAACAGATAACTGCAGTGTTGCAAGAGCACACACTTACATCTGTCCTGAGTCAACAACAACAACAACATGTGGCAGGAGGCGAGGCCACGCCCCCACGTGGCTGAGACACCTGAGGTAACTACAGAAAATGGTAGATTGGGTATAAACCTGGCTTCTCTAATGGCCTCCTTGTGAGCCTGGAACATCTTGACGTTGTTCATGTTGGACTGCCAGTACTTCACGTAGCCGCCGTGGTCCGCCGTCAGCATCCACATGTCGTTATGAGACCAGGTCATGGCCCGAACCGGACTGTCGTGGGCCTGAAGAAAACAGAAGGGACGTAAGTGCGACTCGGAGAGGGAGACGTGATGAAGATGATACGAGGTGGAGGTTCAGGGAGATGTTTACCTGTAAAATGGTCTCGAAGTTGAAGGTGAGTCCATTCCACAGAGTGAACTCTCCACTGGAGGCGCCAGTGACGAGACGACGACCTTCAGGGGTCCACTGGAGACCAACAGGACATACAGACAAGCAGTGAGGTCAGGTTTTTTTATTCCTACTGACAATGTTTCCACACTAAAGGCCACGGAGTTTCTCCTGGCTTACCCGGATCACAAACACGGGACACTTGACTTTGTTGGTGGAGGTTCGGACAAACTTGGTGGTGACGGCGTTCATCGGGTTGTTACACATTCCAACAGGAGGAACCAGCTGAGGAGACAAACATCTGGATCAGTCATCTTCATTGCATTTGAAGGTAAAACTAACTGACAGCGGTTGGAATGATCAAGATTCAGAAATGACGACGCGCTGAAAGGCAAGCGGATCGAATGCACCTTTACTCGCATTAAAAGTTCACCAATTTGAAAAAAATGTACATAAACGCTTATACACAATTATTTCTTTAATGGTGCAAAAGTGAAGGAATTATTTGGTCTCATAGAAGAGGGAGAGAGAGCGTCCGTGGGTTGAATTAAGCCGTGATCTCTGGACATTGATCAGGGTGCTGGTGGATATTGATGGAGCCGAACAGGTCCGTACTCACCTCGTTGTAACACCCCGCGTCCGGCTGCAGGGCTCTGAAGTCTCGATGGTCTCGCTGCCACAAACGATTCTGCGAAGCCAGAAAGAGTCAAAGAGGCCAAAGCTGCGCCGAAGCTGCGAGCATCACGTGAGCGAGCGGTTACCTCCAGGTGTCTGATGACGGACGGGTTGTAGTCGATGGTTTTGCGGTTCACGGCCTTTCGCATGCGTTTCCCGTCGAACGTGAGCTGCTGCATGGCCTGCTGCTGGGCGAAGTCCGGCCGCTTGTAGAACACCTGCCGCGGGGCCTGGTGCTGGAAGCGCGGCATGTGGAAGAACCGCTGAGGCGACCCAATGTCCGTCGCCATGGTGACCCGCTAAACCTGGCGGACGGCAAGACGGCGAGGTTAGTTCTGTGAATAGTTACTGGAGAAGCTTTACAGCCATAGAGGAGCACCAAGACGTCCCTTCAAGAGGCCTTGAAGCACCGCTCAAGGCAAGTAAGTACCATGAGATCCACATGAAGCCTGGAGCCCATACGGACTCCACACAGCTTACAAGTCCTCATGAACCAGAGGTGGACTGATCATACCAGGGATATCAATGTCAATATCAATATCACGGCCTTCTTTTGTTGATTAAACACATTCATTGATTCATTAACGTTGAAACGAGCCGCCAGCCACCTGAACAGCTGTTCACTGCCTGCTGGTCAACTCGCTGTAACTTCCAGGTGAGTTAGCATGTTAGCCGTTGTGGCTACTCGTGTTGCCACCAGAGGAAACACCAGCGGCTCGACCAACTTTACAATAAATTGTTTTCTTAACCAAAAACCCTGCAGACAGACAGCGGCCCTCTCTGGTCTCCTGTGTGTTTTCACGTGGCTCCGGACTTCCTTCTTCTTGTGATAGCGGGCGAGCTGCACCCAGCATGCAGTTCAGCACTCATTTAAAGTGTACAATTAGGACTGTTCATGTATCACAAACTCACTCATGTAAATATATGCAACACAACTAGCTCTGACCGCTGTAAAGTACTAGTTCAGACACCTGTAACGTTTTAAAAGTAGGGGGAAAAACCCAAACGATACCGATCACTATAAACTGCTGCATAAGAGCAACATTAGTAGTTACTTACTGATGCGGTTTGAACACTACAAGAGACTAACGAACGATTCTAAATGCAGTGATCAGAGCATTCACACAAACACATGTGTTTCTACATAATTATATGATTTATAATGAAGTAACCCATTTTTAACAGATCTGGGTAGTTAAAAGTGATCTGCTCATTATGTGACATATAAGGTCTAAAACACTAGAGTAACAACACACAATAAGTACAGATATAAATCTGCTGTGTGAGTTGAGATTAATATAGAACGACTGGAACCAACATCCAGATACTAGAATAAAGAGTCCACCTGCTGTAATGGTCTCCATCCACCGCTAGTAACCTTCACACCAGAGATGTTTAAACAGACAACAATCTGAAGTCATTGAAACAAACTGAACAGCACACAAAGCTCATCGTGTAGATTTATAACGTTTTAAACAGCACAAAGATACACAGCTCGCCCTCCTCCACTGGAGAGAAAAACGACATTTAAAAGACTCATGTAGCGTCACAGAAATACTCCCAAGTATTCAGATACTGTACTTAGTGGAAGTATATCATGGTTGTTAAAGTACAATATTTACGTCGGAGGTGTAAGTAGTACTGCAAAACGTACCTTGGAGATGTGAATATTTTAAGAGGCACGAGTAGCGAACTGTAGTTTGGTTACGGTGTGAAACACGAGGTCTCAGAGCTCCGTTAGCCGAGCATGTGGCTAACGGAGCTCACGCACTGTCCACTTCAAGAGGTTTGGACTTATAGAAATACTGATTTAAATAATAAAGACATTCCAGGAGTGTTTCTCTGTTTCACAGAACATTTCTCGGTTTAATCCAGAACATTTAACCCGGGAGGTCGATGCTAACAGCATTAGCTTAGCACGCACCGTTTAAACATAACTTGTGGTTACCTCGGGAGGTCCATGCTAACTTTGCTACAAACACGCCGTTAGCAGGTATCTAATGATGGAACTCACTAAGCGCCGCTAACTTGACTAACGTGGAGACTGATGTGCTACTTCGGAATAACAGACAGCAGGTCTCGGTTTAACCTTGTGGGATTTATCGGGGATGATCTTTGAGTTGTTTCAGGATTAAATAGCGGCCCGGTGCAACAACAACAATGAGCTACCGCTAATACAAACTCACCGACGACCTCCGCTGCTGAGTGAGCTAACTAGCTGTCGCTAACTGGCTAGTTTCCTCCGTACGGACTCGCTCTGAAGAACCATGGACGTCTCACACTTTATTCAACTCAACTGTCGAAGGTTTGTCACTTTAGCCACCAGCAGACTCCATCATGACGCCTTTTCTTCTCGGCTTACAGAAAGGCATGCCGGGAGATATTCGCAACGGGCGGGACAGCCGGCGTCATCCTACAAAGCATTCTGGGAAATTCATCTAATTATTTGTTTGTTTCAAAGATCATACAGCAAACAGTGGCCGGAGTCCCGTTCGGTTCGTTTAAGACACGTTGGTTCTCCCGTAGCTTGAAAAACAACCGTATGACGTCTCTTATGGAAGCTGGCGGCGCGCTGCGGCCTGTAGGGGGCGCGCTGCGGCCGGTAGGGGGCGCGCTGCGGCCTGTAGGGGGCGCGCTGCGGCCGGTAGGGGGCGCGCTGCGGCCTGTAGGGGGCGCGCTGCGGCCTGTAGGGGGCGCGCTGCGGCCTGTAGGGGGCGCGCTGCGGCCTGTAGGGGGCGCGCTGCGGCCGGTAGGGGGCGCAGAGAGCAAGGCCGCAGAAGAAGAAGCGAGTAGCGTTCAACGGCTCCCACACAACTTCTACTACAACTACTCGCCCAGCTGCTCGCGCCCGACTCCACCTGCAAGAATGTCGCTGACTTCCTGCCCGATAGGAAGCAGCACGTGAAGCTGGAAGGAATGTCTCAGGATCTCGCTCCATCAGCACCGGTTCCCCCAAAGCTGCTCTTCTCTCTGTACACAAACAGCTGCACCTCCAGTCACCAGTCCGTCAAGCCCCTCATTGGACTGATCTCTGGTGGGGATGAGTCCGTCTGACCATCTGGTGACGCCAAAACACCCTGGAGCTCAACGCTCTGAAGACAGAGATGGTTGTGGATTTCCGAAGGAACGCAGCCCCTCAACATCATCAGGCTCAGCAGAAGGTGTTCTGAACAAATTCAACCTGCCAAAGACGATGATGGTGACCTTCTACACGGCCATCATGGAGTCCATCCTCTGCTCCACCATCACCGCCTGGTACGCTGCAGCCACAGCCAAGGACAAGGGCAGGCTGCAGCGCGTCCTCCGCTCTGCAGAGAGGCTGATCGGCTGCAACCTGCCGTCCCTCTTGATTGATTACTTTATCAATGACTTTGACACTTCCTGTCTTAAAAAAGAAAGATATATACATCGAGTGACTTCTTTCTATTTAATAAATAAGAATACGTGAACAAATAAGTGAATTCCTTCTCATTAAATAAAAAAGTATCTAGAAATCCAAGATGTAGTGACGTCATGGCCAGGTCCGTCCAATCAGAAGAGCCGGTGAATAATGTGCACGAGCCTGAAAGCCGAGTCCAAACGTCTCTCCGCCGCCAACCGTCCCCGGTAAGTTTACCGATCTCAGACACACTGCCGTTGATCTATTGGACTCATCAGAGACGCATACCGAGACAAGTGTCCCTTGGATCTTCTTATCGTCCCACTTAAACGTCTCTAACGTCCCATGTCACCGGCTAGCTAACGCTAGCTAACGCTGGCTAGCTCAACCGTCACTTTGGAGTAGTTTTAGCATGTTAGCTCGTTTTGAATTTCAGCAAACGGTTAACCGTTAAAATGCCTGACAGTCCTTGGTGCTCTCACACTGCAACACTACGTACTGTAAATACTTTACTACTTTAATACTGAGGTTATTAATATGATATGATGACGTTATATATGAACCGTGTGTTTCAGTGTTCACGAGCAGCAGTAATGAGCAGCAGAAGCCGAAGGTCCTGGTGAGCTCAGTGTCACACACACACACACACACACACACACACACACTCTCCAGAGGTGTCTGGTCTCGTCGGGTCAGACTGGTTCGGATGATGTGGCACCGGCCACATGAACAACATTTGCTTGGTGGTTGGATGAATTGATCGGGACTGTGTATGTCCACTGTGTATGTCCCCTGTCCACTGTGTATGTCCCCTGTCTCAGCACCAGGGGTCGCTCCAGCTGTTTAGGACGGAAAGCGACGATTCTCCCCAAAGATATCTCAGAGCCCTGGAGGAAAAATAAGAGGGGGGGCCCCCCTGTGTTTGACTTCAGGGGTACCTTCTTTTCTCCCCCCCAATATAACGAGGGGGCGCCTTCTCTTTATTTTCTTCCCCCCCCCCCCCCCCCCTCCCCTCCTTGAAAAAGTGTGCACCCGAGTCGCTAGCGCCCCCCCCTTGTGAACCAAGAGGAAACATTCACATATTGCTGTGATGGTGCTGATGGTGATCTTCCTCCTCAGGATGACACGCTGCACAGACTGGTGCAGGAGTTTGGCTCAAACAGCTGGTCCTCAGTTTCTCTGCATGTTAAAGTGAGTTAACTCTGGTCACATGACAGAAAAGGGGATTGAAAGAGTCAGACCTATAAGTGCAATCAGGTTTCCATCCTGTCCGGCGCCTCTAGTGTCCTCACTGACCGCCTGCCAGTGTGAGCTGCTGTTAAATGTCCTCAGAAAGGGTCCTAACTGTCTTTCTTGTGCCTCAGGGTCAGAGGTCAGATGTGGAGTGTCAGCGCAGGTGGCAGCACATCAAAAACCCCGAGCTGGTGAAAGGTCCATGGACTCATGATGAGGATGAGAGTGTGAGATGTCACTCTTTAATCTGTCTCCAGTAGTGCACTACTAGACCGTCACAGAGTACTAACCAAGTCTAACGCGGCACTTTCTTGACTCTGGACTTGGCTGTAACTTGTTTACCATAACTCCTCCTCTGTGTGATGTCACTTCCTGTTCAGGTCCTTAAGCTGGTTCAGAAGTACGGCGTGAAGCGCTGGTCGCTCATCGCCAAACACCTGCACACTCGTAACGGGAAGCAATGCCGCGAACGGTGGCACAACCACCTGAACCCGACGGTGAAGAAGAGCGGCTGGACCCTGGAGGAGGACCTCACCATCTGTGAGGCCCACCAGCTGATGGGGAACCGCTGGGCCGACATCTCCAAGATGCTGCCTGGCAGGTCTGTAGCCAGCGGTACCTTCATCATCACAGTCCAGACCTCATCAGGAAGCTTCTCATCTGAGGTTCAAAGTAACATTGATCTTCTCAGGACGGACAACTCCATCAAAAACCACTGGAACTCCACCCTGAAGAGGAAGGTGGAGAAGGAGGGATATCTTCAGGACATCCACAACTCTTTTAGCTCCTCCGCGTCCTCCTCCTCACCCAGACCAGCATCCGGGACCTTGAACCCCCCCCAGGTCAATGTGCACCCATCACACACCATTTACATGTCATTTAGCTCAGTGGTCCCCAACCTTTTTTACCTCCCGGACCATCCGACGGAGGGGGGGGGGGGGGGTAGTAGTCGCGCGCTCTGTGTTCGCTGGTGGGCAAAACTGCCGCGCACGGTAAGAGGACAATTGTAAGAAAAACGCCTGGTGACGCGTGGGGAATCTGTCAGAGGGACGAGCGCACATATTAGGAGAACAGCCGGTCAATTTTCAAAATAAAACATTTTTCAGAAAAAACCCCTTTCTGTGGTGCGGCCCGGTACCAAGCGGTTGGGGACCACTGATTTAGCTGACTTACACCATCACACTGATGACGACGATGACTGTCTGTCCTCCAGCAAGGCGACAGTCTGTCCAGTGGGAAGGACGCGTCCAGCTGCTCCTCAAGCGACCAGACCAACCCCGCCCACCTGTGCCCCGTCTGTGTCCCCGCCTCCTCCTCAGGTTACAGCTCCTCTCTGAGCATGTGCGAGCGGACGGCGTTCATGGAGCTGATGGAGGCGGTACGTCCTAGCTGAGGCCGTTGTCTAGATGCCATTGAGAGTCAGAGTGGGTGGGGCTCATGTGTGGGAGATAAAGCTGCTGTGCCTCTCCACCTGCAGGCACCTGATGTGACCTCGGCACAGAACAAGGGCACCTGGAGCTGTGGCCCACAGGAAGTGACCTCATGCCTGGACCGACAGGAGGCTCATCCGTCAGTCATGGATCTGAGCCGGAGTTACGTAAGTCACAGCCGACTAAAGACACGTCCTGTTTGTAGACGTCTTGACATAAACAACGTGGTCCTCCATAGTGACGGAGTTGTTGTCTGCAGGTTGCAGGCGTGTATCACGAGGATGGAGGCTCCTTCGTCAGCACCACCATCTTCCCCTCTGAGGTGAGCACATGTGGAGACACTGCTGCTGTCGGTCCCGCTCCGACCTCCTGATGTCTGTCTGTGTCCAGCTCCACGGCCTGTGTGCTGTGGACGATCTCAGGCTGCTGCACCCGGTTCTGACCTCCACCCCCGACCGCTCCCTGAAACCCTCCACCAGCACCGCCCGGGACCAGTGGTATCTGCACTGCAGCCAGTACGTCAAGCCTCCTCCCTGCTTCCCTTTGGGTTCCACTGGAGACGGCGAGCTCATCCTCCTTCAATGTGTTCAGGGCCTCCTCAGAGACCAGCGACGCCATGAAGGCGCTGTGGACGCTGGCCCCCCAAACCCCGACCCCTCTGAAGGTCAGGAGCCAGGAGCAGGCTGGTAAAACAAGCTGTGGGTCTCCTCCGAGTCGGCTTCCACTTGCTGAGGTCTCTGCTTATTTGACTCCACGGTTCTTCTTGTTCTGCTGCCTCACGTGTCTAAAGGCTTCAGTGCACAGACCCGGGTGAGGGATCTGTCACGAGTCCAGACTTGTGTCCTCCAGGTCCAGGGAGAGAGTCTGCTGAGCTCCATCCTGCAGGTCCAGGGAGAGTCCAGCTTGGATCTACTGGACCAGGAGGGCTGTAGTTTGGGTTCAGGGGTGCAGAGAGAGTCCGGCGTGGTCCCGAGCTGTGAGGAGTTTGGCTGCTTCCCCCTGGATGGACCGATGGAGGTGTGGTGGTATCAGCAGCCGGTTGGTTACCTTCACTCACCAAAATGTCCTGCATATAGACGGAACCCCTTTGAGGTGAGGACTGTCCCTCAAACACTCTGATTTCATCTGTTAACATTATTTGACTTTGTATTCCATAAATACCCCACCAAGCACCACATGTGGATTCATCCACTACTGAAAATAGTGTCTCTGTCCCCTGCAGGTATTTAGTACTCTCTAATTTAAACATCTTTCAGGCGATTCCTCATAAAATAATTGACCTATAAAGTTTGACTTAAAAATATTATTATGATATAAATATCTTCTGATTTCATGTGTTTTCTTCTCCTTCTTTGATCCGTAACATTTGCATGAATGCATTTTAATCAGCTATTTGTTTTCCCGTTTTTAACGTCACATTGCAAAGACTTGTGGGTAATTCCCACAGGGTTCATTAAGGAGGCCACGAGGGGAGATGGGCCTTGAGTTCTCCGTAGGAAGGCGCAGACAGGAAGTGAGGGCGTGTTAAGAGACGGACCAGCGAGGCCTCCAGTGACTGATGATGATGATGATGATGATGATGATCAGGTCCTTGATGTTCTGTTGGCAGCTGAGCGGGGAGCTGCAGCTGCTGATGTTTGGGAAAACAGAAGATCAGATGAGTGTGACGGAGCAGGCCCGCCTCTACACGGAGCCCTGATCCTCACCGCCACCTTCATCCTCACCGTCATCATCCTCACTGTCAGCACCACCGTCATCATCCTCACCGTCATCATCCTCACTGTCAGCACCACCGTCATCATCCTCACCGTCATCATCCTCACTGTCAGCACCACCACCATCCTCATCCTCACCACCACCATCCTCACCGTCATCATCAGCACCACCACTTCTGCACCACCATCAGCCGGTGAGTAACGACAACGGAGAGAAACCAAAAGTTTAGAAAGCTACTTAAAATAACGTCAAAGTTATCATTCACAATATATACATAATATATAATTATTATATATTTATATATATATTATATATCAAACTAACGACTAAACTAACAAGTAATCGCTTTAGAAAGCGTTTGTTTTAGACAGTTTAATTGTATTTTAAAGACAAACTGCACATTATGTTGGAGGTGGGACTTGATGGACAGCGACGCGTCCTGTCGTCCTCGTCCACTTTGCTCCCAACTCGCCTTCTTTTGACGTGTTTCAGGTCCCAACAATGTCCCACATTTAGCAGGACGTTTTCAAAGCACTTCTTTTAGGGACACTGGTGGTCCTCTGCAGGTAGATGGAAGTAGCCTAGCAGCTAGCTTAGCCTAGCGGCTTGTAAAGTGCTCTGTTTGACACGTGGAGGAATTCCTCTGCTCAGTTCTTCTGTTTGTTTTACTTCCAATGCAAAACGTCTCACTGCGTCTGACTGACTGCAGCACGCCGCCTTCAGGGGTCAGGGGTCAACGCACACCGGGAGGAAACTCTAGAGATACACCACAGTATTAAGATGTTAGTACAGTACACAGGAGGCGATCCTATTGGTCTGTAACTGTCCCAGCGCGCGATGACATCACAGAATAAACTGACGGGACACGTTGCACCTCTATTATGACAGGTCATCATCAGAAGGATGGTGAATCATGAGTCAGCACTTTGATCTCCAGATGTTCACTGCACAGAACCTCCATCAGTTCTACGACGTGACCCTTTATTGATTTATTAAGCAGGTGATTTATTAAGCCTGTATTTTATACTAAACATGACATTTATTGGAGTTTTACTGAAGATAAAAATGTATTTTTAACTGGAATGTCTTTTTAAACTTATTTTTTTAAATATTTACGGATTTATTTTATGCCTATTTATTTCTTGAAGTCTTTTTTGTTTATGACACAGACACTTTATTTAAAACTAAATGTTGCACTTTGGATCAAAGCTAAATGTTTTGAAATAAACAGTAAAGTTCAGTGATTCTATACAGCGTGTAACCAAATGTTGATTGTAATTTATTATTTACGCTGGAATTAAATGTTCTCCACAGCTATTGTTTGGTAAAAAATAACTTACACAGAAAGTTGAAGAATGAACATGTGATAACTAAGGTATGTGGTGAGAAATAAAAGTTTTATTTTCACACTCCGATATCCTGCTTTGTGTTCATCACACAGTAGTAAATCCATGTGATTGCTACGGATCTCTAAGCTGAGCAGAACCACTCGGGACTGAAACTTCTACCACGTCGTCTATGGCAGAGGTCCCCAACCAGTGGGCCATTTGGTACCGGGCCGCACCACAGACAATATATATATATATATATATATATATATAGTTTTATTTTGGAAATTGACCGATTCTCTCGTGCGCTCGTCCCTCAACATATTTCCCAAGCGGTTTTCTTTGACATTTACAATTGCCCGTTCCGACTACACCCCGACGTCTTTGTGCACCACACCTCCAAGGCCGGTCCGCAGAATATTGTCCAACATGAAAGCGGTCGGTAAGGCAAAAGGGTTGGGGGCCACTGGTCTATGGGATCGTCATCTACAGGATCCTGTACTATGTGAATGTGGCTTGTGGCCCGATCCGATTGGCCAGCTACTCATTGTCTCTGCTTCTTGGGTGTGGCAAAAGAAAATGAATTAAAATCATACTTTTTATAGAGATTATGACCTTAAAAAAGATATTTAATTATCAAAGTCTTGGACACGAGCTGGAACTGAACTCTTAACACGTCAAGAACTTGAGACTCTTTGGCGGATCAGAACCTCAGATATGACCTGGGTTTGGAACTTGGACATCCACTGGGCAGCCTTGGTAGTGTGTCAACAGAAGTACTGAGAGCGTGGCCAGGTCAGTCCATCTGGAAGGTGGTGTTGATGGAGCCGGTGTGTGGAAGGTGGGGACAACTCTTCCTCCTGGACTTGGCGAGGACGCGGTGAAGGAGGCTGGGGGAGCCCTGAGGAGGCGGAGCCAGCGGCGCCAGGTTTCCATCGAGTCCGAGCTGCCGGCGGAGGCTGGTTTTCCTCAGCAGCCTCGGAAAACCAGTGCTGGGAAGTAAAGAATATAGTTTAGCATTAAATATATTTCTATCTCACGTTCAACATGTTGTAGTTTTTGGGGTATTATGTAGTTCAAACATGTCAAAACTAACCTTTAACACAAAGTAGAGCCATGTTAGATGAATGATGGCAGGAGGAGCTGGAATGTCAAGGGACTAAACGGTCCTGTTAAGAGTCTGATTGTTCGATTGTTCTTCATAAAGCAGCAGTGCTGGTTAATGTCTATGCTCCTAACTGGGATGATGAACATTTCATAAAGAAGATAATCTCCAATATTCCTACGCTAAACTCTTTACAATTTAATATTTGGAGGAGATCTAAATTGCTTAATTAATCTCAGTCTGGAAATATCAAACCCTACTTTAAAACCACCCTCAAAAATAGCAGAACCCCTTTTGGCCTTCATGGATCAGGTTGGAGGTTTCATAATCCCACTGATCAGACCTTTTCCTTCTACTTGCACCCACCAGTCCTACTCTCTTTTATTGATAAAACCCTCCTTCCTTCAGTGGCTAATACAGAATACTCTGCAACAGTAGAATCGGACCATGCGGCAGTAATTCTATTTATCATTCGATCTCTTACAGAAACCCGTCTGGTACTAATAAATAGACTCATTGATCATGAACAACCGAAAAGACCGTATATCTCCTTTTGTGGGAGACTTAACGCTGTCATGAAGGAAATTACAGCTTTTTCCTCATTGCAAAATAAATTCTGTAGAGAGAAACAAGACCAACAGCGATCTAGATTTCCAAAACCCAACAACACCCAAACTTTCGAAACAAAGATTTAACCTCCAAAAGGAGTACGACTTATTGTCGACAGGCAAAATTCATAAGGAATCGCCACTCTTTCAGGAATATCTTCCAGAAGATCCCAGAGATGTTGTCTCGCTAGATGCAGAGAAGGCATTTGACGGGGTGGAATGGTCATATCTCCTCAGGATTTGGGTTTTGGTCCTAGATTTGTGGCATGGGTAAAACTCCTCTTCTCCTCACCCAGGGCGTCACTCGTCACCAATAGATCAAACTTGGAGTAGATTTATACCGAGGTACCAGCCAAGGCTGCCCCTTAAGTCCTCTATTATTTGCCTCAGCTATTGATCGATTATCCAGTGCTCTTAAAGCACCCCCTAACATTAAAGGGAGTCACTGATGGGATACTCAGCATAGAGTCTCGCTATATGCTGATGATTTATTAGTTTATATTTCGGACCCGGTGGAATCTGTCCCTGCTCTAATTGAGATTCTTAAGCAACTCTCAGGATATAAAATAAATTTCTCCAAAAGTGAACGCTTTCCTCTAAACTCCACCAAACTCTTCTTTACTAACTTCGATAAGCATATTACGTCATTTATATGGGACAATAAGCAACCACAGATAAGTAAAGAAATGATGCAAAGACATCGATCTCAAGGTGGACTTGCTCTTCAAAATTTCGGATATTATTACTGGGCAGTGAATATACAAAAAATAATATCCTGGATCAAGCTTCCTCAAATAAGCTGGTGTCTAAACGAAGCCAAATCTCACCCACCATCGTCTCTTCTAGCATTGGTACCTTTCTACCCATCCCTCATCCAACCAAATAGATTCACCAGCAGATCTTACACACATGTTCTGGTCCTGCCCTCAACTGACAAATTACTGGGTGGCAAAATTCAAAGTCCTATCAGAGTCCCTTCACCTTGAACCCAGTGCTTTGGTGTTCAGCGGATTGAAGACCAAACTAAGTTTGAAGCAACACAAAACCATAATTGCTTTCTCAACCTTCTTGGCACGAAGGAGAACCCGGTTGGACTGGAAGTCCGCATGCCCTCCCAACTCCTCCGAGTGGCTGAAGGACCTGGTGTTCTTCTGAAACTAGGGGGACATCCTGAGAAATTCAAATCCACTTTTCTGCTTGTCTGTACTAACCTCCAACACCTCCAACACCGTATTCACACCGTATTTCTGGGTGGGGGGTTAAAATATATGGACAATACCATATTACAATCCTATACACACACACACACACACACACACACACACTCAGCTCAGTTATGTTTGATAATAATATATTTATTTTCTACCACTAAATAAATCTTCCTATGAGTGAAGAAGGATCCCTGTTGCTGTGTGTCGTTGTCATAGTTACCGAGCTCCACCGCTGGGGGCTGCTTCTGTCATTGTGGCCACCGGTACCGAACCCCTCCTCAGCAACATGGGCGGAGCTCTAGAGGAATCTCCGCCCTGCATGACAACGACAGTACACAGTGTGACATCACAGTGGACTGACAACGGAATTCAGAAATGTGAGTGTTACCTGGAGCGGCTCCACGCAGGCTGCAGGGAAGTAACCCTCCTTTCCGTCGCTCCGTTGTCCAAACCACCAGGCCTCGTCCTCCTTAAACAGGACCTGTATCAGGTCTCCCTGGTTCAGGTTCAGCTCCTTCTGCCAGCTGGACCGGTGCTGCATCACCACCACCACCTGCCAATCACAGTCAGCAAGCTGCTTCCTGCATCAGACAGACTCATCCCGCCCAGACTGGTCCCTCATTAGCTAAGCATGCTATGCTAACCGGAGGTAAACACTTTAGCTGACTGTAACACAGTTAGCACGAGGCAGATGGAGCCAAGCTAACAAAGCAGAATTTATTATTAAGTCACTCTCTTCCCATGGACTAACATAACGTTAGCTTAGCATAACGTTAGCTTAGCATAACAGCATTTAAACCAGCTCAGTACTACCAGACAGTACCTGAATTGATGGGATGAATTTACTAAGCTTTTGATCTAGCGTTTATTGGTTAGTCAGAAGACTACATTGACATGTCATCACTGTCCCTTTGACTTAATGTAATCGATTTCCTATTCAAAGTAGTTCCTCTGAGCCAGAGATCCGCTCTCCATCCCACCAGGAATCAGGGGGAGTTACGTGTTGGCTGCACAGGGATCGGCCTTAATCTGCTTTAAATAGCTGCTGCTCATCAGGCTGTAAACAAACACTGATTAACACACAGCGTTCAGATCATTTATCAGCAGATCGATCTGCAACGTTCGCTTCATTCTGCTCTGACTAATCGCCATCCTGAAACATTCCTCTGGCAGTTTGTTCATTTCGAAACGCTGCATCTCCACCTGGACAGCAGACCAGAACCCCAAGAGGTCTAGATGGATCATTGTGTAATAAACCATTCAGGTGGATTTGTTGAATCAACGATTGGACAGGAAGTCTGTGTGAAGTGAAGTGGACCGGCGTGATCCACCTCCCAGCCTCAAAACAACCCCCAGAAACCAAACAAAGACATAAGGATGCAAAGACCACAAAGAGACTTTAGAAGACTCCTGAAGCTTAACACATTGAACTCATCCTCTCTGATATGGGTAAACATAGATATTATGGGTTAATTTAACACGTATTATTTCACATGTGTTGAAGGAGATGTAAGGGATCGTTTCTCTCACTTCACCTTCTCTGCCTCCACGTCTGTGGAACGGGACCTGGACCCAATCCTGGTCCTTGTCCCAGACCTGCACACTGATGAGAGGAGCACCAATCAGGTCATCAGCGCTTCGGGGTGGAGGTGTTAGGTTACCTGCGTGCGAGGGGACTCACCTTGAGGAGAGAAGACAGTGGTGTAGACCTCAAAGTGCTGGTCGCTCTGCCTGAAGATCTGCTGCTGCATGCTGCCGCCTCACCCTGTCGCTGCGAGATACCTGCTGGTTCTGATCCTCACAGGGCAAATCATGATGTGGGCCCCGGTGACTTCATCACAATCACCTGGGCTGAGGCCACCGTGATGCGTTCAGGGTCACTCTGTGTTTAGCTCATTCTTTGAACTGAGGGTTAACCCAGTTAAACAGTCAGATGAGGTTTATGTAACAACTGTTCCTGGATCAGATTAGACCGGATTAACAAGAGGCTCTAAGAAAGGACACGCACACGCACACACAAGTAGAAGTAAACCAGCCAACTGTGAGGTATGTTTTTTATTCACGTTGATGTGTAAATATGAATGAATTCCCCGTTGACCATAAAGTGACCCCGAGTGGACGTCAGAGGAACTGCAGCTCGGAGCAGACCTGAGATCAGTAGAGCTTCATGGAGGCCTCAAACAGCTGGCTGAGATCGTCCTCGGTGTGAGCTCTGGGGGACAGTTTGGTCACTCGCTCCTGAAACAACAACCAACAAACACCTCATGTACATTCATGTAAATATTCTATTTTTATTTTTATTTTAAAATTGGTCGGCTTTCCAGAAAAGAATTTCAATACACAGGGCGCGTGTAACTGACAATACAAATCTTTGAATCTTTGGAAGCTTGTTGACATGATGAATAGCTTGAATATGGCTTCATAAAAGTATATTGGATATAATATAACAAACAGGTGCATTAGAAAGGTAAATGCAGGGTCCCCGGGGGGCCGTTTCAAGAAGCGGGTTTAGTGTAAACCTCCTACTTGAAACGGAGCCCTGATGTCTGATTATTCTCAGGGTCAGTGAAGAGGCCAACCTGAGGGATAGTTCCCTTCACCAGTGCCGGGACGTCCTCTCTGCTGTATCCCACAGCTCCCAGTCCGTCCTCCACCTGCAGGTCATACATGAAGTGACGCAGCGTGTCGGCCAGGATGGCGCCCGCATCCTCCCGCTTCACCTGCCGGATGTCTGCACCTGAACGATCACACGCGTGTTTATTTATTTATCACCAGCATCAGTAGATGGCTACTACTGTCCTCAGAGGCTTTTCTTCATCGTGAACAGGCTGACGTGTGTAGGGGAGCAGGTGTACAGTGTCAATCAGAACTATTCAACCCACATTGCAAATTAGGCTTGTTAGCAAATTGCACAATATTTCTGCTTTTTGCATTAAACAAAATCCGACAAGCTTAAGTAGCTCATTAAAACTATTATTACCAGGGTTTTCAACCAAATTCATCACATTTAATCACTACTGCCTGACAAGCATCTTCAGAAACCCTTCAGTGTCTGAAGCACTGCTGGAAGCCATCGGCCGACATTCCTCAGGACCGCTGTGAGAAGCTGCTGTGTGGCTCTGCATCACATCTGCAGCAAGTCACGAGAGCAAAAGGAGGCTCCAATAACTGCTGAAGATGCTTGTCAGGAAGCGGCTGAATCATTGAGGCTGCAGTTATTAAAAGTTTCCTTTTGCCTGGAATTTGGATGAAAACCCTGGTTCCATTGAACATAATTAATAATGAATAATTGTTTATTGCAAACAGCAGAGAAATTCTATATTCTGCCAATAAACCTGCTGTGCGATGGGGTTTGAATAGTTTTGATGGGAGCTGTGGGTGAACAGGCGCACACCCACCCAGAATCTCTGCAGCCTCAAGGTGGCGCTCTGGACACATTGGAGCTGTGAAGTTGAAGACGGCCGGAGCCGTGAGGACCACGGAGAGACCATGAGGCTGAGGACACACACACACACACACACACACACACACACACACACACATATTATGCTTAATATTTTTTAATATTTTAAATTTTTAACCTTAACTTTATTCCCTTGTTTTATACTAACCCACAGCCTTATTCTACTAACACATTTTATTGTATTACTGGTGCACTGCTGTCTTGTTGTCTATTGTCACACTGTCTGCTGTCACGCACCAACAAGTCAGATTCTTTGTGTGTTTGACATATTTTGGCAATAAATGTTTCCTGATTCCGGATGTACCCTTTGGGCTGTAGTTCAATCACTCACCACTAGAGGGTGCTCCACGCTGTAACCCTTCGCTGAGTGAGTCTTTACGTTGCCAGCGATTGGATACGACATCCCGTGACTGCAGGGGTCAAAGGTCACAAGTCATGCAACGGGAAACCTATGGGTGTTAAATATTCACATACAGGTATGCAACCCAATATACACACACACACACACACACACACACACATTACTTACACTTTGAAAACACATCAGAGCTCAATGTAAAAAGGATGTTCGATATCTACAGCGATTTGGACGGTTTACTGTCTTGGGAATGAAAGGATGATGTGGCAGACTTCATTTCTGTATGTCAAATGCTTCTTGATATCTTGAGTGGCTTCTATGTTACATCACAAGCTTCTATGTTACATCACAAGCTTCTATGTTACATCACAGGTCATTTAGCAGACGCTTTCATCCAAAGCGACTTACATCACACTTTAAATGGCTTTATCACATTTTGCCCGGGGAGCAATTAGGGGTTGGGTGTCTTGCTCAGGGACACTTAGACATGGAACATGGGGCAGCCTGGAATCAAACCAGCAACCTTGTGCTTCCCAGCACACCTTCTCTAACCCCTGCGCCACGACGACCCACGTCCCACAACCCACGACCCACTATGTATGCTCCTAATGAGACGGATGGTGTCTTGTGGGATCTCCTCCCAGATCTGTTTTATCATTGAGCTCCTCAAAAGTCTGAGGAGAAACCTGACGGCGTCTGATGGACCCAAACGTATCGTCCCAGAGGTGTTCTATCGAGATCGTGAGGGCCATGGTATCACTTCCTTCATCCTCCAGGTACTGCCTGCATACTGTTGCCACATGAGGCCATTGTCGTGCATCAGGAGGAACCCAGGATCTACTGCACCAGCGTGGGGTCTGACCACAGGTGGAAGGATTTCTTTCCGATACCTAATGGCAGTCAGACTGAGATGACGGAGAAAGTCAAACAGGAAGGAATTACCTTGTTGTGGATGGCACCATCTGATATAGCAAATTATTTGAATGATTTCTTCCTAAATAAGGTCCAAACAAGGCAGAAAATGGACAATACTGATTCTAATTATCTAAAGATCATACAAATAATGTGATGTTAGATAAGAGGTGCACTTTCCCCCAATAGTGTGGAGGAGCAGGAAGTAAGGACGTTGTTGAAGTCCGAATACAGATCAGTGGGTACTGACATGCTGGAACGTCACCGGCCTGCTAACTGCCTGTCGTTGCCTCAGTACTTGTACCCTGTGCAATGACAATAAAGTGGAACCTCATCTAATCTGAGCGGACTGTGTTTGCGATCCGTTATGTCAAATATTAGATTCACGTTTAATGAAAGGTGCTTTTCCCACTATCTGGAAAGCAGGTACAAGTATTCCCTTATCTAAAGATAAAGACCAGAAGATCACTATTCTCCCAGTTGTTAGTGAACCGATGGAGAGAATCGTCCACTTAAATACGGGAACACACGCTTATCGACATAACCATTCAACTTGTTCCGCCCTTACAGTAGTGACAACTGGCTCAAAGACGACTGGTGCAGTATTACTTCATTTAAGTGCAGCATTCGATGTCATAGATCACAATCTACTCATCCACGTTGTTTTATGCTGCAAAAACTGTCAGTCAGCTGGACAATGTTTTATCAGCTGAACTAAATATGGTTTTTATTGGATGAAACTAAATGAGTTGGTACTGAACATCTCAAATGAAAGTTAAATTACAAGGTACAAGTCAGTCAGCTGTCATGGGCAGAACATATTGACACCATAGTGAAGGAGATGCACCTGTCATGTGATCTACACGTAAAGGTCAAAGAAATGACAAACGGCCCCAAACGGAGCTGCCAGGTTAGTGTCACATGTCCCATAAGAACAAAGACGATCAGCATGAACCGTCGACCCTCCACGTTCACGCTGGAGAACCGGCTACATTTATCTTATATAACAACAGGTTCCTTCTCATTAGACCCCGTCAGCTGATGGAGGCCAGATGATGTTACCACAGCCAAAATCTAACTGTTCTAAGAGAACAGTTATTTATTGTGCCGTCAATCATTGGAATAATGAGTATACGTAACAATAAACAACACTCAGCTGACTGGATCATTACTAAGTGTGATTCATTCATACATTAAGATTGTTCCTTTCATTGGAGCAGTGAGCATAAATACATACATACATGCAGGTTTCTCACCACAGGTGAACTCCTGCGTTACCAAAGCCGATGCCAGCAAACACGCTGGCCAGGTGCATGCTGGACCGGGCCTCCAGGTCCCCGGGGTCCCGCACCGATCTGTAAACAAACACAGCAGACGGGCAAAGAATAACTTCATCACATTACACTTGTTACCGTTTCTGATTCCACTTTCAGGGTCAGGCCTTTAGGAGTCGGGACAAAGACGTGTACACAGAGTCAAAGTTAACAAGTCGCTGAGACGCTAAACGACGACCCGTCGGCAGTCGGGCTCATGAACAGAGCCGGCCCCCCTCTGACTGACTGACATCCCACCGGTCACTCCTTCACACTGCACACGTCACTTTACTGTCATTCATCACCTTGTCGTCACTCGTCACTTTGTCACTTGTTCGTTAGTGCACTTTATGCTTAATATTTAACTGTTTTAATATTTTACATTTTTAACTCTTAACTTTATTCTCTTGTTTCATACCAACCCACAGCCTTATTCTACTAAGCCATTTATTTTATTACTTGTGCACCGCTGTCTTGTTGTCTGCCGTCACGCACCAACAAGACAAATTCCTCGTATGTTTGACATATTTTGGCAATAAACGTTAAAGATTTATCTTTAGTCAAAGTTAACGCGTTAATCTGTGAGACGCAGTTTTGTTTCCTCCCGGTGTGCGTTGACCCCTGACCCCTGAAGGCGGCGTGCTGCAGTCAGTCAGACGCAGTGAGACGTTTTGCATTGGAAGTAAAACAAACAGAAGAACTGAGCAGAGGAATTCCTCCACGTGTCAAACAGAGCACTTTACGAGCCGCTAGGCTAAGCTAGCTGCTAGGCTACTTCCATCTACCTGCAGAGGACCACCAGTGTCCCTAAAAGAAGTGCTTTGAAAACGTCCTGCTAAATGTGGGACATTGTTGGGACCTGAAACACGTGAAAAGAAGGCGAGTTGGGAGCAAAGTGGACGAGGACGACAGGACGCGTCGCTGTCCATCATGTCCCACCTCCAACATAATGTGCAGTTTGTCTTTAAAATTGATCTAATGTGGTTTTTTCTAAAGATTAAGTATTTTAGTTGTAATGAATCTAGATGAATTAATATCTAAATGTTCTAAATGATGAACTCATTTTCTATGGATATCTATTGACAGCCCTAATTATCTTAAATGTGATCTTTTATTCTACTTCAATTTGAATTTTTTGGACCCAATTAATAGTTTGTTAATTTCCGGGATTTCGTAATATTCAGTTTTTTATGTTCTTGTGTATTTAAACTCCTCTGTACTTCACATAAAACGTACCGCTTCATGTACTTGGCGACCACGTGAAGCGCGTGGCGGGACCAGACGTCGCTGATGGGGTTGCTTCCCTGGTAGGCGGGGCGGGTGATGGGGTTGGGGGGGCAGGGACTCCTCTGGTTGTACGGGAGGGCGGTGTACGACTCCAGGGCGTGACTGCGGCGAATAAGAGTAGATCCGCCTTAAAACTGATCATCTGTAAGAAGCTTCTGTTCATCATCTCATGAAATCATTAAGAGTCCAACGTGTCAACAACGAGTTACCGTGGTTACACCGGACATCGGTTGCTGTGGTGACATGTCAGCCTGCTGTTTGTGTTTCCCAGATGTTGTCCTCTACAGATGTGCTACTTAGTTAATATAGTAAATGTATTCTCACTATATTAGATACAACCGGTACCCAGAATGCATCACTCACATTCCACGCGATACGGTTTAGTGCGCTCATCAAACACTGTTCCACAAGTTAGCAATTAGCCGCTAGTTGGAACCGTAGCACATAAATCAAACGTCGGCATCTGGTGTGACCGACCAGAGCACGTCGAAGCCGCTGTTGGCGGCGACTTTCTCAGGCATGCTGAGCGTGTGCGTCGGGTCCACGATGCCCAGGGTGGGGCGGATGGCTCTGCTGGCGATGCCTGACACAGAGAACAACCAATCACAGCTCATGAGGTCACTGTGATGTCACATCGCTCGTCTCGTCTTCTCCGCTCTTACCGGTTTTGGCTTTCAGAGGCTCGTAGTCGAAGATGGCGACGCCGGTGGTCTCGCTGCCGGTGCCGGCTGTCGTAGGAACTGAAGAGCAAACAGCCAGAGACTCTTGAATTAAATCACACTTATAGAGTAATCAAATTCATTAATGTGTTTATGTCCAATAGGCAGAAATGATTGAATCAATTTGAAAAATACAAATGTATCCATCTGTGTTTTTGCTGTTATTATTATTAATAAATGAATGTTCAACAAAAAATGGAAAAACAATTAAATCATTTCATTAAATTGAATATTAATATAGTATATTATTCATACAATTTTGTATATTTGGCTGCATGCACAGAGAATATTATTGCAAATTATTAAAATAAATAATAACTGTTTGTGACCAGTGATTAATAAACAACTACTTTCAACTATCTGAATTAAAACCAACAATTTATGAAATTATTGATTTATCAATCTGGTTAGGCATTCCTAAACTGTAATAACCCGTTTACCGTAGTTCCTTGTTACCTGCGATGAGTGGCTTCAGGGCGCCGGTGACCGGCTTCCCTTTACCGATCGGCGCATTGACGAAGTCCAGGAACTCGGCGTCAGGGTGACACATGTACAGATTGGCTGCTTTGCAGGTGTCAATCACAGAGCCCCCGCCCACTGCCACGAACGCGTCAAATGAGTCGCACTTGGCAAAGGAGATGGCGTCCTTGAAGCTGCGACAAACACAACGGTGATTCTTTGAATACATCAAATGAACAAACTCTCTTAATGAGCAGAGAGAAACTAATACGTATGTTTTCGTTTGCGTTTCATTCTCCTTCACGTCTCTACCGAAGCCCAGAAGGGACAAATCAAGCGCAGGCTGGAGACGTTTTATTTGTTTGCAGGCTGTAGATTCCCCACTAGATGGCGCTACAGATGTTTTTATTATATTTCATCAATAAACGTAACATTCAGCACTACATTTGATCAAATCAAACATTTAAAATAAAACTGACTTATGTACTTTTTAGGGCAAGTTAACGCACTAAGGAGATAAAACACACACACACACACACACACTGGTGTCTTGCTCAGGGACACTTCGTCAGGGTTCAAACCGCCAACCTTGCGGTTTCCGGCGCACCGGACAGACATTTACTTCTCATTACACGTTTACTACCTGACTGATGACACGTTCATCATCTCATCACCTTCTGAACAAACACAGATTTAAATAATACGTCTCATTAACTTCAACAGAAGAAAAACATGCTGAACGTGCTGATGTGAGACAGAGGAGGACAAAGTGTCTTTGCCTACATGAGGACACGTGTCGATGTGAACACATGTTACCCGACAGCCAATCAGGGAGGGCAGAAGCGTCACCTGGTGTCGGTGGGCTCCACCCGGACGCTGTCGTAGACTTTGAACTTGACTGCGTGCGTGGCCAGAGACTCCAGGACGGCCTGCACAGGCGGGAGGCGGGACAAGTTCTTGTCCGTCATCAGACAGACGTTCCGAGCCCCGAGGTTCTGCAGGTCCTGCAGGAGAACAACGCCCAGTGAACTTAGCAGAACATTCACAGCGCCTGTCACTCATGATGAAGATGTTTGGTTACCATGCCGATCTCTCTGCTGACTCCTTCTCCATATCTGATGTTGGAACTCGCCATCTGACGGAAACAACGAGCACAGTATTGACCATCGATACATTTCTATATTAATTCATAATTAATCCATTTCATTTGACGCGGCCTGGCGTGAACCACCTCGAAGGCGTAGTCGGTCTTCCGGACGATGCAGGTCGCGGCGCCGACACCTGCGTGATAAACACATGACCCGATGACATCATCATTCATACCACACATGACATGCCCTGATCAATAATACGATGAGTACCTCGGTGAAAGGTGTTGGAGTGGGCGGGACATCGGCACCTGTCCACAGAGCAGAGGACCAATCAGAGGGCAGCTTGTTATAAACAACACAGCTCAATGAAGATCCAGAGCATAGAGACGGTTCTACGGATAAATGATGGTTCCCTGGTTCTGGACTGACACCTGGTCCACTAGAGAGGTGGACCTGCGCGGAGGAAAGGTACTTTAATGCTTCCTTGTCTCCTTGAGCAAAGGGAACGCTGGACCCTCCTTGTGGTAGCAGTAGTCGCTCCTGTTAATCACAAACCCAGCTGGGCTTATCAACCGCGTTGCTATGACGACAACCGTTGTACCTCGACACGTTTCCTTGGCCAAGGACAAGTGGCTAGGAAAGGACACAGAGGTTCGTTTTGTTGAGTATTCGACCTCACAGAACCTTTGTTCTGTAAAACCGGGTCTCCGTGTTGATCTGGATCCAAGATCTTCCTACAGTTCTTTTAACGGAACTCTTAAAATCGGTGTTTTAAACGCAGGGCTTCGCGCTGCTTGGTGACGTCACCGCAGTTTGATGACGTGTGGTTTCTCCGACTTTCACGTAACTTCAGTAACTTTTGCTACGTTCAGGTACCTGCAGGAAAATGGCGCTTTGGTGAAAGTGTGTGAAACTCACGCCGCTCGCTCGAGCTGTCGAAGCAGCTGAACCACCCGCTCCCGTCCGACCATCTTGGAACAGGAAGTAAAGTGACGTAAAGGCCCGACAGCAGGACGCGCTGCTTCCGCCTCCGCCCTTCAGAGTAAAGGTCACCGTGAGGGTGGAGCTGGTTGACTAAAGGCTGGAACGAGCGTCAAGCCGAAGGAGAACCATGTGTGGTGACATTCAGCTGCTGGAGCTTTACATATTCTGTAATGTCTTAATGATTCAGTTAAAATAGCTCGTATCTCATGCAATAGAAAAATAAGAAGTCCATGCATACAAGTTAATAAATGTGTTTGCTGTTGGTGTGGTTTTTATTGACGCAATGCTGCCTTGAGATTGCATCATTACTGAAAGTACACGGCCTAACCGATTTCATTTGAATTTAAAATAATCTAAACAAGTTCTTCTCTCAGGATAAAATATATCATGCTCCGGAGGAGAAGCATATCTTCCTAAATGAAATGAAAGGGTTCCTGTTTTTCGGGTTTTACGGCGTTTCTTGTTAAACTCAGCAGGTTGCTAAGCAACGGGAGCAGTGAAGGTAAAGCTAATGATGCAAGCCGGTCCCGCAGGCCGAAACGTCCCATTTCAGAGGCCGCTGGGTTCAGCCTGCAGTTGTCGGAGGACCAGACCAGGTCTACGAAGGCTGCTGAAGGCTGCAGGCTACAAGGACGCAGCCCAGCGGCTCTGAGACACAGCTATTGTTTCATTGTTAACCTGAAGTCATGAAGTATAGGCTACACATCACATGTCATTGGTTCTCTCTGTACGTTACGTGTTCCCTCCAGTAATCACATCTTATGCATCTTCATTTCATCTTCTCTTAAATATGGGAATATTATTAGGAGGCTTTTTTCTACTTGCTGTACTGTGATATTATTGATCTATTGCCTCGGATGTCTGATCTTTAGGTCATCAGAACCTGATCCTGTGGGATCGGACTGATGGAGGAACTGGTCCTGGTGTTATAATGGTTCTTATCTACAGCAAGTTGTAAATCAGCTTATTTAATGAAATTGCACTTTCTTGTCTCTTGTTCTATTGAGTTTGTTTCCTTATGGTTGACATTTTTGGATAAAAGCGTCAGCTAAACGACATGTGGTGGAATGTGTGCATCCAGGTTCTGCTCCAAAGCCTCGTTGCATGTGTGAGATGTTGTGCACGTCCTAATCTCATTAGAACGGATAAACATACAGAATCACAATGCAAAGGGTCTAAAAACAAAACAAAGGAGATTTTCAGGCCACAAGCTCTTTGATTAAGACGAGAGACGAAGCTCCGGTTGTCGTTGTCCAAACACTGAAAGGTCAGAGGTCACCGCAGTGAGACACATCGACCTTTAACCAATCCTCCGACTGTCCACATGCTTCAGGCTGTTCTTTCATTCGCTTAGTTTCTGCTACAGAGGAGAGAACCTAGATGTGTACACTTTCTAAAACACACGCAGAGGTGAAAGAACATGCAACATAAGTATTCTAAATCTTTAATCTTTAATTAGTTAGTTTTGTTTTATTGAATGAATAGTAATGCGGGGCAACTAATTAAAATTGCTGCCGACGGGAAGAAACTGTTGGTGTGGCAGGAGGTCTTAGTCCTGATGGACCTCAGCCTCCTGCCAGATGGAAGGGGCACAAACAGGTTTTGTCCGGGGTGAGAGGGGTCGGCCGCGATCTTTTTAGCTGCTTCAGAGACCTGGAAGCGAACAAGTCCTGCAGGGACGGCAGATTGCAGCCGATCAGCCTCTCTGCAGAGCGGAGGACACGCTGCAGCCTGCCCTTGTCCTTGGCTGTGGCTGCAGCGTACCAGACGCTGATGGAGGAGCAGAGGATGGACTCCATGATGGCCGTGTAGAAGTGGACCACTTCAGCTCCCACTTGAGGTCCTGGGTGATGATGGAGACCAGGAAACAAAAAAAAAATAATCTCTTTTCCACTAGCAAGGCTTTGACATTTTATCTAGTTTGTTATATCGAAACAAGTTACATTATAAAAGAAACCTTCTTATAACGCATATGAATATTAAATGCATGAGTTCACATTAACAGCAGTTTGTTCTCACCATTTAAACAAAAGACACTAATGAGTTCTAATGAGGGTCGTCGTGGCGCAGGGGTTAGAGAAGGTGTGCTGGGAAGAACAAGGTTGGTGGTTCGAGTCCAGGCTGCCCCATGTCCCATGGCGAAGTGTCCCTGAGCAAGACACCTGACCCCTAATTGCTCCCCAGGCAAAAATGTGAAAAAAGCCATTTAAAGTGTAATGTAAGTCGCTTTGGATAAAAGCGTCTGCTAAATGACCTGTAATGTAATGTAATAAATTTGGTTCATCAACTCCGCCTGGAAGACATTTACAATGAAAATGTCCACGTTAGAGATCTGTTCTCCATCTGTCTGTCTGTCCATGTGAGATGTGCACAAGTGATAAGGCCCGCCTCCCAGTGCTCTCATTGGTTGAGAAACAAGATGACTGGTGACTGTGAGCCGAGTGTATTAATAATGATGAACGTGCATTAACAGGTAACATAATAAATACATGATGTCACTTTTAACTGAGGTAAACTACTTTAAAACAATGACTTAACTAAGTTAGACAAAACAAGTTCAACTAAGTTAAACACAACGAGTAAAGTTGACTTAGTTAAACATACTAAGTTAAAGGGACGTGTTGAGAATAAGGTCTTCTACGCGTTAATGTCTGCAGACGTTTTTTTATGATTCCCACAGGAGATGATGATTTATACCAACTGAATAAAGTGACTTATTTAAAAAGTCATTTCTTAGTGAAGAAGACGTCTTCAGACACAAAGTGTTTGTGTCACTGGAGGAGATGAAGGTCAAAGAGAACGTCCACAGCGAAGCTCACAAAGGTCACATCATCGTCATCATCGGCCCCATTCACAAAGCGGTGCAAGCCCCCCGACGCCCCCCCCACGCCCCCCCACGCATCCCCACGCCCCCCATGCATCCCCCCACACTCCCCCCCACGCATCCCCCCACTCACTGATATATAAAGTAGAAAATGTCTCAGGTTGCACGACTTCAGAGCAGAGCGGGATGAAGACAGATAGTGAACTGGAGACAGACAACTGCACTGCGGGACAATCAGGTAAGAGAAGGATGTTTAATATTTAGACGTTATTAGATTATATATATATATACATGTATGTATATATATATATACATGTATATATATATGTACATGTATGTATATATATATACATATATATATATATATATATATATATACATACATGTATATATATATATATATACATGTATATATATATGTACATGTATGTATATATATATACATATATATATATATATACATGTATGTATATATATATACATACATGTACATATGAGACGTGGACTCTAATCCCTCAGCTCGTGTCCGTGGGCCTGATGAAGATGAAGGTGTTGTTGTGCTTGGTGGTCGCGCTCGGCGTCTCCCCCCCCGCTGACTGTCGACCAGCCGACTGCCCCGCCAGCTTCCACCGTCTCCTCCCCCGACCACTGCTGCTCCACCTGGGGGAGGAGCTGTCCCTGCGAGTGGGTGGAGGACCCCCCACCGCTGCCTCTCCAGGTCTCCTCCCCTCCTCTCCGGCAGTGAACAGGGTCCTGGAGGTGGAGGAAGGGGCCGGAGGGATGGGCAGGAGGTCCGAAGAGGCTCCCATCTCTCTGGATCTGACCTTCCACCTGCTGAGAGGAGTTCTGGAGATGGCCCGGGCCGAGCAGATGGCCCAGCAGGCCGACAGCAACCGCAAGATGATGGACACCTTCGGAAAGTAGTCCACCGGTCTGAAGGTTGTGATGGCTGACCGCTTCGCTCTCACCCATCAGTTTCATCCGCATGTGTTACACACACATCTACATATAATGACTGTAATGAACTGAGTAGAATCTAAAGGAGGATCTGATACACTGACGGTGAACATTTGATATCATCAATAAAACGTCCTGCGCTGCTTCAAACCGACGTCACAAGTTTATTTCCACAAACACTCAAGGAACCAACGTAAATCCGTCCTCCAGTGAACAGACTGGACTTCAGCGGTAAAAGTATCACTCGATCAAAAATGCATGAGGAGACTTTATGGAGGTTAAACAGTGTGAACGTTAGCATGGTGAAATTAGCATAGGAGCTAAGCATCGAGCCAGTCAGTGAGGAACAACGTGTGTTCGTGGTGTTTGCCTCACCGGACTCAGAGCGCAGGATCAATAAGATGAATTAAATGGGTTTGGAGCTCCGGTGAGCGGTGGCTGGTGAGAGTTTTTATACATATATAAAAAAATACAGAATATGTTTTCATCCCCGTCCTGCAGTGACGTTACTTTTACCAACATGGCGAGCGGGACTGAGCGACCCAGAGAGTCACGTCTGTGTGTGTGGAAGTCGCTTTATTTATGTATCACACACTTTATTGCCCCGTGCATCCACACTGCTGCTTTTCATCAAGGACACATTTGTCCCATATTTTCCTCCACGACTTTGTCCCCTCGTTTGTGGAGATCTCCCTCCATGAATCAGAGGCCATCCGGCGTCCTCATAGTCCCCAATGACGGCTTGTACAAGCGCTCATATTTAAAAGCTCTTCAATCTGATCCGTTCTCTCGTAAACGTTCTTCCTTTTAATAACGGCCGTATTGTGCTGTGAAAACGGAGACGTGAGACTCTAAAGGACGTAGTCAGAGACCAATCACAGCCTGCTGCTGCAGGAGGCTGCAAAGCTTTAGACGCACGCAGGGAGGCGTGAAAAGACACGCAAGGGACACGCAGGGGACACACAAGGGACACGCAGGGGACACACAAGGGACACGCAGGGGACACGCAAGGGACACGCAGGGGACACGCAGGGGACACGCACTCGGCTGAGACATGGAGAGAGGAGGTGCAGAAAAGATTTTCACAGATATCTTCATTTACTCCATGTTTCAAAAACACATACTGACCATTTGTAAAATGCATCTTTAATATAATAACAAAGAAAGAACTTGGGCCTCTATGGCCGCCACTGATACAAGATAATAAAGGACTGCAGGCCGATGGGTCCTGGTTTTACTTCTGGTTGAGCCAACTGAAGGAGAAGACGTGCTTGGTATCGTCTCCATCCTCCTCCTCATGCTGATCAGACTGAGAGGAAGAGGAAGAGGACGATAGAAGTAATACAGGGAGAAGCTTAGTGAACACATTTGATTGTAAAATTATTAAATACAAATAGTGTAAATGAAATGTGATTCAATTGAATTATGCAAATCCTAATAGATAAATATATTTTAATGTTTGAATGAAAGACATTGAATGCAACACGTGACATACTTGGGCGGCGCTTATGGAGGGGATGGGCAGAGGGGGCGTGGCTTGGATCGCGGACGAGGCTGGTTGTTTTGTCATTGGCGTCATGGTGGGTGGAGTCTCGGAGCGTCTCTGAGGGGGGGTGGCTGAGAGCTGGACCGCCGTGGGCTGCCCAGGAGACAGAGGAGGCTGCGGATTGGCTGAGCGCCTCCCTCGACCCTCCACTGCTTCTTCATCGACATCCTCTTGATCATCTGAGGAGGATAAACAGTTAGAGGCAGAGCCGCTCGGTGGTTGCCGGTCAGGTGACTACTTCCTGTTTCTTACGTGTGGTGAAGTCAACCTTCATCAGCGCTCTTCTCTGGAGCTCAAAGTCGGCGGTGAAGTGCTCCATGTTCTCGTAGCCATGTTGGACTTCATCGATGTGAGACGTGTTTGTTCCCTCCACGATCCTGCACGTCATCATCCTCAGTGTTCATATTACCATCAATATTAATGTTGTCTACACATTGGTAAAGACTCACTTGTGCAGCAGAGGTTTGGTCGTCTGTGGGAGGAGAAACGATTAGTTACTGCTGACTTCATTCATAATAAGTGACTTTTCATCATCTTATTCCACTCTGAACGCAGTTATTTATGGTGCGTGGCTCACTGGCTGAGAGGACACACGGCCAATCCCGTCCTCACGCACTTCAAGGCCTTCCAGCCCTTATGGACCCACAAGTCATTGCAACGTGAGGTTAAATACGGGGTCACCAGACAAAGGACGGCACGTGTGTTCAGACTGTCATACGTTTTTAACATTAAATATTACAAAAAACACATGAAATCAAACGATGTTCATTCATAAAATAGAGAATGTTAATCTTATTTTATGAGCCTGAAATAGGTTGAAATCCAAGAGTAAAACGTAATGAATCCCCTCAGTTGTAGATCATAGACGTTGTCATGGTAACGTAACACATCGCTCTTTAGATTTAGAGCATTTAAAGCCCTCAGACTGCTGCAGTGAGAATTCACACAGGCAGCAAACTATTGGAACATTTCATGTTAAATGTCTTCTACACAAAGTCAATGGGACCAAAGTTACCGTTAAGCTGCACCACTAAGTGTGTTTTTATCCTTTTCAGATTCTCCAAAGAAATCCAGAATCAACATGGACATCAGAGTATAAAACCCTCAGCTACTGATCAGAGGTAATGATCAGGAATCATTTATTGACTAAATGTGTCAAACATACAAGGAATTTGTCTGGTTGGTTGGTGCGTGACAGCAGACAGTGTGACAATAGACAACAAGTAATAAAATAAAATGAAATGCTATTAGTTAGTAGAATAAGGCTATAGATAGAATACCGATTGATAAAAAGGATTAAATGTTGGCACGTGTTCACATTTATAAATCTCAACTTGTTTAATGCTTTTATTGTGGAGGGTAACTTGTTTCTCCATAACAATGCAGTGCAAATAGCTTTCCTTTTATATTGGATTGTTTAAAATGAAATGTACAAGAAAAATCTTAACTGTTACTGTGAAGGGAATATTGTTCAAAAGCAGCTGGTTTGTTTACAGTTTTTGCAAACAAAAAGTTCATAACACACTACTTTTTAATCAATTATTGAAATTTTCAAATGACAATTAATGGCGTTTTTCTGCACTCAATTGCAATTATTTGTTAAAAAGTATAACTGTTTCCCAGCACTTACATACAATCATATTATTGTAATATAATTATTATCCTTATATTTTCTACAACAAGAAATCAGTCAGTTAATTGTTATTTTGAAGAAAAATCTGACGGGTCACTTCCTGTCGTCCGCGATGCGTTTAGGCTCACCTGCAGGAACACGGCCATCTCAGACTCGTCCATGGCCTGGATGGCGGTCTCAAGCAGCTTGGCGGTGCTCTCTAGGTGTTCGCTGTACCTCCGCCTCAGACCTCTCAGGTAGTCCAGCTTCTCCTCCTGTTCAGAGCTGATCCTCAGCGTCATCTCGCCTTTCTTCTCCTCCAGCAGAGCGAACAGGTGGTCGAACGTCTCGCACACCTTCGACTTCTGCCGCCGACCGTTCTCCTGAGAACACAGGTGACTCAGTTTGGGTCCAGGTGGGTCTGCGTCAGTCAGTTTGAGTCCAGGAGGGTTTCCGTCAGTCAGTTTGGGTCCAGGTGGGTCTGCGTCAGTCAGTTTGGGTCCAGGTGGGTCTCCGTCAGTCAGCTTGGGTCCAGGTGAGTCTGCGTCAGTCAGCTTGGGTCCAGGTGGGTCTGCGTCAGTCAGCTTGGGTCCAGGTGTGTCTGCGTCAGTCAGCTTGGGTCCAGGTGAGTCTCCGTCAGTCAGCTTGGGTCCAGGTGGGTCTGCGTCAGTCAGCTTGGGTCCAGGTGAGTCTCCGTCAGTCAGCTTGGGTCCAGGTGTGTCTGCGTCAGTCAGCTTGGGTCCAGGTGGGTCTGCGTCAGTCAGCTTGGGTCCAGGTGGGTCTGCGTCAGTCAGCTTGGGTCCAGGTGGGTCTGCGTCAGTCAGCTTGGGTCCAGGTGGGTCTGCGTCAGTCAGCTTGGGTCCAGGTGGGTCTGCGTCAGTCAGCTTGGGTCCAGGTGTGTCTGCGTCAGTCAGCTTGGGTCCAGGTGGGTCTCCGGCAGTCAGTTTGGGTCCAGGTGGGTCTCCGTCAGTCAGTTTGGGTCCAGGTGGGTCTGCGTCAGTCAGTTTGGGTCCAGGTGGGTTTGCGTCAGTCAGTTTGGGTCCAGGTGGGTTTGCGTCAGTCAGTTTGGGTCCAGGTGAGTCTGCGTCAGTCAGTTTGGGTCCAGGTGAGTCTCCGTCAGTCAGTTTGGGTCCAGGTGGGTCTCCGTCAGTCAGTTTGGGTCCAGGTGGGTCTCCGTCAGTCAGTTTGGGTCCAGGTGGGTCTGCGTCAGTCAGTTTGGGTCCAGGTGGGTCTCCGTCAGTCAGTTTGGGTCCAGGTGGGTCTGCGTCAGTCAGTTTGGGTCCAGGTGGGTCTGCGTCAGTCAGTTTGGGTCCAGGTGGGTTTGCGTCAGTCAGTTTGGGTCCAGGTGGGTTTGCGTCAGTCAGTTTGGGTCCAGGTGGGTCTGCGTCAGTCCGTTTGGGTCCAGGTGAGTCGGGAGGTGAACTCACGTTGACAGTTGTGCAGGTTTCCTCCAGCTGAATGATGACAAGCTGAGTCCTCTCATTGTTACCAACCAGCATGGAGATACAGTCAGTGAGCTCAGCCTACACACACACACACACACACACACACACACACACACACACACACAATACCAGATCATGATTCCTGACAGAACCCGTCTGTGATGTACCACATCAGGTGTGAGACACCTTACCTTCTGCTTGTGGAAGACGTTGTCCAGCGGCGCGACCTCACAGTCTTTGTGGGCTCCGAACACTTTACACAGAGAACAGGTGGGAACACTGCAGGTGACACAGTAGATGTTGATCTTCTCCTCTTCATGGGTCTCACACATCGGCTGCTCCTGCTTCTCCTCAGGGGCCGGTCTGCTGCTCAGAGAGACAGAAAGACGGGCGAGGGGACAGACAGCGGTTTCATCAGACTTTGATGTCCTGCTAGCGTTGTGTGTTACCAAAATAAAATCCAAGATAGAGTGTCATACACGTGTGTGTTACCTGGTGTGTCCCTTGGGTGTGTGTGTGTGTGTGTGTGTGTTACCTGGTGTGTGTGTGTGTGTGTTACCTGGTGTGTCAAGGCGTGTGTGTGTGTGATACCTGGTGTGTCCAGGTGTGTGTGTGCGTGTTACCTGGTGTGTCCAGGTGTGTGTTACCTGGTGTGTCCAGGTGTGTGTGCGTGTGTTACCTGGTGTGTCCAGGTGGGTGTGCGCGTGTTACCTGGTGTGTCCAGGTGGGTGTGCGTGTGTTACCTGGTGTGTCCAGGTGTGTGTGTGTGTGTTACCTGGTGTGTCCAGGTGTGTGTGTGTGTGTGTGTTACCTGGTGTGTCCAGGTGTGTGTGTGTGTGTGTGTTACCTGGTGTGTCCAGGTGTGTGTCTGTGTGTGACCTGGTGTGTCCAGGTGTGTGTGCGTGTGTTACCTGGTGTGTCCAGGTGTGTGTGCGTGTGTTACCTGGTGTGTCCAGGTGGGTGTGTGTGTGTTACCTGGTGTGTCCAGGTGGGTGTGTGTGTGTGTTTCCTGGTGTGTCCAGGTGGGTGTGTGTGTGTGTTTCCTGGTGTGTCCAGGTGGGTGTGTGTGTTACCTGGTGTGTCCAGGTGTGTGTGTGTGTGTGTGTGTTACCTGGTGTGTCCAGGTGGGTGTGCGTGTGTTACCTGGTGTGTCCAGGTGTGTGTGTGTGTTACCTGGTGTGTCCAGGTGTGTGTGTTACCTGGTGTGTCCAGGTGTGTGTGTGCGTGTTACCTGGTGGTCCAGGTGGGTGTGTGTGCGTGTTACCTGGTGTGTCCAGGTGGGTGTGTGTGTTACCTGTGTGTGTGTGTGTGTTACCTGGTGTGTCCAGGTGGGTGTGTGTGTTACCTGGTGTGTCCAGGTGGGTGGGTGTGTGTTACCTGGTGTGTCCAGGTGGGTGTGCGTGTGTTACCTGGTGTGTCCAGGTGGGTGTGCGTGTGTTACCTGGTGTGTCCAGGTGTGTGTGTGTGTTACCTGGTGTGTCCAGGTGGGTGTGTGTGTTACCTGGTGTGTCCAGGTGGGTGTGTGTGTTACCTGGTGTGTCCAGGTGTGTGTGTGTGTGTGTTTCCTGGTGTGTCCAGGTGTGTGTGTGTGTGTGTGTTTCCTGGTGTGTCCAGGTGGTGTGTGTGTGTTTCCTGGTGTGTCCAGGTGTGTGTGTGTGTGTGTGTGTGTGTTACCTGGTGTGTCCAGGTGGGTGTGTGTGTTACCTGGTGTGTCCAGGTGGGTGTGTGTGTTACCTGGTGTGTCCAGGTGGGTGTGCGTGTGTTACCTGGTGCTCCCCTGCTTGTACATGTCAATGATGTTCTCCACCAGCAGGTTCCTCTGTAGCCCGTAGACTCCGTGGCGATCCAGCACCACCTCATGTCGGCAGGAGGGGCAGCGGAACCGCCCGCCGGACGTCACGGTGGATCCGCTCCTCGTGGACAGATAGGGATTGGATGCCTGCAGAGAGAAGGGGGGGGGGGGGGGGGGTCACACAGGGAAATATGAAATTTCCCTGTATGTTTGGACCTTCATACTTTGCTCTCTGATGAACTAAGTTGGCATTAACACTTTGCCGAGCTAACGTTAACCATCATTGAACATTGAGCTTCAGACAACAGTGGGAATCCCTGAAGGACCCTGAAGGCATCAATGTGTCCACATCTACTCATCCAGGCACTGGAATAGAACAATCAATAAGGAGGAAACAACATGTTGGTATAAAAAAGTGCAGACGAAGAAACACAGATCGCTTCTCGACCAATGAGCATTGGGGGCGGGCCTGAGACTTCAGGCTCGCATCAACCGACTCAAGGGGACAGAGACACTGGCGGTGTCTCAAAGTCGCTAGTCTGCAACCTTCAGGACGCATTCGTCAACCGCATACGTCACTTCCGCTGCGACTCGGCTGTCCGATCCGTCGGCTCCTCCGAACGCAGTCCTCCAGGAGCCGGTTTGAGGACACATCTGATCCGTATTTATTTTGAAAATCCCAGCATGCAGTGCGGGCCGACGAGGATGTAAGTTATTCAGGACGGAGGCGGGTGATGCGACGGAAGAGTTCACTTTTAAATGTAACGTTAAGGAATACAATTCACTCCATTATCTACCGAAATGTTATAATATCCAACATCACATCTTTGTTTATGACATTTATGAACCTGAAAGTCAGAATAAACCTGCAGAATGAACACAAAGAAACTGAGCTCGCTTTGCTCCTTTTGTCATTGTAAAAAATGTTGTTGTGTTTTTCTTCAGTCAGCCTGAAGAAAATCGAGCTCCAATTACATGAAATAAGATCTTCTTTTTCTGTACTTTGTCATTTGTTTGGCTTTTACAGTCAAGCGTGCAGCATTAATAGCAGGAAACTGTTGCTCAAAGGTTCCGTTATAATGCAGCTAGTGTTGCTGTGGGGTTCAGGTAGACTAGATAAAAAGGTCAATGCCATCATCACCGGCCTGACAATTATTGTCTGAGGTAAAACTGGTGTACGAGGGTCTGGGCACGCGGTTACACTACTTTGGAATGAATTGTTATATTTTGCAATTAATTGCGAAACATCATACGATTAATCACAATTACAAACATCGGAGGGAGATCAAACTCTTTTGTTCTCGTCCCGGCCGGAAACGATGAATCAAAAGAGTCAACTTGCTCAAACTTAAAAATCAAAAAAGCATTTAATAACTAAACAAAGTGATATGGAATCAAATTAAAGTTAAATACAATGAGAATAGTGAAATATTTCCCGAATCCTCAGATCAGGTCTTATGTGACTGCAGGAAAATTCTACCACGTTCCAATAGATTCAATGTAGCTACATTTGACTGAACAGAACATGCAGAGTCGTCTTCATCTTAGAACCAGGACACATGATGAAGGTTTGACACGGCTCACGTGGTCCAAGACGTTTGCGTCACTCGGCGGTCTTTCATTCAGTTGCTCATCTGCTACCTGACGACAATTAGCATCCGTCAAATCGTGACAGAATGTTAATGTACAGTAATTATACATTAATAATTAAATAACTACTAGCTCACAGACTACAATTCTACACTAAACATTTCTACTTTTATTAGAATTTCTACCACTAGGTGTGCACTTCTTCTTAAATCCCAGCACAACATAGATTTCATAAAGTGAAACCGCTGTGAAGTAATGATCAATACAAGACAGTAATTCTGTACTTTCTTATTCTTAAATCTTTCAACATTTAATCAATTAGAGAAATGATTCTTGTGTCCTTGAAAGCACCAACAAAGAGGTTGAGTGTGTGTGTGTGTGTCACCTGAAAGACGTCGTTGGCACACTTCCGGCACAGGTTGTGTTGACATGGCAGGATGACCACCGGCTTGCTGAAGATCTCCAGACAGATGGGACAGATGAGCTGCTTCTCCAAACTCTCCATGAGGAAGAGGAACCGAGAAGTAGATCAAATCCAGGAGAAGAAGCAGCGCGTTGGAGGCCGGCTGCACTCGGAGACCTCGGTCTGTTTTTAGACGGACAGACGTCAGGTGTTGCCATGCCGACATGCCATATATGTCAAAGGTCATGAGTGGGCGGGACAGAGCAGCGGGTGCTATTAAAGGGACAGTCAGCGGCACGAAGCAGAGGCGTCCTGCTAGTAACTGCCTGAAGAAGAAGATGCAACCGCGGCTCCTTCAGCTCAGCAGGGGAACTCGTGGTCTACGCGCCGCTACCGGGGGACCAGACAGGGGGGGCCGGCAACGGGACATCTGGCAGGAAAGAGGAACGCAGCATTGAGGAGGATCTGGCAGTGAGCGTGAAGGAGGGATTTAAATACTAAGGACAGTAGGTGCAGCAGTGCGCCAGGTGGGGGCTGACGAGGGGGTGTGGCCAACAGGTGCACGGAATGAGTGAAATAAGTGAGTGAGAGAAGCTGAACAGTGATGGAGAAGAAGAAGAGGAGCATCAAGATCTCATCAGGATCCTCTCAGTAACAGTGGTGTCAGTAATAGGAGGCCCAGTGGGCCCAGTGGGCCCAGTAGACCCAGTAGGCCCAGTAGACCCAGTAGGCCCAGTGGGCCCAGTAGACCCAGTAGACCCAGTAGGCCCAGTAGGCCCAGTAGGCCCAGTGGGCCCAGTAGACCCAGACCAGGTTGGAGGGTTGTGTTTCTGCTTTGAGAAGCATCAGCATGAGCTGAGAACGCCGGCAGGATAAGAGGAAGAAGTGACATAGAAACAGGAATACTAAAGTACAAGTACTTTAAATTATACTTTAGTACTTTTCAATACTGATCAAATCAATAAATTTCACAATAAAAGCATTATTATGCAGGTTGTGTTTTATTTTCAACAGGAAACAAACTTCCAAAACAAGACAATATTTACATCAAACAGACTCAAGATTATACTTAAATCTGTAATAGATTAATAAAGCACCGCCCCTAAAATACCAAACGTCCAATCAAAGCAGGATTTGCACCAAAACGTCAATCGGGTTTAAATATGTGACAAAACCAGATAAAAAATGGATCAGGTGATCATGTGACGTATCGGTCAGGAGGCCCTTTCCGACCTGATGTGTGTCAGAAAGTCTTTCATGTGAAGGTGTCTCCATATCGTTTGTGTCCATCACTGATCAGCTGGGTTTTCTCACTGGGGTTCAACGGCTGCTGAACAACTGGAGCGTCGACGCCTAAAGACACACAAACAAAGAAGGGACACTAAGACAAAATATGAATAAACTACAAAGTAGTGATCGGTTCTGATAAACTGTTAACAAATGTCACCATCAGAGGAGGCTTCATGATTATCTGCGATTGGCTGAAACTGATACATCCACATGTCTCTGTAGTAAGGCCACATGTTGTAATGTTACCATCATAGGGGTAACTTGTTACATCAAATGGTAATGCCCTGGCGGTGGCTATTAGCATTGGTTTTATATTTGATTACAAGGACGATGGAGTAGAGAGGGTGCGCCAGGAACCGTGAGGTTGGCAGTTTGAACCCTGGCTGTCTCTGAGCAAAACACTCAACCCCCAGAATGCTCCGGGCAGCCCTTAGGTCTGCACCCTACCCCCACTGTGTAAATGTAAAACCATGGGTTAAAAATGCAATGTGGCTTTGGATAAAAGTGTCAGCTAAATGACATGAAACGATTACGTTCATTTATATTTATTACATTTTAAATTTAGCTCAGTGGCCACAACACACAACTTTTTACTTTTTGTGTATGTATCTAATAGAAGAAACAAATTCTTATATAGAAGAAAAAAGACAGTTCCACTAAAAGTACAAAGATCTCGTTGCCTCACCATCGTCGGGGTTGTTGCGGATCTCTTCCTCCAGGTCGTCAGGGGAGACGTAGTCTGACCCCGCCCCCTCACCTGTGGGCGTCGGCTTCAGCTTCCCAAAGCAACAGTCACAGCAGCAGCAGAGACAGCAGCAGCAGTAACAGCCCGTCAGGACGCCACAAACCAGAAAGAGACCCTGAGAAGACACCAGGAAAGATCAGGATCAACTACACCACCTTGGACAAGACCCTGAGGAGAGACCAGGAAGCTTCAGGATTCACCACACCACCTGAGACCAGGAACAGGCCCAGTGGAGACACCAGAACCCACCAGGATCCACTAACCATCTGATTGAAGCCTCCTATCATATCCCTGGTCACTTGTTCACAGAGACAGTATAAGCCCCGCCCACCTTGGCCCACCAGGTGGACAGCATGAAGTAGGTGTTGACATTGTCCTCTCCAAACTGCTGGGCCACGTAGAGGCCCAGGGACCCGTAGGAGTCATAGATGTTCCTCTTGGTGAGGTCAGACAGGACGGCGTGGGCGCTGTTCAGCTCCTTGAACTTCTCTGCTGCCTCCGGGTTGTCCGGGTTCTTGTCCGGGTGGAACCGCAATGCCAGCTTCCTATTGCCACACACACACACACACACGTGTGTTAACACACAGCCTGATCACCTGGGGCATCTGAGTGGGAAAGGCTTACCTGTAGGACTTCTTGATGTCGTCATGACTGCAGCCTTTCTGCAAACTCAGGACCTGATACAGAGATTCTCCAGAGGTGGACAACGTTCTCTGTCTCCCGTCGGACATCCTGAGAGCATCGCCTGTGACAACAAACATTCTGTCACTAGGGATTTCCAATCGGTCGCCTGCCCAGTCTCTACAGACTGAAGATTCCTTTGTGCTGGACCCCTTTCCCTCACTAACAGGGACCCGTACTACTGAACACATGCTGCATTCTGCATCAAGCTGATGAAAGACCAATGTTTCTTCTGGTACCTGTTAAGAAACTAAATGTATATCCCGTTGCTCCGAGAAGGCTTCCAACGTGCAATACACTAGTTTTAATGTATTATTGAATTTTGAATATATAATACTATGTATATATATATTAGCACATTTGTTTTGACACACGTTCTCATGGAATTAAATGAGAAGGTGTGTCCAAACCTCTGACTGTATACATAAATATAAATAGACGGTTAATCAAACGCAAGTCCTCATTCTTGTTAAACCAACTTAAAGTTACAAAAATCAAACCCAATATCTGCGCCTGAGACGGGATACACCTGATTATGTCCTGCAGGAGGGAGACGTGTTCTTCTGCCCTGTGAAGGAAGTACAGTTACAGACGGCTGAAGGGCACAGAGACAGAGATGGTACCTGCCTGTTGGAGTGTTCCGACGAAGCCTCTACCAGTTATCCGTCTTCCTGGCGTCTACCTGTGCAGGTGTTTCCCCGACGTCTGTTGGCCGAGAGGATCTCTGACAGCCTCCATCAAACATTCAGCAGCCATCCGGCTCAGGTGACCCCGAGGCGCTACGCCTTCTTGTGTTTCACTGAGCCGTTCCGATGGACTCATTGTGAGGGGAGGACAGGTCTCCATGACAACCAGGTGAGTCAGGTATTGAGGGAGGCGAGGGGTCAGACAGGTAGACAGACTGACAGATACTCCTACTTCACTACACGAACAGAGTAAAGTAACAGCGTCCTTCAAATAATTATATATTAAATAATATGGATGACTGCTTATAATGATCCGAACAGGAAGTAACTCAACAAGTGACTCAGTCCGAGGCTAGCTGGTGGAAATAGCTTAACATTTAGCACACAGACGTTTTATTTTGTAGTTTCCTGCCTCTTGTGTCCCTGGTTTAGCTCCACTTCCCGTCCTGTCATCCCCAGTGATATTCTGCCGTGTCCCTGATTGTTTCCACTTGTGTCCAATCACCTGCACCTTGCCAGTGTATTTAAGCCGCGTGTGTCTTTATCACGTCATTGAACGTCGTCGCGATGGTGTCGGTGAGGTCCTGCCCCGTATTTGGCCCCTAGGCACTACACTCGAGTCCTGCTTCCGCCTACCCACTCTCATCAGGGGGTGAAGACCAAATAAAGCCAAAAGAGACATCAGCCAGAGACCTTCTGGAAGTCCATTCTCCAGTTCCCAAAGAACAGCAGCGAAGCAAGAGGATTCAGACTCTGGATTGGCCTAGTCAGTGTGGACCTCAATCCCAAATGCTGGGGCTAGACCTGAAGCGGGGCTACGCGCCAGATGTCCCTCCAACTTGATGTGTACACACCTTCTTGCGCAGGTGAACAAAGCATAAAAAGTGCAGGTTTATAGACGGAGAGACAGTATCTTAGCAGCTTTGAACTCATTCTGCTCTTTGATATAATGTTTAGGAAACTAATTGCAAGATTGTGGTTCATAGGTTTTAAAGATGTTCCAATGCATGATGGGAGGAGCTGCATATCTCTGCAGTAACGTCTGGTTCCTGTCAAACCACGCCGCGGCAAACGTACAGTACATAGTAAACAATGAAACGCGTCATTATGCATAGAATGAGCATTTAATGAAACGTCATCAGGAACCCACAATAGAAACAGAGATTCATCCAGTTAATGAGATCTTTAAAACATTAAGCAGAGTAACAACACCAAGTCAGAATGATAAAAACAAGTGTTCAGTCCCCTTGCTCCGCTACAGGATACATCTCATTTATGCTAATGAAAGAGGTGGATCAACCAATCAGGAGGCGCCGTTAGGTCACACGGGCATCTGCAGCTGTGAGTACTCGTCCTGTCCCTCCTTCTCCTCCAGGTGAGGCTCAGCATCATCAGCGTCCAGCTGCCAAGACCAGAGGTCGTAGGTTAGCACTAGGGATCGTTGTCATGGCAACAGCATATAGAACATGTGTGTTTACTGACCCGTGTTAGCAGTGACCAGTAGCGGCTGGTGATAAAATGTTCTAGGTAGGGTAATCAAATCAATTTAAGCAAACATCCCACGTTCATTTAATGCAAAACAATTAAAGTATCAAAAAAACATTAGTACTTTGCAGTTCAATATTTAATCCAATATGATAAAGACTAACAATTGTAGCACAGATTGCACTTAAATTGTACTTATAATGCCACTTATCTATAGCAAATTTCAACTGGCTTATTTGATGAAATTGCACTTTCTTGTTTCTTGCTCTTCTGAGTTTGTTTCCTTATGGTTGAAATGTTCTTTCGCTTTGGATAAAAGCGTCAGATAAATGACGTGTGATGCAACATGAAAAAAAAGCAGTAAATAACACTTATTTTTGTCACCGTCACAAGTCAGTATGATATAATACATATGAAATTACAATCAGTATGATATGATTTGTACTTATGTCTGTTGTGTCATCTGCTTGAATGGTGATACAATCCGTGCTCGTTACTTCCTCCAGAATTCCATCCATTGTCTATTTAAGGACGCTGATCGGCTAAATTGTACGTCACACACAGCAATTGGCTAAAGTGCTTCTTAGACCCGCCTTCTGTGGGCAATCTTGAGATTGGTCCTAGCGCAGCTAAATGCGCATGAAGACAGGGTGTGAGTATGACAGGCAGGGACGTGCAGGAAGAGCAGATAACTGTCATTTTTTACAATTTAATATTATTTTCTTTCTTTTTTTGGCTAGGGGAGGGGCGCACCAGGTGGGGCGACGCCTCATTTCCATCTATTGGCCAGCCGCCCCTGGCAGTGACTCTTGTTAGCATTGACCGGTGTTAGCAGTAACCCATGTTCTGTGCCGCGTGCTAATGATGACCAGGTGTGACTCACACTCTGCAGCTCTCTGCGGTTGAAGAGGCGGGGGAGCAGCAGCATCCTCACCGGGATGGTCAGCAGCAGCATGAAGGGGAAGGCCAGCGCCGCCGCTGTCGCCATGACGACCCACAGAAGGGAAAGACATGTCAGCTGGACAACAGTGAACAGGTGCATCCTCATTGTCCGTACCTGTGAGGGAGCAGAGACAGACTGGTAAGGTAATGGTCAATCTGTGTATTTACAAGTACCTTTTATAGAAACTGGACTGCGTAACACTTCTTTCCTTCTGCCTTCGAACATGATTTGCTGCTGTCGGATCCAATCAAAGAACAGTCTGTCACCAGAACCAAGTTACCAGAGCTGGCAATCATGTCTAGAAGCAAGTCACCGGAGCCGTGACTCAGGTCCAGAAGCTGGGGCGCCGGCCAGTGAGTCAGTCCTCACCTTACGAACGTAGTTGTTGTCTGGGTGATACTTTGGGGGCATCAGCAGCAGGACAAGTCGTTCGGTGAGCTGGATCCCGTTCAGAGACATCACACCCATGTAGAGGAAGATCCCGAACAGAACTGCGAGAGGGATCTGACGTAGAACCTCCCCGATCACAATGGACAGGCCTGAGGCGGGACGGGATCCAGATCAGACAGGGTAGTAGTAAAAAGTAGAAGTAGTTGTAGAGGCGCACCAGTCGTACCCACTAAGACAGCAACCAGGAAGCCTGTCACCCGCTGCTCCTTGACCTCCTGGATGCGGGGCTTGTCTCCGGGAGCCACGGCTTTGGTCAGGACTGTAAGGGCGTTGGTGTGGGTGACGGAGCGAACTGTGGCAGCCGACAACCAGGGCAGACCAAACAACGCCGAGACTCCGCCCACCACCACAATGATGAGGAGGTCCAGGTGAAAACCAGTTCCCTTCATCAGCATCCGTTCCTTCTTACTGACAATCAGCCTGACCGGCAAACACAGGAAAATTGGTTAATATTAGGTGAAGTAATTAATCCTTTGTATTAAGCCATGACAGCAGTAATCCGTGTTAGCAGTGACCAGTGTTAGCATGACCCGTGCAAGCTCTAGTCCTTGTTAGCATTGAGTTGTCTTAGCGGGGACCTGTGTTAGCACGTTAGTAACCCTAACACTAACCATGTCAAGTAAAAAGCAAAGACAAAGGCATAAATAAAATGTAGTACGCTGTGATCTGGGACTCCATGAAGATGAGGATGAAGACGAGGATGGCCGGCAGGATGCTGGCGGCCATCATCCAAACAGGAAACTGCCCATCTGACCCCAGAGGAGAGATCAACCAACCACGCTTCTCTGGACTGGACACTGAGAACCCACTTGGCACGTTCAGTTTCTGTCAGCCAGTAGGAAGAGGGGAGTTTAAATGTCTGTCCATGCAACTTCAGCAGGTTGCTATGACCTGCCCAGGAGCCAACCTGGGTGTAGGTGTCCTCCACGCTGTAGTCCACCAGCACCATGATCAGGATAGCGATGGGGACGCCAAAGTCTCCAATGCTCCTACGGAGCTGTAACACACAGAACAACAGCGTATTGATCTGTTTGGTTAATGCACCACTTCGTACTTTGAATGTGCCTTTGTGCCTTTATCTGGATGTGTACTTGTACTAGTACCCCTGCTTGTACTTGTATTAACTGACCTTCCCAGGAAAAAAAGAGCTGTTCTTGAACTTGCGTAGGTAGAAGGCGATGAAGTAGGTTCCCGCCATGAGAACGAAGGACAGCAGAGCTGTGTTTGGTTCCCCAATAACCTTCCCGGTGTTCGCACCAGACGTTGTGAAGTTGCACGGAGATGGAGACATTGTGTGGTTTCCATGGAAACAGTTTTGGAGAGGATGGTCCTGAAATATCTGCAAAAGACAAACACGAAGAAGAAATAACTCAAAGTGGCTCCATAGTCAGACGTTGGTGGCGCCGGGAACAAGGCTTGGTATGGACCTGTGACCCCAACCTCACCTTGACCAGTTTTGCAAAGGTCTCGTAGATAAAGATGAGGGAGATGAGAAAGGAGAAGATCTCTTGGGTGAAGCGAGAGACGAAGCGAACCAGGATGCTCCCCTCGAAGGCCACGGTGAGGAGGACAATGAGCACCAGCCAGAAACCAATCCAGACCCGACCTGTCAGATACTCAATCCCGTTGTCTCTACAAAACTACACACAAACACACCGGGTATGTTCCTTAATAAGAGAGCGGGCCAGATAATGAGTTGGGGAAGTCCTAGATTAATCACAAAGAACTTCACAATCACGACTGGCTGAAGTAAAACATTTTAGAGCAGGGGTGCCAAATATGGTAATCGACCGGTCGTTTTAAAACCTAACAATGCACCGTTGGTAGCAGATGGTGACGTGAGGATGTGCAATTCACAGGTTATTTATTTCGAACAGGGAAATTCATATCTAAGGAAAAACCAAAGAGGACCAAGCACATAACTCTGGTGCACACCAGGTGAGGATCTTTCAGGTGAGGACTCATGAAGGTACCTTAGTCATGGAGATGGTGTTGGTGCAATTAAAACAGCAGGGAACACAAACAAACTTTCTCTCTGAGCCAATCAAAGTGTTTTTAGAAGCTCACTCATCTTTCAGGATACAAACGATTCCATCAAATTAATCTACACAGACTCTGAGACGTTCATCTAACTTTGCTCTTCAGCCATTGATTCAGTTTGCTCAGCTCACCTGTGTTACTACCGGCAGATTCCCCTCACTTGCTACTGTGGACCAGGAGATCAAATCAATCATCATCACAGAATATTTTTGCTTTCCCACCACCATAGGTTTTCATAGATTTTGGATTTTGGACCCAGTTCCTGCCACAGCCCTGCTGCCAACTGCTGCTGCTATCATTATTATTATTAATCACTGTTACTGTCATCATAAACCAACATTACTGACTTCTTGGTGGTTCTATCTCATGGTGGTTATTTCTGATGGTGGTTATATTTGATGGTGGTTGCATTTGATTGTGGTTATTTCTGATGGTGGTTACATTTGATGGTGGTTACATTTGATGGTGGTTATTTCTCATGGTGGTTATATCTCATGGTGGTTACATTTGATGGTGGTTATTTCTCATGGTGGTTATATCTCATGGTGGTTGTCCCTGCTGTAGTCCTGTCGTAAACCTGGCTTAATATTTCAATCATTTCTGTTATAGGAATGTAATGTATTTTGTACATCTTTTACGTTGTTCATTCTGTACACATGACATCCATTGCAGACTGTTCATCCGGGGAGGGGGATCCTCCTCCAACGTTCTCACTAATGTTTCTTTCTTTCTCCTCCCCCATCATCACCAAGGGTTTTTCATTTTTTAGGGGGGTTTTCTTGTGCCGATGTGAGGGTTTCAGGACAGAGGATGTCACATGTGTACATACTGGAATTAGCACTAGTAATTAGCAATTTTGGGCGATACAAAATAAAATGAATTGAATCATTACAATGTATGAAATCTCACCATGTAGAAGGCCTCCTCGAAGACCAGCAGGGGTCCAGAGAAGCCAATTACCAGCAGTGGCTGAGCGCCCAGCACGCTGAATACGATGCCCTGCAGAGACGTGGCTACAATGAGCTCCGACACGCCGATCAGACCCTCGGTTTTCTCCCCTAAGCCACAAGGAGAGAACATAGCTGGGGGACCTTCACAGGGAAAAGGCTTCAGGGAAAAAAAGAAGTTCAGTGTCTAGACTAACCCAGGAGTCCCCCGAAGGTGATGGCAGGAGACAGGGCAGCAAAGTAGATGAAGATGACGGCAGCCATGCACTGAGGGTTCAGAGCATCCCGGAGGTCGCTGAGGTACTGAGGGTAGCGCCGGGTCACGTCTCTGATCAGACCTCCAAAGAGACGGCCCGACCTTCTTAGGGGTTCCTCGCCAGGTTTTAAAGGAACAAGGAAGCCTGGTGGAGAAGAACTTAGCTTTGTTACTGTCATTGAGATGGCCTCACAACATTACACACTATCAAAAACCATGCAGGGACTGTGCATGATATCTTAAGACCATGACCAAGGTCGGTTCGTGGAGAACCGGCCAGTTTTATCACAACCCCCTCAGTGGAGGTTAAAACTGGCTGCAGGGTCCTGCTCGGCCTGCCGGAGGACTTTGCTTTCGTGAGAATTACAGAAAGACATAAATTACATTTCTATAAAAGTATCTGAGGGGGCGGCACGGTTCCTCCGACAGTCCAAAGACATGCTCTGGGGATTAGGTTAATCACCAAATTGCCCATAGGTGTGTAGATGTGAGTGTGAATGGTTGTTTGTCTCTGTGTTAGTCCTGCGATTGGCTGGCCAAAAAATCCAGGGGGTACCCTGTCTCTCGCCCGAGGTTAGCTGGGATTGACTCTGCCCCCGCGACCATGTATGACGGATAAGCAGTTTGAAGATGGATGGATAAAAGTAACTTCTATTCCTAATGACTAATTAGAGAGAGAGAAACACTCTGAGATTGGTACATACCAGCTAACACCCAACAGCGGTGTCACTCCACGCAGCAATGCTCACTTGAAAATGACGGTGCCCACCCACCACCCCTTCGACCGCGAACCATCGCCTATGATGTTAGCGGTCATATTCAGACTAGAGAGTCTGCCCTGGATTCAAACTTCTAACTGTTAAACGTCCAACTTGTCATTATGCAGACAATTATTTTGGGAGAAATGTGAGATGTTAACATGCTGACATTTTCTCTATGGAGGCCAGAGGGTTTGGCTGTAGTCAGGATTTGAACTTCTCTTCATCACACCATCGAGAGAAGGAACTCCTCGGGACAAACCCACCTTTGTCCTGCTGAGCGACACTCTGCTTCTCCTGCAGCTGGCCGCTCTGCTCCTCCCTCTTTTGGAGCATTTCCCGTTCGAAGCGGGCGGCCGAGTGGATGACCTCATTGCCGTTGACGTTGGAGGGAGGGAGGACAACGCTGGAGTCCAGGAAGCGGTTGACTGCCGTCAGCAAGTCCTGGCGGTTGTCAGCCTGGTACGCCGCCTCGTGGAAGAGCTGAGGGGAATTAATTGGATTGTGTCATGTTGGTTCAAGACAGCAGACATGCGGCAGGTGGCGTTAGAACCCACGGGGACCTACCTTGTCAGACATAAGTGTGGAGATGGAGCGTCCAATCTGATGGTAGTCGATGTTGGCCGTAGGCGGGCCCAGCAGAAGGATGAGGAACCTAACAGGAACCGGAACCTCCAGGATGGAGTCCAGCAGCACCGCCTCCTGTAGTCGGACGAATGCCATTGAGGGCTGCTCCAGGAAGCCCACGCTGCCTGCAGACAAATCGGAGGTCTTATTCATGGACCTGGGAACGAAGGCGATGGAACGTGTGTGATGCCTACCAACGAGGACAACTGTGGCTTCAGCTCTTTCTGGGAAATTCTCCATCAGCTTCACTTCATGTTTGGATTTGGAGGCGCTGATAAGCGAGGCATCCATCTGAACACACACATATATATGTAGTACATATGTATAAATAGCTTGTCCTTCACTAGAGATGGCTTAGTAACTAGCTAGTCTTCAGAGCTTTCGCATGTCCTTCTAAAGGAAAAGTTGTCTTCTGATAGAGGCAGAGGAAACAGCTGTTAACACTTATGCTTTAGCTTATTACAATCTAGGAGTCTGTCTCCAGTTTTCTTCTTACCGTGCACCTTTCCCCGTCAGCCTCTCTGTGATTTTTCAGAGTCATGGTGGGCTCTGATTGGCGACTGTGTCTGTCCATCAATGTGGCCATGTTGGCTGCAGAGATGTACTTGCTGAACAAGTTGTGATCTCTCTCATCACTGGGATGACTGAAAATAAGAAATACATTCATTAAGATGTTGTCCTGTCCCTGCATAAGTCAGTGGATGGATCATTAGATGGATGAGTCATTAGGTGGATGAGTAAAGAGATGAATGGATAGGTCACAAGATTGATCGTCACTACGTGGCCGAGTCATTATGTAGATGTCATTAGAGGGTGGATCATTAGATGGGTGAGTCACTAGGTGGGTGAGTCAAAAGGTAGGTGGTATTTGGGGGGTGAGTAACTAGGGGGTGAGTCATTAGGTGGGTCAGTCAATAAGTGGGGGTGAGTCACTAGGGGGTAAGTCACTGGTGAGTGAGTCAAATGGTAGATGGCATTAGGAGGGGGTGTCACTAGGTAGGTGAGTCACTAGATGGATGAGTCATGAGATTAATGAGTCACTAGGTGGGGGTCATTAGGGGGTGAGTCACTAGGTGGGTGAGTCACTTTTAGAGTGGTCATTAGAGGGGTGAGTAATTAGGGGGGTGAGTCTACTAGGTGGGTGAGTCAATAGGTGGTGGTCATTAGAGGGGTGAGTAATTAGGGGGGTGAGTCACTAGGTGGGTGAGTCAATAGGTGGTGGTCATTAGAGGGGTGAGTAATTAGGGGGGTGAGTCACTAGGTGGGTGAGTCAATAGGTGGTTGTCATTAGAGGGGTGAGTCATTAAGGGGGTGAGTCACTAGGTAGGTGAGTCACTAGGTGGATGAGTCATGAGATTGATGAGTCATTAGGTGGGGGTCATTGGGGGGTGAGTCAATTGGTGGGTGTCATTAGGGGGGATCAATGAACCTGTGTCTGAGCAGCAAAGCTTGGAGGACGTTGGCTCGGTCTTCAGCTTTTATCTGATCGCAGATCACCATCTGCTCCACCATCTGCTCAGCGATCCCCGGCAGAGTCTTCTGCTTCAAATCCAGAAGCACCGTCCCTGATCATACATACCGTCATGACATCACACAATGACATCCCCACAAGCTGGTAATGAGGCGACATTCTAAATGTCTTTTCATGAACATTTTTAAGAGCACATCACTCAATCAATCAGAACATGTTATTACACTTGTCAGATGCTATGCAACGTTGCTGCACTGAGGGAGCAGCAGAGGGCCTCCTCACCGTGGGAGATGGTTTTTCGTAGCTCCAGCAGCGAGCGGAAGGACAGCGAGGTGACGTGGGGCCTCCCCCAGCGCTCCGTCTCCTCCTCCACCTCCTCCTCGAACTCGATCCACTGAGCCGTCTCCCTCCACTGAAGCTCCTGGTTCCCGTCGATCACCAGCTCCTTCAGCTCCACGAACACCTGGACGCACACAGGTGTTACTATTTACATATATGTAGTGACATGTGGACCTCTTCACTGTTTATACAAACATTATGAATAGTGACGGGTTCACTATTTATATATAAATTCCTCTTTGTCAGATTGAGGGCCTCATGTTTGTTTCGCAAAGTGCGCATAAAAGCATGGCGAGGTACGAACAAGGCGCACGGAGGTAAAAGCGCAGACTGCCTGTCGCGAGACCTGAAAAGGTCCAATCGCGCATTCCGTGTCATGCATATGTATTCAGGGGCGTGTCAAGGGGAACGTGCGAGTTTCCCATAAAGAGATGGGAGGGCGCATGAAGTGCGCCAAATGATGTAATCTGCAATGTGTACAGAAACCACCTGTTGAAGCGCGCCTCCGTTTTGCGGTGAAAATTCTCATCTTCTTAAAAGCACAAACCAGAACGCGGGTTTGCCTCCTGGTGAAATGACAGCAATCCGAGCCAGACAGTCGGCAAGTTTCTATGATATAAATATATTTATTTATATAACTGATCACCAGAAAGTGCGGAAACCCCTTTCAATAATCTATTATACCAGAATGACTACAAATAAACACAAACTAGGTCAAAATACAGCTGCACGCCTTTTAAGGAAGGAGGTTTGAGCACATTTTACCGATTTTAGTTTCATTCCACTGGTACCCGTGCATTTCAGAATTTATTTTAAAATTCTTTTATTTGCTTTTAAATCTCTAAATGGTCTTGCCCCATCGTGCCTCTCTGAACTTCTGCACCCCTACAGAGCCGATCTCTCAGGTCAGCTGACCAGCTGCTCCTCAGGGTTCCAAAAACGCGGCTGAAGCTCAGAGGGAATCGAGCAGCTCCAAAACTATGGAACGAACTGCCGCTGCACATTAGACCTCCTCACTGTCTCATTTTAAAACTCTTTTTTCTTTGGCTTTTAACACTACACTGTAACAAATTGCTGTAAATTTACGGTGCATTTCTAACGGTATCTTACAGTATGTCATAATAACTGTAACATACAGTTAAATTTCCATCCCTTGCTTGTAAATTAACGGCCAATGTCATGAATAAACAGTTAAAGCTGTCAATTTACAATAATAGAAGACTACCGTAATTCAACTGCATGTTACATATATTTTATGAAGGGATGGAAATACACATACAAGTGCAGTGAATCACAGTCCATCTACATCTGTTGTAGGTTAATGTATGGAAGCCCATGTCAGCCACTGAAACACAGGTCCTGCAAGTCATCATAATGAGATAGTATCTCATGAGATACGATGATGACTTTGACTTACAGGACATTACTATACATGCAGCTGTCACTTTGATCCAAAACGCCCATGGTTTCACATAATTTTATTTGGAGTAATTAAGGGTTAGGTGTCTTGCTCAGGGACACTTCAACTTGTAAAGGTATACGGTTATAAGTAAACGGTAACATTCTGGTATTTATAACACAAAAACAGTAATCGTATGGTAAGAAACTGTAATCCAATATACGAAAACATACCGTAAATTACGGTAGGGCACTGTAAATAAAACAGTAAGTTACTAGGGTCGACTGCCAGTAAATTGCAGTTAATTCACAGTAAAATTTGTTCAAGTTTACGGTAATAATAATAATATAATACAGTAATCCATTTTACAATAACATAGTGTAAAAACCACTTACGGTATTATACCGTAAAATAACGGTAAATTCCTGGCGGCCTTGCTGCCAGTAAAATACCGTTAAGTAGTAGGTTGTTGGTTTTATGTGCACAGATATTTTATCTGGGGAGGACAGTCGATTTTATTTATTTATTATGTTTTATTGTGTTTATTTTATTGTACAGCACTTTGGGAACCTTTGTGTTCATTCAAACTGTGCTTTAAAAATAAGAGGGATTGGATTGGATTGGAAAAACAAGTTTGTAGATTGAGTAATTATTTTTCTATACTAAAATGTGAATAATGAGATTATTTAAATGAGATCAGTTTATAAAATATATTCAGGAAACATATTTAACAGGCTGAAGCAGCAGAACTTGCACTAGACCCTGTTTTACAACAGTTCATTACTGTTATAATTTAATAAAAATACTGTTTGACTTCAATCACAGATTAAAATTTACCAATGAAAATAAACCAGACTATATGACACTGGATGCTTACAGTTGATCAAACCAAAGATAAACAATCTGGGAATGAATAGATACCTTTCTTTGTTGACTCTTCAGGTCCAAACCAACCATCATGAAGAAAAAGACAAACTGAGCGCAGAGAGAGACGAGACGAGAGTTTACCTCCCTCCACCTGTCTGACTTTACCCGTCTCATTCTACCTGTCTCACTCTACCTTTCTGAATGTACCTGTCTGACTCTACTCGCTTCAGTCTCCCTAGCTGACTCTACCCGTCTCTCTCTACCTGTCTGTCTGTCTTTGTTGTTTTCTAAACATTGTGCGATGAGAACTTTCTGACTTGAGGTCAGTTGAGGTAACAGGTTAAGGTACGCGAGCCCCTCTGACCTCATGAGGTGTTCGGTCTGGTTGCTGGTGGGACGGTTCTTGGCAGCTGATCTGATCTTTGGTGACTTGGACGATCGGCCCTCTGGAGCTCCGCTTCACCAGGTGACACCTCGCTGTCGGGACATCGGCCAATCGGTGACCTGAAGGAGCAGACATGAGCGTGGGATGAGATCAAAGGTTAAAACCTGATTCACACACACACACACGCACACACACACACACACACACACACACACGTTTACATGACTTCCGAGGACATTACATTGAATTACATGATGGAGTCGGATTATAATGTATAAGTCTTTCTAAGAGCAAGATATGATGATTGACATGAAGGGGAGGCAAAGTAGCACACAGACCTGCTCATCTGCACTCAACTTACCCCTCACCTCAACCCGTACAGCTGAATACCTGACCCGGCTCAAAACGGTTTTAGTGCAATAAACACACAGTGTGGTCTCATGGGAACTTTCTGCCGTCTAATAGAGTTTCAGACTCGAATGAGCTTCAATGAAGAACCTGTAAGACGAGACATGAGCTCTGAATTATCCAATCAGACAGACACAAGGGGTGTTCATGCTCTGCAGTGATGTGATGGTGAGTTTCAGGTTTCTTCAAAAAGAAAATCTGGGAAACTGGAGGTTTTCGCATCACTTCTTGATTTCTTGGGAACAATCAACCAATTACATTCCAGCGTTGAGTCAGCTGACTGATGAAAAGCGCTGCGGTGGATCATCGTGTGAACGAAGGAGGAAAAATACATATACGTCGTCCTCACATATGTTACTTTCCGTGTCAATCACTTTTACCCCCAGTATTTATTATTTTACAAAGGCAGCTTTGTGTCTCCCAATCAACGGTTTACATCTGTGACATCATCGCAGTGGACATCACACGGGGGGTCACAGCTAAGGAGGGTTAGTAGTTGGTCACTACTCACTGAGATCACCAAACACCTGACGAGAAACGTTGGCTTCGTGTTGATCGCGGAGACCAACAGTCTCTAGAACCAGGACCAGAACCAGGACCATTCCCAGACTTAAACAATAGACAGAGGCCGTGGGCTTGGCATGGAGCACCACGTTGTGTTTGTGTCACATGATGAGGATCAAGAAGCGACACAGAGCTCTTTCATGTTGGAAAACATTCCTTCAGTGTGTCAGTCAAATTGCCCCGGTGCATGCTGGGAGAGAGTCCACATCTGGTATTTACAATGACGATGCTAACATGCTGAGCTTAGCTTAGCTTAGATCAGTTAACACAGCTGATGATGATTGAATATCTCTAGTTAGTTTCTGATCATAGATACACCTAATTAATCTGAAGGTGGCGCCAGAGGACGAGTCAGAGGATCCATAAAGTTATTACAGTTCAGTTCTCCGGTTTAATGTCTTGGTTCTCTGGACAGTTATCTCAGTACAACTTCTCTAGTCTACGATCTCTGGTCTCAGTTCACTGGTTTAGCTTTACTGGTTTAAACAATCTTGTCTCGGTCCTCTGCTCTCTGCTCTCTGTTCTAAGTTCTCTAGTATAGTTTTTCAGGTATTGGTATATTTTTGTTTGTTAAGCGTTTCATAGAAACTACATGTAATGAACACATGTGTTGGTCTAACTCACTCTTGTTATCATCCAGGTCGACGCACATCAGCATTTCCGCCTCGTCGGCGCTGTCAGCGGCACTTCTCGGCGTGATGTCATTGGGTGAGACAGTGTCACTGGGAAGGGGAGGAGCTACAAGTTATGTGGATTCAAACAAACTTCAAGTCCCACATTCACCTCCCAGGTGTGTGCCTCACCTGGGGGCAGGAGCTGATCGCTCCTCTCCAATTGGACCGTGGGACTTAACCTCTCCTTCCTCCCGGTCTTCTACTATGGTGGCCGCGGTGGAGCCTCTCCGGCCCTCCATCCTCCCCTCGGTGGTCCTCTTCCTCCTGCTGTCAGCGGGCGGTTTGGACAGAGGTTGATGGACGTGGCGGGAGAAGACCCGGTGATCTGCACCAGGGAAATCTTTTTCAAGACTGGGTCCCAAGAACCTTCTCAAGGAACCACTAGAACCCAGAACCTGCACCGGCTATGGTTTTGTACCCTACCCTCAAAATCCTGCTCATTGTAGACTCTATTTTTCTCCGGTGGGCTGCAAGCTGAAGGACAAAGGATCTGCTGAAAACCCTGAATATCGAAGACCTTGTTCAGGTCCACCTCCTCTTCTTCTTCATCATCACTATGGCGCCGTAGAAAAGGAAGAGGAGACAGAGACTGTAGGTGGAGAGAGAAAAAGATTAGGTTCCTCATCGTCCATGCTTGTGATGGTTCCTCAATGACGTCCCAATGTAATCTGGTCCCTGATTGCCTCATTTTCGTAATGGCTGCTGGACCCCGGTCCTCATGACGGTGCTTTAAACATCAGATATATAGTCCTTAGAGGATTTCAAGTGTTTTTAATGGAAAGCTGCTTGAATTCGATGTTGAATGTGTCCGCCCCCCCCCCAGTTACCATGGAACCAACATCTAATCCACTGGTTCCCACACGTTTTCTGTTGAGCCCTCAAGATGACATAGGAACATTGACATTTGAACCTTTCTGTGTGTGAGGTTCCCACAGAAGGAGACGCAGATGAACTTCCTGTTGTGTTTACAGAACATGTCAGAATAAAAGCACAGTGATGACTGTAAACAAACAGGAGGAACCTTCAACACACACGCTGGTTCTTATGTCGTCGTGGGGACCCTCATTAGCATAGCCTCCCTTTGATGGTCCCTGTCTCTTCTTTTTGTTTTTGTTTAATGAATTGCATTATAACCCATAAACTTTAAAATAGTTTTAATTTCTAAAATAAGTAGATATTACCTCACTTTTCCTTCAGTTTAAATAAAAAAAATGAAATACTCTAAAAAGTCTTATTATAAAGTCTTATATGAACTATCTGCACACCTTGTTTGCTATTGTATTTGTTATAATTATATTTCATACTGTTTAACTGGTGTGTATTAGTGTGTGCCCCCCCCCCCCCCCCTGATAATCTGACTATGAGCTGCCTAGAGACGTAACGTCTTCGTACTTTAACGAGATCATCTGTTGAGACTCACTGCAGACAAACCGGTGTCATCAAGAGAGTTCTGATGGTGGCTCATGGCTCCTTCAGGGGTCAGAGGTCAGAGTGTGTCTGAAGGTCAACAGATGAGTTCAAGCAGCACAACCTGGAGGAGGAAATACTGGAGGATATTGGAGTGTTCTTACTGAAAGAAAAGCGTTCATGGACTGAATCTGAATCCTCAGCATCCTTGCAGCACTGATAAGATCAGAAGATCAATCATCATTTCTCATCTCACATCGTCGTTTTTCATCTCACATCATCATTTATCATCTCACATCATCATTTCTCATCTCACATCATCGTTTCTCATCTCACATCGTCGTTTTTCATCTCACATCATCATTTCTCATCTCACATCATCGTTTCTCATCTCACATCATCATTTCTCATCTCACATCATCATTTCTCATCTCACATCATCATTTCTCAAATGACATCATGAAAACACACACCACCTGTACCGTTGTAGAATAAAAGTTGAAAGTGAAGGAATTGACTCACCTCACCAAGGAGACTTCTCATTGGGTGAGAGAACTACAGCTCCACGCTGCCCTCTGCAGGACAATAGCAGAAACTACAGGAAGTCCTGCTCACCGGAGGGACGTCCAACTGTGAAACTAAAGTGCAAAGACATCCACTTGCCTCCTGCAGACCATTTGAATCACGTCCTCCAACGAGATCCGCTTGTTGCGATCCATGAAAACTGTGTGTGAGTGTGTGTGAGTGTGTGTTCATACCTGGTAAGTGTGTTGTCGTTGTACAGCAAAGAGACAGAAACAACCTGCAGCTACTTTTATACCACATCCCCTGAGTGTGTGTGTGTGTGTGTGTGTTTACTTAACCTGTTAGCACAACAACAATTAACTTCTCAGTGTGTGTGTGTGTGTGTGTGTGTGTGTGTGTTTAGGTCATGTGTTGTGTTTGTGTGTTTTCATAACATCAGTTAAACATAAAGAAAGTCTTTCTCACGTGTGTGCGTTTTCTTGTCCTTGCTACATAGTGAGGACCACTGTATTTAACCGATGGGGACATTGTGTCTCTGACCCTTTTAGTGCTTGTTAGTCATCAGCTTTGATAATCGACTATGACTGTTAGTCTGTGGCCTACACGCTTTAATATAAACACATATATAACGTCACCAGACCAAACTCATTTAAATAGTGTGTCGATGAATAGACGTAAACTCATTATCATATTTAAAGGTTAAAATAGGGAGATTTGAATCTTTTATATTTTGTCTTCACTTAACAGCAGCTAGTCAACTTTATCTACAAGTAACAAGTCCACTAAAGGGACACTGTTAGAGGGACATGGTTACTGGGACAGGGCTAGGAGGACACGGTCTAGAGCAGTGGTTCTCAACTGGTCTGGCTCCAGGACCACCATCACGCCTTAATGACACGTCGAGGAACATTCTCAACTTCTCAAATGTATTTAATGAAAACATGGTGCAGTTTGAACCTGAGAGTACGGAGACAGAATACGTATGCCCATTAAAAAGGGGTCCGCGACCCACCAGGGGAGAATCACTGGTCTAGAGGGACACGGTTAGAAGGACGTGGTTGGACAGGTGACCACCAAAAGGTAAGTAACTATGAACTACAAGAAGACATGTCTGTCCCTCTTGTGTGTGTTAAAATACTGTCTTCAAATACTGAGAGCATGATGTCCACTGGAGTGAAGACACTTAGAACCCGCCCACCCCATCATGTGATCAGTCAGAGACTTGATCCTGCTGTTAAATGCTGTTTACATAACTATCGATATTTCATTTTCTGTAAAAAATATTAAACTGAAGAAGACAAGTGAGGAAATATGTACTTATTTTAGAAATAGAATTATAATGTAATTATTAAAAATAGAAAAGGACAACCCATTGTGGGGGAAGTCATCAAAGGGGGGCTAACGACGGTGTGTGTTTATGGTTCCTCCTGTTTGTTTACGCTCATCACTGTGCTTTTATTCTGACATGTTCTGTAAACACAACAGGAAGTTCACCTGCGTCACCTTCTGTGGGAACCTCAGACTCTGTGACAGCGACACACACACAGTAATAATTGCAGTATTCATGTACTTTGTGTATTAGACTCAGGACCTTAAGGCGTGAGAACATCGGTCTCAGGTAACAACTTGTTGCAGCGACACCTGCTGGTCAAAGAGGATCGATGCAGCTGTCACAACACATTTATTACACTTTTACATTGAAACACAAAATACACAGAGAGGGTTCTTCCTCTGCAGAGCATGAACGAGTCAATGAAGTCAACGACTGAATAAAAGGTCACAGGGGTCACCAGGATCCTGGAAACATCCATGTCCAGTCTGGAGGTCCAGTTTGTTGCTGTGGACCATCACACTGTCTGAGGGATCATTATCTCTCCTCCACCTCCGGAGAACCCATTCAGTCCACTGACACACTGGGAACCAATCACTGCTCTGTAGCCTTTGTCTCATCCTCCTTGCCCTCCTGGCTCCTCTTCTTCACCTCCTGCAGCCCCTCCTGGATTTTCTCCACAGCCTCCTGGTCTCCGGCCTGCCGAGCAAGACCCAGAGCCTGCAGGTAGAACCTCACCGAGTCCTCCAGCCGGCCTGATGGACCACAGTTAGAACATCAGACTAGATGTGAACCGGCACGGCCGGTCGCTTGTCCGACCTACTTCAGCTGAACCCGCGTTCCCATGGAAACCAGGCTGACGTAGGCGTTTGGGAGTGGTTCCACCTAAAGTAGGTCAGACTCAGAGACCTTTGACCTTTCCTGACCTTTGTGCAGCAGGATGCCGGCCATGTTTCCCAGGAGCACATGTTGGTCGGGGTGCCCGGTTGAGCGGCTGAGATCCACTGCGCGCTGGACCAGCTCAAGCGCGTTGTCATGGCGACCCTGCAGGTCCAGGATGGTGGCCAGGTCGCTCATCAGCACCAGAGTCTGACAGGTGACAAGATGGTGGTGTTCAGGTGCCGTCTCAACGTTTCACAAGAACGTGTCCACCTGTTGTCCTACCTGTGGGTGGGTGTGTCCCTGCTCCTGCAGGCAGATGTCCAGAGCTTTCTGGTAGTCTTGTCCCGCCTGTTTCAGATGCAGTGTTGACGCTCGGTATCGAGCCCGAGAGTCGAAACACAGACCGAGCAGAAGACGGGTCTCCTTCCTCAGAGCCTCCTGCTCCTCTGAGGACAACAGCAGCGTTACTTAAGAGCCTGTCTTTACCTGTCCGGTCTACCTGGACCCGTCTGTTGTGTGGCAGGTGTCTCACCTGTGAGATCCTCTACAGCGGTTTCCTTATGTTTTTGCAGTTTGGCCTCCAGAGACTCCGTACAGAACGCAAATCCAATCTCCGCAAGCTCCGCCCTCAAACACACACACACACACACAGTCACCTTTCTGACAGGAAGTGAGATCAGAGATCAGAGACCTGAAGCGTTGAATCTTACTTGTTCTGTTCAGCGTAGATGGTGGCGAGTTTCAGAGACATCTCAATGACAGCGTTGTCGTCCTGGAACAGACAGGGAGGCAGTGAGAACAGCTGAGTGGACGGAAACAGACACACACACACACACACACACACACACACACACACACACAAACACACACCTGAGGCATCCCTCCTGACAACATGAAGCTCATTGCTGCTTTGAAGAGTTTCTCTGCCTGAGAGGAGGAAGAACAACCAGCGGTCTCACTGCCGTTGCCGTAGTGACAAGGTGACTAACGGGTCGGTACTCACGTGGTCCAGCTGACCCTGGACGTACGCCAGGTTCGCCATCTGAGAACACACACAGGCGCAAGAGGTCAAAGGTCCCACCCAGAGCTCTGTGACCTTTGACCTGAGAGGTCGACGGTGGAGCATGTAGTACAGAGGGTGCGCCGGGAACCGCAAGGTTGGCGGTTCGTGCCCCGGCTGCCCCGTGTCCCGTGTTGATGTGTCCCTGAGCAAGACACCTGACCCCTAATTGCTCCCCGGGCAAAAATGTATAAAGCCGCGGGTTTAAAGTGTGATGTAAGTCGCTTTGGAGAAAAGCGTCTGCTAAATGACCTGTGATGTAACGAGAGGTGGGCGGGGCTTACCAGACTGTAGGCGTAGATCACGGCCTGGTGGTTGTGAGTCTGATGAGCCACGGCGACGGCCTGGTGGAGGAGGCCCGAGGCGGCCTCCAGCTGACCCCGTGACACACTGAGCTGAGGGCGGAGGAGTGTTAGTACTAGAGTCCTGGTAGTACTAGTACTACTGACCCGCGGGGAGGAGGAGTGTCAGTACTGGAGTATTAAAGTACTACCTTAGCCTTCTTCAATAACAAAATCATCTCGTCCTCTTTCCTCTGAGCTTCATCTCGTCGGTCTTCATCAGCACTGCTGAACAGAGAGAAAGCTACACACACACACACACACACGCACACACACACACACACACACACACTGTACAGTAGCTTGAAATCCACAGATTTGTGACCTGAGTTTGGTGAGACTGAACGTACCGATGACCGCCATCAGACATCTTCTGGCTGCTCCTCTTGATGCTCCTCCTCCTCCTCCTCCTCCTGCACCTCCTTCACCTCCTCCTCCTGCTCCTCCTGCTCCTCTTTCACCTCCTCCTGCTCCTGCTCCTCCCAGGGAGTTAAGGAAGTTTCTCCCGATGGGGTCATGTTCGCTAACTTTTACCCAGCATGCCGAGCGCTTCCCCTTCACAGCGCTGCTGGTTGTTCTGGAACAAGAGAGACAGTTCATCTTTTATTTACACCCACATCTCCTTCCTTTGTGTCCTAGCCCCTCCCACAAAGGACGCATGGAGAGACAAGGAATGTGAGGAGAGGAAACGAGGAAGCTTCACGTCTGTCTGATTGCAGCGGATCTCCTTTCTCTTCCACGTCTCTGTCCATCTGTCTCTCACTGTGTCCATATCTCTGTCTGTCTGTCTTTGACAATGTCCCTGTCTCTCTCCACGTTTCTGTCCATCTGTCTCTCACTGTGTCCATGTCTCTGTCTGTCTGTCTGTGACAATGTCCCTGTCTCTCTCCACGTTTCTGTCCATCTGTCTCTCACTGTGTCCATGTCTGTCTGTTTTTGACTATGTCCCTGACACTCTCCACGTCTCTGTCCATGTTCCTCTCGCCGTCTCCCTTCGTGTCCATATCCCGTGTCAATCTGTCTCTTCCCATGTACCTGTCTCCGGTGTTTGGGACGCAGGTGTACCGTCCCCGTACAGTGACGTGTCCTCCTGAACACAATAACCTGCTCAGAGTGTGGCTGAGGACGGCGCGTCGCACGCCGGAGGCCGCCATCTTTACTGTTTACATAAGGAGCGGATGTCACTGCAGGCCTTCAAAATAAAACCAACGGAAGCAAAGATGGGTCAATTTAAGTAAAAGACTCGAGTGGAATATTTGTTGGATTTAAATCTCAGAACACAGTGAAGACATTGTAGAAATATAGTATAATTAATATATAATAATATAACGATACATTGTTATGTATGTTGTATTATCTATAACATTACACATAGATATTAAATTAAAAATTACACTGTGATATATTAAAGGGGGCACTAAGTTTTTTTTGTTCAAATATTACATCCTAATGACATATTCTATAATATTTTACACTGTAAAATTGTATATTATATTGAATATGACATAACACAAGATATTACAAAACAGTATATTAAAGATAATGGCAGAAAACTATGATATATATATTTTTGTCTATTATAGATCTATATCTACAATCTTCAAAAAGAACCTGAGATCAACTTTCTGGGGTTGAAAAAAGTGTTTCCTTTCAGCTTTAAAGGTGTTTATTAAGAGCTTAAGAGATCGCAGCAGAGAAGGACCAAGTTAGTGCTTCACGTGGCCCCCAGACAATCGGATTCCTAATAGTTTCCGACTTCTTATCAAAACCTGTGATTTGAAACAATTTAAATAATTCTGTAGAGACGTTTATGCTGAGAAAAGGGTACACGGACTCCGTGATGGATGTCCAATAATCCTTTTTGTTCTCGTGACGGTTCCTCTTTCATGAGTCCCGTTAAGCTCCTGTAGAGTAGAATCTTCAACGCTTCCTTCATGAGCTCCTCTACCAAAAGGTTTTCAGTGCTTCCTTTATATTTAGGAGAACAAACACCAGACCTTCCTGTACAAAAGAAAAGTGGATAATTCCTACCCACAATGCCTTGCGGCAGAATCATTTAAAGTGACTCGGAAATGATGAAAGTAAGTCTTCATAATGTGTAAATGTGCACATGTTGACAGTTTAGTAGCTTTGTTCTTTATTGGATAATTCGGATTTCTTTTATTGACATTCCTGCAATGCTAATAAAGTTTTTTTTTTCTTGCGATTGGCTCTGTGAGAACACAGGAAGTATCTAGGAGGAGCTTCTGAACGTCCTACTTCCACATCAGTGATATCACAGCTGCGTAGCTCAGTGAAGACAGATTGTCTCCGAGCTCCTCCCCGTCCTACTTTTCCTGACCCTGTGACATCTTCCTCAGAGGCCAAGGGATCGTTGTTAGGAAAAGACCTGCGGGACCTCTGGGACCATTGGACCACGGCCCTGCAACTGACCCGTGTCATTCGGCTGGCTGGTGGTCCATGAACCTCTTCAGGTGGTAACGCAGCACCCCTTTGGTCTTGAAGGTCTTGCCGCAACAACATGCGTGCGGCCGCTCGCCGGTGTGGTCGAGCTGGTGGACCCGCAGCAGCGAGCTAGTAAAGAAGAACTCCCCGCAGGTGATACAGTAGTGGCTCTTCTCCCCAGTGTGCTTAGTTCTGCGGTGGCTTAGCAGCGAGCCGGAGGTGACAAAGCTCCGGCCGCAGTCGCAGCAGCGAAAGGGACGCTCGCCGGTGTGGATCCTCTCGTGGGCCCTCCAGGAGTTGTGGTAGGAGAAGGCCTTGTCGCAGTAGGAGCACTGGTACAGCTTTTCCTTGGTGTGGCTCAGCCGGTGCATCTTCAGGTAGTGGGCGATAGTGAAGCTCTTCCCGCAGTCCTCGCAGGCAAAGGGCTTCTCGCCCACGTGGAACAGCGTGATGTGGGACCTCAGGTGGGACGACTGGGTGAATCTCTTCCCGCAGGTGGTGCAGAGGAAGGGCCGCTCCCCGGTGTGCGTCACCATGTGGGACTTCAGGTGTGGCGACTGCGTGAAGCGCTTTCCGCACTCGGTGCAGCGGTAGGGCTTCAGGCCGGTGTGGGTGCGGTCGTGCAGCTTCAGGCCTTGCAGGCTGGAGAAGCGCTTGCCGCACTCGGCGCAGTGGTAGTCCCTCAGGTCCTGGTGGGTCCGCCGGTGGACCCGCATGCCGCTCAGCAGCTTGAAGCCTTTGCCACAAGTGGGGCACTGATGCGGCTTCCTGTCGGAATGGGTCACCTGGTGGAGTTTCAGGCTCTGGGGGTTCCCGAAGGTCTTCTCACACCTGGGGCAGGGCAGCGGCTTGCTCTTCCGGTGCGACCGGCGATGGAAGTTGAAGCCCTGGTAGGAGACAAACCTCTTGTCGCAGACCCTGCAACGGTAGCACTTCTCCCCCTGGTGCGTCTCCAGGTGCTGGCCCAGCTCCGCCTGCTCGCCAAACCCGTCGCCACAGAACCAGCACCTGAACGGCTTTGTGCCAGAGTGCGTGCGGTGGTGCGTCTTCCAGTCCCTCTTCAGGGCAAAGGTCTTGTCGCAGTGGGAACAGTGGTAGGGCTCCCTGCGCTCATGGACCTGCTGATGGACCACCAGGCTCATGAGGGTTGGGTAGCTCTTCCCGCACCGCCAGCACTCGTTGAGTTTCCCCCCCCGGTGGGTCCTCAGGTGAGCCTCCAGGTGAGCACTCTTGTAGAAACCCCGGTTGCATTCTGGGCAGTAAACCATCTTCCTGCTCGTGCTCGTCGGACGGCGCTGCTTCAGCTGAGGATAATCATCTGTGGGTTGGAGGGGTCAGAGGTCAGATTCTTTCAAAAATGATGGGCAGCTGCTCTACAACGACCAACACTTGGTTCTGTTGACAAAACAAAATCTTTAGTCTGGACAAATAAATGTCACTTGTCACCTGAGAATTTGATTTGAATGTGATCAGACAGGTTTTATTGTAATCAGCAGCCTCAGATCAGATCCCTGTAGGAACGCTGAGCAGCAGGATGATAATCAATAGCATAGCTATTGATTATCATCTATTGATAGCATAGCTATTGATTATGTTCAGCTAAATAAACTACAGAAGAAATGACTGCGTTCTTACCAAGAGACAGGAAGTCCCGCCCCTCCAGCCACAGCCTGCAGTCGGTCAGTTTGACGGACAGCTTCTTGAGGAGCGTGAGGGGCTGGATCTCCACGTCGTCCGGTTCCGATTTGATCCGAACGCCCTGAAACCAAACAGTACCCTTTAGATCTGATCAGAGGTCAGTGGTACTACGGGACGACTTGTTACTTGTCTTCCCGTAGTAACTTGGAGTACTTAGTACTTCTACAGTACAGCAGTACTGAATGACAGGCCTCTAACTGAACCTCGGGTCCATTACTCGGGTTGATTAATTCGGAGGATAAACGGAATCGCGCCGCCTTTCTGCACCGGTTCGGAACCGTTAACGCGTTTCTATCTCTACCGAATCACCGTTACATGCGCGCAGTCTGAGTTACGTTACGCTAGGTGCGTTAGCTTAGCTTCACAGAGCGCGCCGGTCAGTCGGTGTGTGTTTACCGGAGAAACCGCACCAGGCTCCATCCCGCCAGTCCGGTTCCGTGCGAACCGCAGCGATGGCTTCTGCAGCAGCCGGCCACTTCCGGGGAAAGTCCAACCTCCCAAGAAGCAGATGTACAACATCCGGTCTGACTGTTCTTTCACTTCTATTACCGTGACAAAGTAAATGAATCATCTCCCCCCATTTAAATTATACATGACGTTAAATATTTTAACCAACATTGACGTGGAAGTGATCTTTAATGATGCTGCTCAAAGAGGAACAGTCACAAGTGACAACAAATAATATACTGGCCATTGAAAGCAATAAATACAACAGCTCAAAGAAACAGCACTTTTTATTTGACAATGAATGTTGTGTTTAAATGAAAGTTTACATAGCTTCCAATATTATTACACATTTGCTAGTATTAGGAAGATGTATCTGTATAAAAAAAACAATAGTGTCATTCACACAAACTAAAAAATTAAATAATGAAAGACAGTATCCATTTCTCTCATATAAAACATACAATGTACAATACAAGCGTGTTGGTAAAGAGTCTTTCTACCCTGTGGTCCTCTTACCTAAAAGTATCACGCGGATCTGGGATCAGCTGATGGACACTGAACTCGCTCTTGTTGCATTGATTAAGAAAAACACTTGAGCCAGTAGCTTATTTTATTACTAAAAAAGTTTCACTGCGTGAATAAATGACTCCTCTTTAGATTACAGTCCAACTCTCATTAAATATCAGCATGAAGGAAGAGTACCCAACCAAGCTTTCAGTACAAAGGAAGTTATGGGGTCAGAGGCTACAGTACTCCGAGAGTCCAGCAGGCGGCGCAGCAGCTTCCAGGTGGGTCTGAACAGGTGAGACAGTAACACATAAAGCAATCACTTGCATTTCAGTCTACGGAGTTCGGTTTAAATGTGTGGGTCACATGACCAGACTGAGTTGGGATCAGAGGAACGCTTCGGTCGGTCTTTGTCATGGCACCCGCGCTGAGAACACTCTGCTCGAGGGCGCTACAATTCGGCCTTTTGTTCACATCATCTCCCGGTGGAGCTAAGCCCCGCCTACATTTGGATTTATATTCATATGGGATGTCACTCACCGCCACGTTGGTGCCGGCCTCGCCACGGGGTCATTCTGTCAGCCAATCAGAGAAGCAGGTAAGAACTCCAAGTATACAGATTAGACCCCCCAACCCCCCCATTTCAAGACCAGAACCCTGGATCAGAATACGCTTCAGCTCGGTTTTGTCACGGCCCCCCCTTTGTGAACAGACTGCTGGGGGGGCTTCAATCGGCCTTTTGTTTCATCACTTCAGGGACTTGGTAGCAGAGTATCACTAGCATTACTTCTGGACCGAAACCATTACTACCGTTAAGTTAAGTTGCACAATAGAACTTCTACAGTGTAGTATGGGTGCATCGGAGTAAGTTTGCGGCGTGGTTTAGAGTTCCACCGGAGTAAAAGTACTTAACGTTAGCGTAACAAATACCTTTAGGCCGCCATCTTGATTAACTTTTCCCGCTGCACGGTCTCCTCTTTGTCCTTTTCAGTCACATCTTCCCGTTGACGAAGCCGTCGGAGCTCGTTGGAGCTTTGAGTTTTCCGCCATGTTACCCGATGCTAACGACGTGATCTGGTTCGCGCTTCATCGTCAGCTATACGTGGAAACACACCAACACCACGCGGACCGGACCGCTCTGGTCGGCGGCTCCAGCTCCAGCGGCTTGTTGTAATTATATCATCCCGCAGCCAACCACAGAAGAGCGCGTCAGCGCCGTGGTCAGACATGACCCGCCCCACTCTGCATCTGATTGGCTTACCCTTACAAAGCATGTGCCTAAATCAACCAATCCAACATATCGAAGCAACAGTTACTAGCCAATCAGAGGGAAAGTAGGACGAGTCTTGTTTGGCACAAGTACCCATTGCGTGACGTCACACTCACGGCTGGATGAAGTAACTTCCATATGGATGTCAAATAACACAAAATGTGAACATATAAATAAGAAGTATGTAAATAAATTGTACTACAATAATCATGTTCAAATTAGTGAAGTAACAACGTATGTAGAAATGGAATAACAAACTTCTGGGAGAGGATTTTACATTACATGTAATTTAGCTGACGCTTTTATCCAAAGCGACTTACAATAAGTGCATTTCCACCATAAGGAAACAAACCAAGACGAACAAGAAACAATAAAGTGCAATTTCATCAAGTAAGCTGATCTACAACTTGCTATAGATAAGAGCAATTATAAGTACACTTTAAATGCCAGTTAGTGTTTTAGTGGAGGTAGAGTCTGAAGAGTGTGAAGGCTCTCTGTGGTCCTCACGTCTTCAGAGAGCTCCTTCCACCATAATGTGGACGGATGTGGACACAGGGTCAGTAGAGTTAATAGCTAAGAATATTAGCTCAAATATAAATAAATCAATAATAATAAATAAGTATATGTCTACCACAGTACAGAGGCATTTTGGCTGCTCACAGGGGTAAAACATGATAAATACTTTCTTTTCCGGGGTAGTTTGTAAAGGCAGGTCGATTGGTTGCTAAATGACATTATGATGCCGTTGCATGACGTCATTACGTAATAACATAAAACTGCGTCGTTACATAGAATACACAATAACTAAGAGCCAAATATGGGTGTGACGTTGTGTACACTGGGTGCCGGTCCACTAAGCACTAATTAGCACTGTGGATTCAGTGTTTGACAGGCAAAGGGTTTTTGACCGCTAAACCGGGTGTTAATCTACCACGAACTGTTGCATGTTAACCAGGAATAAATTGACTTTAAACTGTACCAGTGGACTCTATCTAGTGTTTCCTACACAACGCTGCGAAACCAACAGCAACATGCAGAGGACTCGTCAACAGCGCGGCACCCAGGTCAACACCTCAGTAGCTCAACACCTCAGTAGCTCAACACCTCAGTAGCTCAACAACAGCTGACTGGGCTCCTATAACAGTAATGTTACTCAAATTGACTTTCCATCTCGGCAAAACATATGATTTGACATTTGTAAGTTTTGTTTTTTCATTATGATATATCTGTAAATTCTTTTCTTCTTCTTCCAAATATAGATAAGTACTACAGATATTTTGAAACCCAAACATAATGAATTACCAATAGCACGTTACACATTATTAAACAATTTCTTATTATTATTAACTAGTAAACCTACACATTTTGAACAGTTAGTTTTAAGCAGTCTATTGGATAGTTAGTTAACACGCATCCAAACTGATCAACAATTGTAAGTATAAGCTAATAATAAGGCATTTATATTACAGGCATCTCTTTCAAGCTATCCGTTGAAGTCACTGACAATGCACTTTTGCAGCCAGGCACATGTTGTTTTTGTGTCATCAAGAGGGACAATGCCGCATTTTCTGCATGAAACAGACAGAGAACAACTATGCCAACTTCGCAAGCTGTTTGAAAAAAAAAATATATATATATATTATATATTTGTTGCTAGGTGCGGTTTGAAAAAAATTTGCCAGGTTGTCTGAAAAGTTACTGAATCTAGCAACAGAGTTGGCCTTGTTGTTTCATTTAGGGTCCCAGTAAGGATCTCTTATCGCTCGACCAGGAGTGAACTGAGACGGGTGCAGGCCACTTTACATTTCCTCACAATGACTTTAAAATGAGCTGCTGCAATACAAATACATTTAACAAAGCGCTCAAAATAAACACTCATATTAACGACGCTGAGGAAAAAACACGAAGGCATCACTAACCGTTATTGAAAGCTTAACAAACGGTCAGATTTTTATGAACTTTTCAGTACTTTTTAAGTTGTTTTCAGGCGAGAGTGGCGACAGACACGGAGGATAAGGTGTGAAGTTAAGAGAAGGTGGTGTAAAGTTAAGAGAAAAGGTGTTAAGTAAAAAGATGGACGTCAGAGACGAGCGATTGGATCCCGTCCGGAGCTTCACTCTCAAAGGCTTCAGGTTGGAGCAGGAAACATGGCGGGGGGTTTCCTCAGGGGACGACAGCGAGATGGTCTTCAACAGCTTCTTCAACACTCAGGACAACACTCACCTGTTCATCCATCACCAGGACGGGGGACGACTCTGCGTCGGTCTCCACTTCCCCCAAAATGTCCGAACTAAAGTCATCTGCGTCTCCAAGACGGGGCGAGAAGTGGTCACAAAAAAAAATGTTCGAAAGATTTTAATAATCCAAGAAGTTCAGGGAGAAGACGCCAAGACCGCCATGATCGCCGTCTCTGAGGAGGTGGGATCATTCAAGCTAATGCTAACATTTAGCCCAACTGGAAGCTAAAGCTAACTCAAGCTAATTCTAACATTTAGCCTAACTAGAAGCTGAAGCTAATGTTAACTCAAGCTATGGCTAACATTTAGCCCAACTGGAAGTTAAAGCTAACTCAAGCTAAGGCTAACATTTAGCCCAACTGGAAGCTAAAGCTAACTCAAGCTAAGGCTAACATTTAGGATATCTGGAAGCTCGGGCTAACTTACAACAAAACAACGCCAGGGTGTCCTGACCCGGGCAATTTTTAGCTATCCAGTAAAACGATTGATAAAAATGATCGTGTAATGTATTCAGGCTATTTAACGGTATTAAAGTAAGCGTTACCTCCCTACCTCTCGAGCCAAATAGTGTTTCAATTATGAAAGTTAAAATGTTTTCCAGTCTATAAAAGGACGCTAACGCCGGTGAATTAGCCGTGCACTGGTATAGCCCTGACCCAGGAAGACGTCAATCGTCATTGTAAACATTTTTTTTAGATTAAATTAAATATTAGTCGTTCACATGTATTATTGACATTACTAAAGTCTTCTAGGCGTTCGACAAAAATACTGGAAACCGCGTGAAATTGCGGTGTCCAGGTCAGGGCAATACTGGCTTCCGCTGTCACTGTCCAGGTCAGGACACCGTTATAGCTAACAATTACAGTTAGCCTAACTAGAAGGAAAAGCTGATTTTTAGTCAAGGCTAATAGTTAGACTGAGGGTCTGGATAATTTAAGACAAGTCTAACTGGCCAATTAAAGCTACAAACGCAGTAATGGCTAATTCCAGATAAGTCTCAACAGCAAAGCTCACCAGAAACAATTGCTAATTTAGGAGATCTCAATATCAAAGCTAACTAGAAGCTATGGCTAATTCAAGATGACTCCTAACGTAAAAGCTAACTAGACGCTATGGCTAATTTTAGAACCAGAACAACTGAGCTAACTAGAAGCTATGGCTAATTAGTAACAAACACCCCTCTGCCCTCAGGTGACCTGCCCGTTGCTTAGCAACCCGGGGACGAGCAGAAGCTGGGCGGTGGGATTAGCCGAGGAGGCTCTGAGATCCATGGAGCGACAGAGGAACGAGGCTCTGGTGGTGAAGGGGCAGATAGAGGGACGCACCTTTCTGGCTTATCCCGATGCTTTGCGTGACGAATGTCTCCATGACAACGCACTCCATGACGACAGCTTCCAAGGCGACACTGAAGGGCGGTAGGACAGACAAGCTAATATCTATCTGTCAGTTCAATCTATAATAAATCAATAATTTATGATTTCACATCCAGCTCAGGGGAAGGAAACCCGAGTCATCATTCTTCTTCTCCTCTATCAGTGAGGCTTCTGATTCTCCTCCTCTAACAGTGAGGCTTTGTCCCAATCCCAACGCCCCCCCTAAACCCCGAGCCCCTCAGGGACGCACTGAGGTCACCATGTCAGAGGTTGAGTGAGAGTCTGTGAGGGCTTTAAATGGTTGTAAATATGAAGGGACATCACTTTGCTCCCACATATCACGTCACCATGACAACAGCAATAATTATGATTTATGACTGAGGCTATTTACTTACTACTTTTCACTCTCTAATTTGAACATATTTCAGACTCTTTCCTTATTAAATGAGTACAGACGAATGAAAAGTTGAATTATGAATGTAAATTCTGCTCTCAAACAGACGTAACGTTACCGGGGGAAGGCGCGTCGGGCTGCTCTCTGAGATGAAGCTGATCGTCTGGTGCTGGAGCTCATTGTATATAATATATAATATTCATAAATCCTCCGCCATTGTTGCCTGTTGCTGAGGTGAAGTGGGCGGGCGAGTCACATCTGGGCCTTTTGACTGGTCCCGGCGGACACGAGTCCACAATTCCAGACAAGAATGTATATTGAGAAAGGGCCTTCTTCTCTCCTTACAATGATGCTTCTTCTTCTTCATTTTCTACTGTCATGTAGAAAGGCTTTTTTCTTCTCCCCTCCCCCAGAAGGTGGTTGGACATGCAGCTCCTCCACGCCTGTGATTCCACCATCATGGAGTGGATGAAGCTGGTATCAGAGGTCCTGCAGCAGGACTCATCTCAGCTGGTTCTGGATGGACAGGAGCCTCTTCCCTCAGCGGAGTTTAACTTCTGGAGGAGCAGACTGAGGAACCTGCACTTCATCCAGCAGCAGGTCCGTAATCATTTCTATCTTCTACTATTATATTGTTTTCTATTAATCTAGTGAAGGTTTCTGCTCAGCTGATGAGTAGCAGAGCTCAGCAGGTGTTGTCCATTGCTCAGAGTGCAGAGAGCGTCTACTTTTCCAGTCTGAAGGACCTTCACACAGACATCCAGAAAGGTAATGTCTTCATCAGGTGGGCAGAGCCTCATGAGAGCACCTGTTTCCTGAGCACACCTGTTTCTTTCAGGTCTGGACGAGGCTGAAGACGTCACCAGGAACCTGAAACCTGTCCAGGAGAAGCTGGACGAACTTCAGCAGATGGAGTACCAGCAGGTACCACAGGGCTGGCTGTGACATCACTGCTCTGTGTGACATCACCGCTCCGTGTGACATCACTGCTCCGTCTGTGATTGGCAGGTGGGGGACAACATGGCTGCCGTGATGGAGGAGGTGCGACTGGTGTGGATCAAGTCTGAGTTCTACTGTTCTACTAGAGTTGTGGTCCTGCTGCAGGAGATCTGCACCCTGTTCATACAGATGGTAAGACACACACACACACACACGCACACACGCACACACACACACATCACATGCTGTCAATGCCCCTCCCCCTCTTGCAGAGCAGGAGCTTCCTGCATGGAGAGGACTTGATGAGACCTGTGGGGTCAGAACTTGGTCAGAAGATGGATGATGTCACTCTGGTGATCTGGACCCTTAAGAGCCTCAAAGAGGCCTTTAGGCTGTGCAGAACCCAGCTGGAGGACCAGAGACAGGTAGACCCGATCCCACCAGGTCTGTATCTCTCCTGTGGAGAGAGAAGGACAGAGAAGACCTCCACAGGAGCGTTAGGGACAGAGCGGTCAGGTGGGCTGATCTCAGCCGTGTGTTGGATTCCTATTTAGGGCTGTCAAGATATCCAATATTTGCTGTGCGATTATTACATTTATTGCGGTTTGTGATATTATTGCAATTTTCAGACCACTTATGGCACCAACGCAATGACAATATACCAGCATAGTGATACAAGAACGCTTTCAAAGAACAAAGAACGTTTTATTCGTTTTAATAGTTTAACATTAGAATCGGAATGTGAAAAAAATATCCTAAATAATAAGTGTGGGGACACGGAGCGGGTCTGGTTGGTCCGCTGCGGTCGGTCAGCGGAACGCGAGGCGGCTCGGTGCCGCTAACAACCGGCCGGCCGAAGAGCTGAACGAGCGTCCGGAGGAAGCGACAGCGTCCAGCCTAAAGACTCCGTCGTGTTTCTAAACCAAACCGGCTGCTTCGCCTTATCGGCTCTCTTCTCTCATTCGGCTTGAAGCCCAAAGGTTCCACTTGGACTTTATCCTGATTGTCTGTAGATGAAAAAGAACCCTTCAACCCTCCGGTTGGAGGCGCTGCCTAAGCCCCGCCCCCGACAATGGAATCAGACGAGGTCGCGATCGACTAACGTGTCGGTGACGTTCATTTAAATGGAAATGAATATCGCACCAACAGCCAATGAGCGCACTCATTTTCCTACATAGTGCAATAAGTCAATATGTTGTGTATCGCTTAGAACACTGTACTCCCATGATGCCTGAGCTTTGTCTCTGCTGCAGGACGGAGACACTCTGAGCTGGGACTTTCCTTCACACCTGGTCTTCTTCAGGCTGGACCACTTCCTGCTCCACCTGCAGGGCATCCAGGTACACACATGCATACATGCAAACGCTTCTCCTCAACTCTTCTTTCCTCCTCGCCTCCTTTCCTCCCTCCTCTTTCTTCCTCTTCTCCATCCTCTCCCCACGCCTCCTCCTCCCTCAAGGAGGTGTTCAGTGTCAGCCAGCAGCTGCATCAGTTGGAGTGGACGGTGCTGTCTGGTGTTGGAGGCCGGACGAGGACTGATATGGTCCAGGAGGTGTATCAGGACTTCCTGTGTCATGTGACGGTTCTGAGTGACCTCAACTGTGACCCCAGCGACCCTGACGACCAGGTGAGACTACTGAGATGTGTGACGATCTTCCTTTTGGATCCTGAGCTGTGTGCGAGTCCTCCTCCTCTCCTCAGAGCTTCCTCAAGCACCGGAGTCAGTTCTGGGTTCAGGTGTCGGACCTGGAGACACGGCTGGTGTCGGTCCTCAGCAGAGCCTTTGTGGACTGCTGCGTCTCCTCCTCCGGAGAAAAGGTACCGGGTCTACTCTGACACGGTACAGGTCTGGTCTGGTCTGGTCTGATTCAATCTGGTCTCCTTTGTTTCAGCTGGTGAAGATGTTTGGGTTCATCCTGGACCGTCCCCTGATCCATGATCAGCTGCGTCCTCACCTGGTCCGCCTGGAGGAGATGGTCCTGGAGGAGCTGGATCAGATCGAGCAGCTGTTCTTCAGTCAGAGAGAAGAGTCAGACACATTCTGCATGTTCACTCCGTCTCATGCAGCCCGACTCTGCTGGAGTCAGCAGCTCAGGCGGAGAGCTGAGACCACTCTGAACCACCACAGGACTCTCCAACAGCTGTAAGGCCACATTCTCCTGTGTTCAGGTACCTGGACCTGGTCTCTGTGTAGTGCTCAGGTACCTGGACACAAGCTGTCTCTGCAATGGGACGCTCCGGCCTACAGGGGGACTTCCTGCTTGCGTCATCGACATTACCTCCGCTCCTCCTGTTGCCTAGCAACCTGCTTAACAGTAAAACACAAATGTATAAAATACAGGTAGAGAAGATAATCTTCTTCTTTCATTGACTTTAGGAAGATCTGCTTCTCCTCCAGAGCATCATATATTTCAGTCTGAGCTTAAATGGTTATTTAAATCAAATCAGTTAAAGCGGTCAGTAAAATCAACTTGCATTCTTCGTAGTGTCACTTTAATATTCCAGCAACATCATAAACATAAAAATTGCTCTATCTCGTAATTTGTAATGCGGTAGAAAATTGTTTCCCCTTCCGCTCTCTAAACCAAACACACCTGGCTGTATTCAGGTGACGTCTAAATGTTACATCATCAATATTACATCACAAGCATTTCAGCAATATTGTGACATAAAGGAGATTTGATTGTGATCTGGTTCAAGTCAGTGGAATGGCTGCAACAAAAGTAATAATGCAACTCAAGGCAGAGGAGATTCCATCAATACAGTCAATAAAAACAACAAACACATTCATTATCGTGTATGAAAGGACTTTTTATTTTCATAACACAAGCTATTTTAACTAACTTAATGTCTGAGCTGCAGCAGCTGAACGTCACACACAACGTTCACCAGCTTCCTCCTGCTCCATAAAACACAACTAAATGTACATTTATTTTATTATCACACCACTAAACAAAAGGAGCAAAGCATGTTGTGTTCAGGGACCTGAACTCTTGTGTTGTGTTCAGGGACCTGGATTCAGGTGACTCCTACCTGGTCCTACAGAGGTTCTATCACATTGAGGATCTTCTGCAGGACTTCGAGGACAGACTGCGGTCCGACTGGAGTTCTCAGCTGGACTCTGACTGTGGATTCATCCTGGAGCAACCGGTCATACAGAACAACCAGCAAGGCATGCTGGGAGTTAACTGCAGCCACAAGGTCAGTCTGATTGGCTGAAACTAATCAAGGCTCATCATACTTTACCTGGAGTCCACTCACGTGTGTGTGTGTGTGTAGCTGCAGGTGGTGTTGAGGGAGCTCCGGTATGTGAGCAGGAAGACAGACGTAAAGCTCCGCCCTTCTGCTGCCCGACTCTTCACCTTCAGAGATGACATCACAAGGAACTACCTGAGCCTGAGTCACATGGTGTCCTGTTACAAGCAGGTACACGGCCCCTCAGGTAAATCCCTGTGAAGAGGAAGACGAAGGTCAGGTGACGGATTGTGGTCTTCCTTCAGGTGGTGAGTGGCGTCCTGCCAGCGGAGCTTTCTCTGATCCAGGATCAGCTGCAGGTCCTGGGCCTGAACCAGAATCTGTCAGAGCTGCAGAGATACACCTGGGGCAGCGAAGGTGAGACACACGATGATCTCGTTGTCTAGGTCTCCAGTCTCACCGCACACTATCTGTACGATGTGTGTTCAGGTTTGCAGCAGCAGGTGGAGCAGAGCAGAGACACGGTGTTGCTCCTCCACTCCAGAGTGAGCCAGGCCCGAGCCAACATGGACTCCATGACACGCATCATACAGGTCGGTGAGTCTCTAAGCACCCTTCTTGTATCTCCAGTAGTCTCACTTCAGCACCTGCTGCTTGTCTTGCAGGGTTGGGCAGAGCTTCACCTCCTGCAGCGCTCAGGTGAGTCACTGCTGGAGCTCGGAGATGTGGAGCAGAGCTACAAACACATCAGAGAGGAGGGAGAGGAGCTGCTCAGGTTAACACAGGTAGGTACCAGCTTGAGGGGGCGGGGGGAGGAGCAGGAGCTGATGCCTCTGCTGCTGTGTTCTCAGGTGAACAGGAGCCTGTACGGAGTTGAAGACTCCTCTGATTCTTGGAACATGTATCTGGACCACCTGGATGACAAAGTCCTGGATGGACTGTTCCAGCTGGTGCTCAGATCCCTGCACTTCCTGTTGGACCACATGGACCCGCGGGTACACACATCCAAGCAGAGCTCTTCAACCTGCAAACTTGTCGCTGTCCAGTGAAATTTACCATTTTGGAATCAAAATAGGTCATCGACGTGATTCGTTTAGAGTTCCTGACATCAGGAGGTGAACTCACCTCTTAATGAAACTAGTTAGCTGTTATTTAATCAAAATAGACAGATGTATAGAAAGATGCTGAAATAACAAAACAATGCAGATTTAGAAAAAGTGTGAACTCATGTTTGTTTTTTACTTTTAAAATGCTTATTTTCTGAATGCACACGGTGCAAAGCTACGCTGAAACCATCCATCAACATAACGCCAATACTCCACTGGTACTAGAATGCATCTCCCCTTAGTTTCCCCATGTCTTTGTTGCGTGTGCAGAGCTGCAGTGCATTTCTCACGGTCAGTCTGAGGCTGCAGGAAACAGGAAGTGTGTTTGAGCCGTCGGTGGGCGTCGGCCTCTCGGACCTCCTGCAGGCCGTCATCTCTGACATTTACACAGCGGCCAGTCTGCCATTGAGGATCTCTGGGAGTCGCCACAGCAACTACCAGGTGACTGACATCACACACTCGGTCCTTTGAAGGCTGCGGTTTCTTCCTTTCCTTGTCTGTCCGTCTCTCTGTTAGGTGTCCCTGCAGCAGAGTTTGGATCTCTCTGCACTAAAACAGGAAGTGAAGAATCGCCTGCAGCAGGTGAGGGAGGAGGCGGAGCTTCTGTTGACAAGGCTGGACAGGTACTCGTACCTTTGGCTGAGCGACAGGAAGCGGGTGATGGAGGAGTTTCTGACCTACAGCAGACCGCTGGGACCTGAGGAGCTGGAGGCGGGAGAGACCCCGCCCACCCTAAATGACTTCCTGAGAGAGGTGAGACACACCTGAGCAGAGGTGGTGACCCAGCAGGTTGTCAGTGACCTGCAAGTGTTCTAGATGTGCCTGTGTTTCAGATCAATTCTCTCAACACACTGAGGGAAGAGGTGACTCACTTGGATGACGTCGTCCTTCTGCACAGCTGGCTGCAGGTGGACCTCCGAGCCTTCAAAGACTCGCTGCTGTCAGTTGTACACAAATGGAGACACCTGTACACAGATTACCTGCTGGACTCAGTCAGTGACCGGTAAACCCACCTCAGACCTACTGAACCAGGCTAAATGAAACCACCCAGAGTCTGATTGTGAAGACTAAGGACTGTGTGTGTGTGTGTGTGTGTGTGTGTGTGTGTGTGTGTGTGTGTGTGTGTGTGTGTGTGTGTGTGTGTGTGTGTGTGTGTGTGTGTGTAGTCTGCAGCAGGTGACTCCCCAATGTGATGATGTAGAGTCTGCCTCTTCGTCCAGCTTCCCTCTGACAGAAACCATCATCCTGCTGGAAGCTGCAGGAGTCCAGCTGCCTGACAGGTTCTTCTTCTAGCTCATAGTTGCAGAGCTGATGCCCTGGGGAGGAAACGGCTGGAGACAACTGGACCACTCGAGTCATTGTGACGATTAAAAGTTCACTTCTGATGACTAATTGGTTTACTGGCGTTAGTTTGCAGCAGGTAACCTCAGTCCTGATGTTCAACCTGTCAGACGTCTCTGAGACAGACAGGAGACTCACTAACATCCATCTTTGGGCGTAGCACTTCACAATGTAAGTAAATAGTGATGTAGATGGTCTTTGCAATAAGAATATCATTTTCTTTTTTAAAGTGATAGAGACGCTTAGTCAGGTTTGGGTCTATACATTTTTCAATATATAAGAACTCAAAATCTGCCCTAACAAATTGCAGAGTTGACTTGTCAAAGCGACGGCACTGTGGATTGTGGGTAGACAGCGGTTAGGGAACATCTGGGTCGCAGAGAACCACAAGATAAATAAATGATTTAATAGAACTTTTCTCTTCAAAACCTGTAATTGACACAAAAGACGTTCATCCAGCAGACAGATGGGTCCGGTCTACAGTCTGGTGTCGGTCCAAAACCTTCCGGACCAGACAAACCAGGAAGTAAAAGAGGCACGATGATGAGAAGCCTACAGAGAAATATGATCTAAAAAACACACCAACTCAAATCAAAGTCCTCATAGCACTCTGCATCTCCATGGCAACAGGGAAAAAAAGATCAACTATCAATGTCTGTTTTAAGTCTCAGCTGGCTCTGAGGTGACCTCACGGGCCGAGGCGGCAGCCAATCAGAAAGCAGCTAGCGGCGGTACACTCCGAAGGCCACTAGGCTGAGGAAGATGGTGACTCCGACCAGCGAGGCGGTGGCCGGGGCGGTGAAGAACTGCCTGTACTGGATCTGACAGTACCACAGCACCGACAGCATGAGGACCAGCAGGGGCACCATCAGGCTGCCCACGTTCAGAGCCACCTGCACCTGGTCCACGGGCCGCGGCCCCCCCGCGGCCCCCCGGCCGGCGTGCGGTGAAATGTGACAGTGGAGGACACAGTTGTGAACCAGGTTCAGAGAAGCCAGCGTCTGAGCGTCGTCCTGCAGCAACTGACCCTGGTAGATCAATCGGACCTGCTGCTCCTGTCCTGCAAAGTAGGTCCTGAAAGAGCAGAGGTCAACGGGTCAGAGGTATCAACAAGCATCCAGTAGTGATGATGTAGTAGTGACAGTGGTACAGGAGTGACGTAGAGGTGTAGCAGTGTTACCGTTTGATGTAGCCGATGGTGTCCTGTGGTTTGACCTGAGCTGTTCTCTCGGTGTCGTTCAGAAACTTCAGTCTGATCACCATGTTCCTCTGAGAGGATGAAGACTCTTCTTCTCCTCCACCATCTCTGTTCCCGGCAACATCATCTCCTCCTCCCGCCTCCCCGCTCTCATGCGTCCCCGCCCCCTTCTCCCCCTGGATGGAGGTGTTTGTGGGCAGAGCTTCTGTCACAGAACCGGAGGGCGAGGAGGAAGAGATGGTGTTGGTGGAGGAAGGGAGAGTGTCTTCGTGGACGGTGCTGTTCCCCGGTGAGGGGGCGGGGCTTATGGTGGAGGTGAAGAGGTGTTCTGGGGGCTCTGAGGTGCGGGTTGAGATCCAGGCGAGCAGCAGCACCAGGAGGACCAGCAGAGCGGCGAACAGCAGTGTCACCTCGTCCCCTACTCCTTCAATCAGAGCCATCGCCCCCGGCAACAGGTCACACACCTGCACAGAGAGGGCGGGGCTTAGCAGCAACACAGGTTTAGTGAGCGATAACTGGTGTACAGTACATAAAATACCGTAACACCACTTTGACTTCATCTCATTACTATTTTGTAACAAAGTACATTTACTAGATCATCCTCATATCTTACTATCTATCTGGACCCTGAGTCTAAAATAAAAGTTTGATTACGGGCCCTTTGTGATGATTAACGACCGGTGTACTCGTACTTCAGCAGCTTTTGAAAAGCAGGACATTTAACGGTATTTGTACCAGAGCGGTGTGGTACTACTTTGAGTGCAGTGAAGGTGTGTACTTCTACTAGCGCTGCATGTTGTACTTGTATAACCAACGTGCAGCTCACGCGTGTTCAGGTGTCAGTTACCCGCAAGTCACCTCATCAGTTATTGATTCGGATCAATGTTCGGGCTGCTAAAACTCCGAGCTAACTGCTAACGGCCGCACAGGAAGTCGGCTAAGCTAGCGTTACATGCTAACAGCGTCAGTTAAGAGCTAATTAATGAGGCTACACGCGGAAGCAAAGCGCGCGTGGGCAGGAGGATAAAACAAGAACTTACTGTTTAGCTTAGAAACCTCATATCCTAGAAAGCTCATGTCACATAACGTTAGCCTGCGAGCTAATCGGCTCCGTGCACACACTTCCGGCTGCTGCCGCGGCTTCTTCTTCTGTGGTTCTGACGCTAAAGTGACGTGTTAAAGAAACAGAAATGTGTCGTCATAGATTCATACTTCATCAAGTTAATATTGACCAATCAGATGCAGCGGTCCACGAAGAGATGTGACGTGTCACTAAATATTTATTACAGATATTAACAATTAGTTTAGAAGAAGCTGCTATCATTTTTATCTAAAATATCAGCAGAATATTATTATATAAGTAGTATAATAATAATCGAAGAAAACATTTAAATTACTATGTGAATTAGAAATAATGTTATATATTACAAATTATATTGATTCTTGTGTCACTGAAAATGTAAGTATATTAATGTGTAGTTTTAATATATATTAATGAGCAGTTTTAATATATTTAATGAATTTTCGTGTTTTTTTGTTTGTCTGATCTCTCCTAATTGAACCTCTGTCACGCATGCGCAATTCAGCTCAGCCGAACGTAAACGTAAATTATTTACATCAATAAACTCACAAGGATGCCATTATGTTATTTAAAGTGATCAATTAATGGTTTGTAACATACAGATACTTTAATGTCATTTCTGCTTAGTTTAACAGTCTTTAAGGACTCAAATTACTTAAACAGCATGAGAATGAACTGCGTCAATTCATTTATACATTGAAAGGACTTAATAAATATTCAATTGATTTTAAAACCCTTAAAACATGTATATTGTATTTCTAATTTAAAAATTGCTGTTATGTTAAATTGATTGTTCAGAAGTTTATGTGTGTGTATTATATCTTTTTATTTATGATGTCTTCTCTGCAGATGTTTGTTTGTAAAACAGATGTTTTACCCTAGTCTGATTGTTTCCACGGCTTTCATTTTACAAAATTAGTCCATGTTCAAACAATTTGTAAATGCAGTTATTAAGAAGATATCGAGAGGCTTTTAAAATCGTGTGTTGCTTTACTGAGTAAATTAAATGTGGCCATGTGGCTGCTGGCTGCGGTTCTTCCGCCTTCTCCTCGCCGCTGATGTCCCGGGAAGAGACTTGACAGCCGGCCGCTCGGCGGCCTCTGGCCCCCCCTGTTGGAACCCGGGGTAGCAGACGGCCGCTCTCCCGGGTGGCCCCTCGGTGCCTCTATCTCCGGTCCCCGGTCCTTCCATCCCCGGTTACACGTTCCCTCTGACTCCGGTTCCCGATCTCTCGATGCTCCGTGCCTCACATTTGGACCAGAACCAAAGTCCGAAGGGAAGATGCGCGTTGTTGTTTTATCACATTGGGACATGTTGTTGTAATAAACCATAAAATGATGATGGTGGTGACATGTATTCACCGGGTTATGGAGCGACTTTCTGCCCCGTCTCTGGTTTCAGCCTTTGTCCTCTCCCTTTCCTCCACGAGTTCCTCCCCCTGCGGCGCGGGGCGGAGTTTCACACCGGACTAGACGCTCCTTTTGTCGGGTTCGTTCCGAGCTGACTCCCCGGGTCTGACGGCGGAAAACAACCCACTTAGAGAGTCCAAACCGAGCCACCGGACCACAGCGGCGCGTGGTGTTGGCCCGGCTCTGTGCCCGGACCCGAAGGTGAGCGTTCGTCTGTGGTTTCGGACACATTTGAGGGGTTTTTTGCTCGCCCGTCCCCGAGTCAGCGGACCATAGATGGCGGCTCCTCGGTGGAGCTTGTGGGGCAGCGGCGCGTCGCTGCTCCGCTCCGCAAACAACGCATCGTGTTCTGGCAACGTTTGAATCCTCGATTCAACCACCGGAGACCCGCATGTCGAAGGATTTTAACGTCGTTTCGCCAGTTTTTATTCTAAATGACCAATGTTCCGCTGCACGTGTCAACTGTTTGTGTTTTTGAAACAAAAGCTATTCGGTGAGTTACGTTTTTTATTTGACTTGTTTTGTTGAAGAATTGCAGTTTCCAAATTTCCCCTAAAATGGTTTCACGCCGCTCGTGTCAGCGGAAGCTACGTGGTGACTCCTGCCGGAGGAGGGACGCCATTACCGGGCAGCTGGAGCCCGACGGCCCGCTGGCTGCGCTCCACGCCGCCGCTCACAGAGACGCGACGCGGACGTTTATGTGCGGGGCGCCGTGAGACGCGGACGTTTATGTGCGGGGCGCCGTGAGACGCGGACGTTTATGTGCGGGGCGCCGTGAGACGCGGACGTTTATGTGCGGGGCGCCGTGAGACGCGGACGTTTATGTGCGGGGCGCCGTGAGACGCGGACGTTTATGTGCGGGGCGCCGTGAGACGCGGACGTTTATGTGCGGGGCGCCGTGAGACGCGGACGTTTATGTGCGGGGCGCCGTGAGACGCGGACGTTTATGTGCGGGGCGCCGTGAGACGCGGACGTTTATGTGCGGGGCGCCGTGAGACGCGGACGTTTATGTGCGGGGCGCCGTGAGACGCGGACGTTTATGTGCGGGGCGCCGTGAGACGCGTGCCGAGGCGTGTCAGTGGTTCGGGCCGGTAAACAGCAGACTTGTGCGGAGTCGTTTCGCGGCTCTCTGCGTGCTTTATTTAGTCACGGAGCCAGTTTTTAAACTGAAAGAAAGATATTCGAGGCTTTGTGTGTTTGATACGAGCGGGCTGAATATTCACTTCTCAGTGCGTTGGATTTAAATTGAATGATCTTTCAATGGAGTTTGGCGGAACTTTGTGGCGCAACGCAGACTGCCGCCGAGTGACCTGCGGTCCGATCTGCTCCCACTTCTCCAGCGGGAATCGAACCCTCGACCCGCAGCTTGTCAGTCAGGGTCCGGGCAGGCCGGGATCAGAGCCCCTCTGAGACCCCGTCACCCGGGTGGCTTTATGAGCCTAATATCTGATAACACATCATGAGGATCAGCTGACATGACAAATGCTGATGAGGATCACGTGATGCGGTTGAAAGCCACGTGGCCCTTGTAATGTGTGTGTTTGTGTGTCTGTGTGTAGACGGACTGCTCTCGTCCTGCTGCATGATGAATGGCAGCGGCAGCGTCTCGGCGGCTCAGAGCTCCAGGATCAAAAACGAACCAGGTAACCTTTGACCTTCTGTGACCATCGACACCTGCGGCCTCAGCTCACGTGTGTGTGTGTGTGTGTGTGTGTGTGTAGATGATTGGACAAAGGAGGACTGTCTGACTCTTCTGGAGAAGATTCACTCCCTGCTGCCGGACACAGACAGCATGAAGTATAAAACCACAGAGTCACACTTTGATTGGGGGAAAGTTTGTTTCGGCAGCTTCAGCGGAGAAATGTGTCGGCAGAAATGGCTGAGAGTTTCATCTGAGGTAAGAAAGGCTTCTTCCTTCTGAGAACCAGGAGCTGTTTATGTGCACATCGTTAGTCATTTCTTTGTTGCAGTTCAGAAAAATAAAATACAAATATACAAGCAATGTAGACCGATAAGTACCGTGAAACGTACTGTATGTTGGAGTACTGTGCAAATGTCCTTTATTGTTTCCACTGTCCCAACAAGAGAGACCTTACCAGGGGACGAGTCAGACCGGTTAATGAGCGCTTTGTGTGGCGCGAGTGGATTCCACTTTGTCAGTGCACACAGTACCGGTTCTGGGACAAGAAAATGAAGTTTAGCATCCAACCAATTGTGCAATGAGAGTACATATGTATATAAATAAGAAGAATGAACGTACAGTATGAAATATATGTGGAGTAGTATATGTACTGTACATTAAGCAGCAAGGTTGTAAATATGAATGGCATCCATCCATCTTCACACCGCTCATCCTGCACACGGGGTCTTGGGGGGCTGGAGTCCATCCAGCAGACTTCATGTGATAGACGGGTTCATCCTGGACGGGTCACCAGCCAATCACAGGGCTACACAGAGACACACAACCACTCGCACACCTACGGGCCGAGTCTCCAACCAACCTGATCCCCAGAGCAGGTCTCTGGACTGTGGGAGAAACCCGGAGAACCCGGAGAGAACCACACAGACACGGGGAGAACATGCAGACTCCACACAGAAAGGCCACTGGGCCGAGTGGAACCAGGACCTTCTTGCTGTGAGGCGCCGGTGACTACCCGCCACGCCGGTGACTACCCACTCGTGGTGCAGAGTTCAGCAGGGTGACAGCGGCAGGAAAGAAGCTGCTCCTGGACCTGTGGTTTGGGAACGGAGGGCCTGTGGCGCCTCCCAGAGGCGATGGGGGCAAACAGTCCATGGCTGTGGTGAGAGTCGTCCTTCACGATGCTGCGTGTCCTCCGCAGACGTCTTTTGTGCTGGACAGTCTCGATGGTGGGGAGTGAGGAAGCAGTGAGCAAGTACCACACCGTGATGCAGTTGAGGATGCTCTCGATGGTGCAGTGGTAGAAGTTCACCAGGACGTGAGGGGACAGATGAGCCTTCTTCAGTCTGCTCAGGAAGAAGAGGTGCTGGTGAGCAGCTTCAGGGTTCTGGAAGCGAACAAGTCCTGCAGGGACGGCAGATTTCAGCCGATCAGCCTCTCTGCAGAGCAGAGGACACGCTCCAGCCTGCCCTTGTCCTTGGCTGTGGCTGCAGCGTACCAGACGGTGATGGAGGAGCAGAGGACGGACTCCATGATGGCCGTGTAGAAGTGGACCATCATCGTCTTTGGCAGGTTGAATTTTGAATCAGACAGGTGCTGATGGTCCGAGAGGCTGAGACATGTTTCCTCAGCCTCACATGCTGCTTCCTGTCAGACAGGAAGTCAGTGATCCACTTGCAGGTGGAGTCGGCACGTGTAGCTGAGTTAGTCCTGCAGCACAGACGGGATGATGGTGTTAGATGCAGAGCTGATGTCCACAAACAGGATCCTGGCGTAGGTTCCTGGGGAGTCCAGGTCGTAACGTGTCCTTACATCTAGTAAGGACCTAGAGGTCTTATGAGACCTTATGAGGTCTTATTGGTTCCTGGTTGGTTATCAGAACTACGTTCATGAAAGAAACCCACCGGACCTTCATGAAGCCGAGACGTGGTTACAGCCTCCAGCCTATGAGCAAGGCACACAACAACCACATGTTTCTGTGTTTCAGGTCCGTAAGTACAGAACGATGACCGAGCTTATCGTAGACGCCATGGAGTCGGTCAAGAATCCGTACAAAGGAAAAAAGCTGAAGGTGAGTCTGACTCTTCTGATAAGAAAATGGTGTAGAAGACGGTGGATTTCATCTGACCTTTGACCTTATGTTCAAATAGACTCATCCAGATTTCCCCAAAAAACCGCTGACTCCGTACTTTCGCTTCTTCATGGAGAAACGAGCCAAATACGCCAAAATCCACCCGGAGATGAGCAACCTGGACCTGACCAAGATCCTGTCCAAGAAGTACAAGGAGCTGCCCGACAAGAAGAAGGTGCGGAGCTTCTCCTCGCCTCATCCCGGACCAGCAGGGCTGCAGAAGGCCGACAGATATGTTACATAGTCATGCTAAGTCCTGTTCCTAAACAATGACTACAATGTGGTGTTTACAGCAAAAGTACATCACAGAGTTCCAACGGGAGAAAGAAGAGTTTGAGAAGAACATGGCTCGATTCAAGTAAGCTTCAAACTCGCTACAACTCACTTAGTGAGAAAAGTTGTTACTGTCTGGTGTTGGTGTTTAGCATTTAGCGTGTAGTCAAGCTAACGTCAGCTGACATGCAGAGAGGAACATCCGGAGCTGATGGAGGAAAGGAAGAAGTCCGATCTGCCGGAGAAACCCAAAACTCCTCAACAGCTGTGGCACAACCACGAGAAGAAGACCTATCTGAAGCTGCACCCGGAGGTACACCCCCCCACACACCCCCACACACACTGAGAAGATGTGGATGACGTCAGTAGAACTGTTTGTTGCTCATAGGTGAGTCAGAAGGAGCTCAAGGAGGCTCTGAGGAGACAGTGGTCCCAACTGTCTGACAAGAGGAGACTCAAGTGGATCAGCAAGGCTCTGGAGCTTCAGAAGGATTACGAGGTACCGGAGAAGACCAGACCGACCCTCTCTGTCCCCTTTCTGTTGATATCCGCCCTGATAATCCCGTGTGTGCAGGGCAGTATGAGAGCGTATCACGTCGCTCACCCAGATGTGACCTCTGATGATCACGTCCGGTCCGTCCTAACTAAAGCAGAGAGACAGCTGAAGGACAAATTTGATGGACGGCCAACAAAACCTCCACCGTGAGTCTTTGACTTAATAAGTCATACCCAGCGTAACCCTAACCAGGACCGGGCTGACCTTTGTGTACCTTGTGCTAGGAACGGCTACTCGCTGTACTGTGCCGAGCTGATGGTGAACATGAAGGACGTCCCCTGCACGGAGCGCATGGTGCTCTGCAGCAAACAGTGGAGGATGATGACACAGAAGGAGAAGGACATGTTCCAGAAGCGCTGTGAGCAGGTCGGTATCATCTCGCCACCGTGCACTGTCCTCTGTTTGAGAGGCGCTCTCACCTGTTTGTGTATCACCAGAGAAAGAAGCAGTACGACGTGGACCTGCAGAGGTTTCTGGAGGTACGTCCGTTTCAGAAGCTCCAACCAAATAAAAGGGAATGTAATGAGCTCCAAAGATCACATTGGCTCGTCGTCATCAGGTGGACTTTGTGTTTTAGAGTCTTCCAGACGAGGAGCGAAACAGAGTCATGGGCGAGGAAAAATTGGGAGGAGCCAGAGCGGGAGGGGGCGTGTCCGCCAGCCCACACAGAGCCAAGTCTCCGGCCAAGGTCAGAACCTTCTTCTTCTCCTCACAGCCAGCAGCTGCACACAGCCATAGATATAGATGCTTCTATAGATAGATACTCATCAGCCATTCGATTAGGTCCACCTTCCTGGGAGAAGGTTGGACCCCCTTCTTCAGAACTGCCTTAATTCTTTATTTTTATACTTTCAACGGAGTATTAGAAGCTTCCTCAGAGATGCTGGTCCATATTGACATGATAGCAGCAGTTGCTGCAGGTTTATCGGCTGCACATCTGTGATGTGAATGTCCCGTTCCACCACGTGCCAAAGGTGCTCTGCTGGATTGAGATGTGGTACCTTGAGGCCATCGGAGTACAGTGAACTCATCGTCATGTTCAATAAACCCCATGAGATGATAAGAGCTTTGTGACGTGGTGCATCATCAGAAGATGGTACACCGTGGTCCTAAAGGGATGGACATGGTCCGCAACAATAGGCAGGCTGCAGCATTTAAACCATGCTTGATGGGTACTACGGGGCCCAAAGTGAGCCAAGAAAATGTCCCCCGACCATCACAGCAGCCTGAAGCGTCGGCACGAGGCAGGATGGATCCAGGCTTTCATGGTTACTCCACATTCTGACCGACCATGGAACATTTGTCCAATCTATTGTCCCCTGTGGTGAGCCGGTGTGAGTCTGTTTCCTGTTGGTCGCTGACCGGAGGGGCCCCTGGTGTGGTCTTCTGCTGCTGCAGCCCGTCTTCTTCCAGGTTCCACGTGTTGTGCGTTCCTTGGTGGTAACGAGTGCTTATTTGACTTCCTGTTGCTTTCTATCACGTGGAACCAGTGTGCCTGTTCTCCTCTGACCATCAACAACTGCTGCTCACTGGATAGTTTCTCTTTTTGGGAGCAACCTCTGAACCACAGAGATGGTTGTGTGTTTGGATCCCAGTAGATCAGCAGTTATATATATATATATATATATATATATGCTTAGTTTCTGGGCCCAAGCGGGTCTCTTCTTCTGATTCAGCCTCTGAACAGGAGATGTTGATGTGTCTGCTACCTAAACTGTGAGGAGTTTTCTGAGGCTGGTAACTGGACTCCTCTTGGTCTCCCTGTCCTGGGGGGTCCTCATGAGAGCGACTTTCACCAGTCGTTGATGGTTACCATGACCATTCAAAGTTCTTGAAACGCTCCGGCTGCCCTGATGGACTGTCCTTTCTCTCTACTTAGTTCAGTGGTTCTATAATCTGGATTAGAAGTATAGTGGAACAACACAACTGATGCTCTCAGACACCTTAAGAAGGCAAGAAGTCCACTAATGAACTCTAGGCACACCTGTTAATGGAGAACCTTCCAGGTGACTCCCTCATGGAGCTGGTTGAAGGAAGGCCAAGAGGCTCCAAGCTGGCAAAGCAGGAAGAGGACAAGGCATGTAAATAAAGACAGGGTGTCTCCAAACGTTTGACCGGTACGGTAAATATCTATAGATGTATCTTTCTATCTCACCCCTCAGGTGGTGTCTCCCCTCTTATCGCAGGAGCGTGGTCGGGAGGCGGAGCCAGAGACATGGACACCGGGTGAACAGACGAAGGACAGACGGGACGGGAAGAAGACCGGGAAGCTTCCTGAGACACCGAAAACCGCCGAGGAGATGTGGCAGCACAGCGTGATGGGCGACTACCTGGCTAAGTACAGAGTGAGCGTCCTTCACCCTGCAGACTTCAGTTAGTGTGATGAGAGGATCACTCCTCCTCCTCCTCCGAGTTCATATCGGGGTTAAAGGTGGTCATGTGACTCCACAGAGCGACCGCAGGAAGGCGCAGGCGGCCATTGAGGCCGCCTGGAAGTCGATGGAAAAGAAGGAAAAGATTCCTTGGATCAAGAAGGCAGCGGAGGACCAGAAGCGTTACGAGGTTCAGTACCAACCTGCGGTCAGTGAGCGCCACACACACACACACACACACACACACACACACACACACACACTTAAAACATTTAACTTAATCAAGCACACGTATCTGAGGATGTAGATTCAGCCGCTTGTGTCTCATGCAGAGGGAGCTGTTGGAGACGAGGACTCCACCTGCAGCTCAGAGGAAACCAAAGTTCAATGGAGAACCGAAGAAGCCTCCTGTGTGAGTGACACCGATCACATGACTCCCACTGTCACATGACGGCTCTGCAGCCTGACGTCTCCGTCCATCACAACTACGCAGCTTGGATTCGATTCACTGAACAGCACTTTGTATTTTCCTCATCAACTCCCCTAACCACCTTTCCTTGACCCTGTGACCTTTTCCACAAAGGTCAAGGAATAGATGTTAAAAGGGTCCTAGTCGTTAAAAGGGAATAACAAGTCAACGCATGGGAGCAAAGTGATCGCTTCATATTTACACCATTTAAAGCACTCACACACTGACCTCTGACCTCTGGGGGGGTGGGGGGGGCCATTGAGATTGGGCCTAAAATGTAGTTGCTCTAGTTACTCAGAGCTTATTTTAATATTTTGGGAATTAAAGCCAACAATTGAATGTATTCATTTTAAACCAGGAGCGGCTATCAGATGTTCTCCCAGGAGCTGCTGACCAACGGCGAGCTGAACCACTTCAGCCTGAAGGAGCGGATGGTGGAGATCGGCAAGAGGTGGCACAAGCTGAGCCAGACTCAGAAAGACAAGTACAAGAAGATGGTGGAGGAGCAGCAGGGGGAGTACAAGGCCGAGCTGGAGGACTGGGTCAAGGTAACCAACGCGGTCTACGGTGCAGCACCCGTTGTTCTTGAGCTTTCTGAGCGGTGAAGATGATTGACAATATATAACGAGAGGTCAGAGCCCATCACAGCATGTGTCCTTCTTCTCTCCAGTCTCTGTCTCCTCAGGACCGAGCCGTCTATAAGGAGTTCTCCTCCTCGGTGAGTTCTCTTCTTGATGGAGGATCCTCTGAGGGTCGAAGGTCCACGTGACCGTAAAAAAACCCAACAGGCTCCATCTGGATGCAATAAACACGTTTGTTCTGCTCCCCAGGCCTAGAAATAAAACGAGACTATTAGTCGCACAAGCTAACCGCTACTTATCCGACGGGTCTGGAGCGAGTGTCTTCTCTAGCGAACGCGTCGAGTCGCTCCAGGCAAACTTTCCCCTCCGTGAGTTAGTTCTTCTCACAGCTAGCTTCACCGCGTGGACGTTGTGTTCGTCCCGCAGGAATAAGTCATCATGCACCGAATAGAGCTGTTGTTTTTCTATCAGCTAACCGGAATTTACTCTTAAACCACAAAGCTGTAACTTCTTCTTTCTTTGCTCCACCAGAAGCGTCGCAGCACCACTAAAGTTCGCAGCAGTCCGCTCGCTAAAGTCTGCGTGACGGCGAAGGGAAAGGCCGCCGGTACAAGAGCCGCAACGCAGCCGGTCGGGGTCACCAAGAGAGCCATGGCGTACCGCGCCAAGGTAACCGATGCACCGCGACACGCCACCCCCCCCCGGGACAACACGCTACAACACAATGTGCTCTGTGTCTTGCAGCAGGACACGTCCGACTCAACGGGGAAGAGTGAGTCGTCGGACTCTGATGACGACGATGAGACGTCAGGAAGCTCAGACAGCGACGACGAGGTGAAAAATATGAAGCCTCTTCGGCTCTTTTCAAAAGACCCAGATTCGGGGTCAGTCCCTGAGCCCTGAACGCCGCGGTAACAGCGGTGACACGTTGTCATGGGCTGTAACTTGTTGGCCAGTAGCTCACGACTAATCTCATAACACCAAGATCACCTTTTAATTAAACTCTTAATATTTTGAAATAAATGATCATGTCAAAAACAAAATCCATTGGCAACCATCTGAAAGTATTTCACCAAATGTTTCCTCAGAACGATGATGATGATGATGAAGATCGGAGCTCCTCAGACGAATCCAGTGACTCAGACTCTGACTAGCTCGGCCCCCTTCCCCTCATTGGAGAGGACAGGCTGTGCAGGCCACGCCTCCTCACATGCCAATCATCCAGGCAGACCAATGAGAACGGTTGACCTCAGTGGTCCCGCCCTCGGGGGGGGGGGGGGGGGGGCGTGGTCTGTTACTCGCATGGAGTGTTTTTTTAGATCCGGTGGGCGGAGACTATTGTTACCGCTGAGGGAGGAGCCAGTGTTCAGCCTCCAGCCCGAGAAAATTATTAACAAATAAATGCACTTTTTTCTCATTTGTGTTCTTGTTGATTATGTACCCAGACAAATAAATCTACTTGCTGATCGTCATAACGACGAGTGAAAACAAACAATACGGTTTCAGGTTTTTATAGATGTTAGAATGAATAAATTTATAGAATATAAACAAGCTTCTTTCCCCTCAAATCCCAATAAATAATCTGACCTTTGACCCAGACATTCATCACTAGCACAAACCTCCAGCCTTTTGCACACTCCCCATGTTACCACAGTATTTACCCCACCCCATCAGAACTACAGTACCCATCAGCCCTTTCTCAGTCTGGATTTAGAAAACCGTGATGCACCAAAAACAGCCCCGCACATGCATCTTCAGTCGTTACCAAACTATAAAACATTCGCCGCTCCCTTATGCGGACCCCGATATGTCGCCAGTTCTCTGCCAACTGTGTTTGTGTCTCATTTAGTTAAAGTGACGTTTCTTCAGACAAAATGCGACGTAAAGGAAATCATCGGCCGAAGAGAAAAGTACAGAAGACAAACTCGTCGGTGAGATTCAGTCTCTTCACATCCCTCGTCCACTGATCAACTAGCAGTTTGTAGTCTGAACCAAAGGACAGGACGCTGCCCTCGGACTCGCGCCCGCGTCATAGCGGGACGTCTAGCAGCTTCTGGTGCAGGTACTGCTTCACCTCCTCGATGCCGTTCAGCTTCTCCAGCTCAGGGTACGGCAACTGAGAGGGAACAAGAACGTCACGTCACAAACGGAGACTGCGAGGCCGTCTGTGTGGAGCCAGAACCGTTGGATCTGGACTTCATAAGGAGCCCAGGTGACCAACTGATTCACGCATGAATTCACGAGTCTAACTGGACCCAAAGGGGCACCGTGAGCGTGACCCACCTGGAGGATGACGTATCCCAGCAGCCTCAGGTGCCGGTCCCTCATGGCCCGCGAGCCCACCAGAACCTCGGAGTTGTGGCAGTAGTGCCACTTGTCATTGACGGACATGATGACCCTGAGGAGACACAGAACTGGGTTACAATCAATCAATTCCGGTTCCCCTGGAGTACCAAGTGAGCAGGGCTGACCTCCGGATGTGTCTCTGGTCCATAGGGGGAGGGTCGGTGTCGGGGCGGGGCGGGGGGGTCCCTCTGTCGGCTCCCTGGCCCTCAGGATACAGACCTCCTTCATAGAAGCCCCCCAGGTCCCCTGCGCGCCCCGCCTCATCCTCCAGGATCTTCCCAATGGAGAACTGGAAGAGGGAGTCGGGGGCCGTGGCCCCGGTCGGTCCCTGGGCCCCCCCAGGGGGATCGTCAGAAGGGGGGCTGCTGAGGGTGGAGCTGTCCTGGCTCTCCAGAGAGTGCTCCTTGGCCAGGCTGGAGTAGAAGTCTGCTGTAGGGACGTAGTAAGGTTCGTATGGGGATCCTCCGGTGCCGGGCCTCGGGGGCTCCCCCGGGCCACGGTGGGGCAGGAAGGACCTGGGTTCCGTGGCCCCGCCCACCTGACACAGCTGATCAGGACCCTCTTGCAGCACCACAAACGGGGAGAACTTCTGGAACTCTGCAGTCACCACGGTAACCGCATCGTCAGCTGGTTTGGACTCAGGAAGGAGGCTGGTTCGGATTGGTAGAACCCGACCAGAGGAGTCCATCCACAGCAGGAAGTCTGAGGACCAAGAGGGGGTCATCAGAACCAGGCGGGGAATACTCGGTGTGTGTGGTACTCTGTGCGTTACCTGTATTGTATCCTGGTGCCAACACTTCATCCTGTTTGTAGTTCTGTTCTCCGACCAGCTGCCGCAGAGCTTCAGCCACCAGACCTTTGTAGCTGATGGAGACAAGATGGTCAGAACTCTCAAGAACCAGAGGAACCAGTCACATAAGGAGAATTAGTCCCAGTGGTGCAGCCCTCTTACCTGTATTTGCGGTTGACCTCGTCGGCGGTCAGGGCGTGGTCAAACATCAGGACCTTGTGGGCATCCTGCAGCCGCGGCCCGGAGTACTCTCGGTACTCCAGCTCCACCGCGGCGTCCAGCAGGGAGAGGTAGCGTCGGACAATCACTGCGTAGGGACTGTCTGAGGAGCACAGGGAGACACCGGGTGTGTTCTCGTACCGCCAAGTACTCCAGTGGTTGGATCTGATCTTCACTGTGTTTCATACTGACTGGTGACGTTGCTGATGAAGGCAGAGGAGAAGACGCGGTGCAGCACCGGGCCAGGGAAGTGTCCCAGCTGGAACAGGGACATGAGGATGTTGACGGTGGCGAGCGGCGAGCTGAGGGCCTTCAGCTCCACCACCTCCTCCAAGCGGGAGAAGAACTGCTGCTGGTTGGTGGGGCGGTAGCTCATCCTGCTGAACGGGAACACCAGCTTCTGAATCACCTGGGGACACGACAGACGTACCTGCAGTGACGGACACCAACACCACTACACCAGGAGCACCTGTCCAGGTACCCACCTTACTGTCCAGGTACTCCGCCTTCTTCACCACAAAGTCTGCGATGGTGTCGAGCAGCCGGGTGTCTCTCAGCCGATGGCGAGCGACGTATTTAGCAATCAGAGCCATCGTGTACGGCGTGATGCTCTCCACCTTCTTAGGCAGCTCCTCTGTCAGAGGCAACGAGTCACGTGATCAGTAAAGTGGTGGAGAAAGACAAACGGATTGGCGTTACCATGGAGACATGGTGACATTGCAGTGCAAGTGGACATCGCTCTTCATCTACACAGGTGAGAAGAAGTCACCTGCCAGGCTGCTGATGAACCTCTCCTGCCTGTTCTGGTAGAACAGGTGAGAGCTGAAGATCAGCTCCAGACTCTTGTTGCTCGCCTCCCGAACGCACGCCGCCAACATCTCGTCCAACAGCGCCATCTCCTGGTCACGGACGCCGCTGACGCTCGCCAGCGTGTGTTTGACCAGACGCAAGATCTTCCTGAAAGACGAGATCAAAGCGGTCACGCGTGTTTATTATGAAACAAAATAAGATGCTATTTACGTTCCTTGATTGGGAAGAAACACCTGGACAGTGAGGTGCACGCAGGTGAGGCACCATTGCTATGACGCCTCCAACAATGAGCTGAGAACATTGAGGACCAGGAGCTTTACTCACGTTGTTTAGAAGAAACAGATTCTGACTCTTGGAATTATTGGACATAACGGTGAGCGTTGTTGTGTTTAGTTTCCATCTTTGATTTTTCTTCTTAATTGAATTAGCTTTATTCTGATGCTGAAGGTGAAGGAATGTCTCTTTACTGTCATGGCTGAAAACATGACAGTAACTTGATGATGTCACGCGCTCACCTGTTGGCCAGCAGCTGTTCGGGGTTTGGAGGATCGGTGGCACTCGCTGCAGCGGCGGCGGGCTCCTGCGGCTGCAGCAGGCGCCACTTGAGTCGGTAGTATGAGAGCAGCAGGAAGAGCGTCTGTGGGTGTCGCTCTCTCTCCAGGTTCTTCTCCAGGCCGGCCAGGCAGGCCTCCGTCAGAGGGTGCTGGCTGCCCATGTGCAGCTTCATGCTGGAGCTGAACACCATGGACACGTCCTTCTGGTTGAACTGGTTCAGTCGGGACTGAGACTCCGCCTCCAAAACCTGGACCACCTGAGAGTCACTGGGTAGACCTGGAGAGACCGTAATCCACACGAGACCACGTCAGACGCCATTAAGATATTTACTGTGATCAGACCAGAACAACGCCATCGATTCAGGTTTCCTTTTCTATTGCTGAGCTCGTGAAAGCCCCCCTCACACACCTCAATGGGTCACATGATCCCCTCACACACCTCAATGGGTCACATGATCCCCTCACACACCTCAATGGGTCACATGATCCCCTCACACACCTCAATGGGTCACATGATAAGTCTACTTCCCCGTATGGAGCACAGAGCAGCACACCTGTGTTACCTGAGCTCTCCTCCTCCTTCCAGTCAGTCCTCAGTGAAATGAGAACAAACACATTTTAACATGTCGCACACAAGCCAACCAGTGAGTGACATGATGCAGCAGAATGCTTCAGCTGAAACACCAGAGAAGCTGCTTTGTGTTGACTAAAGCCGCCGCGTGTTTCTGCGTCTTTACGCGTCGACGCACTGGTTTCACTTCCTGGTTGTAAAGTCCTGCGTGTGTTGCAGAACGATTCACCTCCAGAACAACAGGTGGAGTCACGTGTTTTGTTGAAGACGACCTGGAGAGTCACGTCTTTGTGTGTGGAAGTCGCTGGTTGCTTTATTTATGTATCATAGACTTTATTGCCCCGTGCATCCACACTGCTGCTTTTCATCAAGGACACATTTGTCCCGTATTTTCCTCCACGACTTTGTTCCCTCGTTTGTGGAGATCTCCCTCCATGAATCAGAGGCCATCCGGCGTCCTCATAGTCCGCCAATGACGGCTTGTACAAGCGCTCATATTTAAAAGCTCTTCAATCTGATCCGTTCTCTCGTAAACGTTCTTCCTTTTAATAACGGCCGTATTGTGCTGTGAAAACGGAGACGTGAGACTCCGTAAAGGACGTAGTCAGAGACCAATCACAGCCTGCTGCTGCAGGACGCTGCAAAGCTTTAGACGCTAGTCTACAAAAATGGGTCGACGAACAGAAAGAGGAGTGAAAAGACACGCAAGGGACACGAAATGGACACGCAAGGACGAAAAGACACGCAAGGGACACACAAGGGACAGGCACGGGGCTCTTGCGTGTCCCTTGCGTGTCTCTGAAAACGCGGAAGCATAAACTGGGCTTACGGGTGACTCACCGAGCGCGGCCACAGCGTACAGACAGTTGACGATGCTGAAGTTGTCGAACTTGGCGCAGTCGTTGACGATGGCGTTGCAGAGCGTGTGGAAGTCCTGGTGCTCCAGGATCTCACGCCCGTCGGGGGCCTCGGTGTCAGGGCCCCCCCCCCCTCCCCGCGCAGGGGGCGAGGCCTGCAGCAGCTGCCCGATCTTCTGCAGGGCAACGGGGTAGTGGTTGTGGGAGATCTTGGCAGGGTTCTGGGCGACCCAGCGCAGCACCTCGTCAGGGCGCCGCGAGCGCTCGATGAGCCTCTTCATGGTGAAGAACGTGTCGTAACTCATCTTCTCGTGGATGAAGTTCCACGTCTTCTTCTTGCCACCGGCCACACTTCCGGCCGGCACTCCGCCTCCATATGTGTGGAAATAGCCGGGGTGCTGATAGTGGGGGGGCGGCAGAGGGGTAGCCTAGGTGCAGGGGTAATGAAAGTCCCCTCCACGGGGGGCGTCAAGGGACCCCCGCCCCTGCGGTAGTGAGGGGGGAGGTGAGGGTGGTGGGAGGTGGAGGCTTCGAGCATTGCAATTCCCGCCCGTCGGCCCTGTTTAACCCCACCTCCTCCGCCTCCTCCCGCAGGGCTGTAGAGGCGGGCATACATGTTGACTGACAGGGAGGTGGGGCGGGGCGCTCGGCTCAGGAGGCGCCGCCCAGTGGACAAACACAGCATAGTCCAACAGCCAGGACGCCCGGAGGAAACAGCACACCACTCCTGTGGGGGGGTCACCGAAATGTGAACACACATGTGAGGATGATTTGATGACGTTCTGTCATCTTTCACAAAAAGATAACGGCAACAAGCTAAACTAACTCAAAACTAGCTAACCGAGTCAACAGGCTAAACTAAGATAAACCAAGACAACAAGGCTACTTTCTATTCAAGTTAAACAATCGAAGGCTAAGACGACTCAGTTAATACAAGCTAACAAATGATACAGGCTGGACTAACTTAGTTAACACAAGCTAACCAAGGCTAAGACTCCACTAAGTTAATACAAGCTAACCAATGCTCCAGGCCTCGCAACCTAAAACAAGCTAACCCTAACTAGCGGTCAGCTCCGATCCGCCACCAGCTGATCTGTTAGCCTGTTAGCTTCAGCGTGTCCTTCGCTCAGCCGTATGAACGCGTCATTAACCGGGTAACAGCTCCGGGTACTCGGTGTTTACCTCATAGCTCGGTCACACTGGCGGCTCTGTGAAACACCTGCGGCCGCAGAGAGGGCGGCTTCACCGGAGAGGCAGTCAGCGGTCAGCCGCTTCATTCCTCCACACAAGCCGCAGACGCCATCCCGGTCTTCTTCTTCTTCGTCTCAATTAGCGGCAGACCTGACGGGGTGTTGCTGCCCCCCACAGGCCCCCTGCGACACGCGTCGCGGTTTAAGTGTCATTAACCCGCGACGCGTGTGCGTGGGGGAACGTGTGAGACACTCCGTGGCAGCAGGTGGCGCTTCACCTGCTCCTCGGCCTTCATTGGACCAGTAGACGCGGGGTAAAGATGGCGGAGCGGAGCGGTTACGGAACCCAAACTTCGCTCTGGACTCGTGCTTAGCGGCTCGTGAGGATGGCTCACCGGTACCTGCGGCTGTCCGCCGGCTGGACGAGCGCCTTGCGGCAGCTGCTGGCCTCCAACGCGCCGGTCCGCCATGTAGGTGACAACATGCTAACATGCTAACGGGGATACGCAGCTGTTTAGTGACACGAGCGTAACGTCACCTGTGTGACGTTTTGCAGTCAGTGACGTAACCTTGATATTAAACCAGCTACGGCTTCAGGGAGGAGAAGGAGACTAGTAATACGAGGAGAAGGAGACAAGGAAAAGGAGTAAGGGGAGACGAGTAGTAGAAGGAGGGGATGACTAGTAGCAAAAGAAGGAGACAAGTAATCGGGAAAGGAGACAAAGGAGACGAGTACTATAAAGGAGGACAAGACGAGTAGTAGTAGTAGTAGGAGGAGGGAGGAGAAGATGAGGAGAAGAAGAAGACATCCATAAACCAGTATTGATCTGGATGGTTGCATGTGTTCTCCTGCTGTTCTTTGGGTTAAACTAATCAATGGCTCTGATTGGCTGTCTGACGTGTGTCAAATGACCTCATCCTGTGTTTTAATAAGGATTATGAGCCGTTGTTTACTGGTGAGATGAAACAGTTGCTCCCAGAGACCCGCAGGTCATTGATCACTGATTTGTGATTGTTATCATTGTTATAACTGAGTCTATTTCCTGTATGTCAGGTGACGTGTTTGGCCATGGGACAGGGGGAGAGGGGGCGGAGCCTCGTGTGTGACCTGCAGGGAGTTTACACGAGGCTGAGCTCTAGACCACCTAAAGGTAGGGGTGTGTGTGTGTGTGTGTGTGTGTGTGTGTGTGTGTGTGTGTGTGTGAGACACACAAAGTACAGTGATGTGTTGTTGTTTTTTTCAGGTTTTGAAAAATATTTTCCAGGAAGTCAGAAAACTCAAAAAAACAGTGACGACGGAGCAACGACCAAAGGTAGAAATTTACACCTCATCGACGCCCGCGTCCCCCCATGTACCCCTTAACTTTGGATTTCCTCAGAGGCTAAACCGGCCAACGCGCAGAGATCCTCCGGGAGGTCAGGAGGAGGATCAGGAGGAGCAGGAGGATCAGGAAAGCGAGGAGGCCGTAAGGAGGAGTCCCACTGGTATAGCCGTCTGCAGAAGGTCAGTATGTGGAGGTGCGACTGTCACCAGAACTCTCACAGTGGTGTGAGGCTCACGTCAGGTGGTGTTTCAGGGAGATGTTCCCTGGGAGGATAAAGACTTCCGGATGTTCCTCCTGAGCGGCGCGGCCTTCTGGACCACCATCACCTACTACTTCTTCTTCAGGGACGGAGGGCGAGAGGTCACCTGGAAGGACTTCCTCAACAACCACCTGTCCAAAGGAGCGGTGAGGAACATCTTACTAAAGATCTCTACTGACCGCTCACCCGCAGCTGTAAAGGCTCTTTTCCTGATACCACCACCCTTCTGTGGTGTAACTGTCTGCGTGGTCCTCCAGGTGGACCGCTTGGAGGTGGTTAACAAGCGCTATGTTAAAGTGGTCTTCTCTCCAGGGAAGACACCGGTGGATGGGGTGAGTTATGCTAAAAATGATGAGACGGATACGTTGATACTTTACTATTTTGTAGGTTTTATTTTAGGCTGATTTCCTCATGTAATGGTTTGGGAGACGTATTGTTCCATAGATCACAGGAACCTAGACGCTCCGGCCTGCTGATGGAAGCAGGATGTTCATCTGTTGGTGTCTTTCAGTATGTGTGGTTCAACATTGGCAGCGTGGACACCTTCGAGAGGAACCTGGAGACTGCTCAGTACGAGCTCGGCATCGAGGGGGAGAACCGAGTGCCGGTGGTGTATTCCACGGAGAGTGATGGGTGAGGAACCTTGCCTTTACCTCACTTCATACCGGGTTCAGACTTTCACCCTCATGCTGTGCTTCCTCCTTAGCACCTTCCTGCTGAGCATGCTCCCCACGGTGCTCATCATCGGCTTCCTGCTCTTCATGCTGCGGCGGGGGCCAGCGGGGGCGGGGCGCCCCGGCCGGGGGATGGGCGGGCTCTTCAGCGTCAGCGAGACCACGGCCAAGATACTGAAGGATGAGATCGACGTGAAGTTCAAAGACGTGGCGGGCTGCGAGGAGGCCAAGCTTGAGATCATGGAGTTTGTCAATTTCCTGAAGAACCCCAAACAGTATGAGGACCTGGGCGCCAAAATCCCCAAGGTGAGGTTTAGATGTCCAAGGACCAAGACCATAGGTTGAGGGTTGAGCTCCTCATGGTTCTTCATCATCTGCGTAGGGAGCCATCTTGACAGGTCCTCCAGGAACAGGAAAGACTCTTCTGGCCAAAGCCACGGCCGGTGAGGCCGACGTACCGTTCATCACCGTCAACGGCTCTGAGTTTCTGGAGATGTTTGTGGGGGTCGGCCCCGCTAGGGTGAGGAACACACACACTGACCCCTACACATACCCACACCGAATCTGCAGTGATTGGCTGCTGGAGATGATTAGTGACCGGAGGTGGAGCTATTGATGAAGCTAGAGTTTATTTAAAAATAACTTGGAAGTTAGCTCAAAGTCAATATGTAAATTTGCTAAAACACAAACAATATTGTAGCTCAGATCAATATCCATCAACGGCGGCGGCGGATTGACCTCAGACCTTGTCCCAACGCCACTTCCTGTGCAGGTCAGAGATCTGTTTGTCATGGCGAGGAAGAACGCTCCCTGCATCCTCTTCATTGACGAGATTGACGCTGTGGGACGGAAGCGAGGGCGAGGGAACTTCGGAGGACAGAGTGAGCAGGAGAACACGCTGAACCAGCTGCTGGTGGAGATGGACGGTGGGTGGAGACAAAGCTGCATTCTCTGTAGCGACCAGCAGGGGGCGACTCCTCTGCTCCCATAGACGTCTATGAGGAAATGACTCTACTTCTCTGTAGTGACCAGCAGGGGGCGACTCCTCTGCTCCCATAGACGTCTATGAGGAAATGACTCTACTTCTCTGTAGTGACCAGCAGGGGGCGACTCCTCTGCTCCCATAGACGTCTATGAGGAAATGACTCTACTTCTCTGTAGTGACCAGCAGGGGGCGACTCCTCTGCTCCCATAGACGTCTATGAGGAAATGACTCTACTTCTCTGTAGTGACCAGCAGGGGGCGACTCCTCTGCTCCCATAGACGTCTATGAGGAAATGACTCTACTTCTCTCTTGATTTATTCCCTCAGTAAACATTGTGCGGGAGCTATTATTTAGTCATTGGATCACTAATAATGCTGTGGGCACCTGGAGGTTACTTAGGAGCGTAGTCAGGTGGGACCAGCATGCACCTGGGTGACAAATGGTTTTTACCAGTGAGACAAAGCGACAGAGGAAGGCAGACAACTTTTAATGTTTGTGTTCTGGTGGATTCTATGAAAAAATAAGAAACAACAAGAAACAATTTTTTACTGCGTGAAAGAAAACATACGAGGTGAAGCCCTTTGATTCAAAGGACAAACGACCACTACACGTTGTAAACATGAGTTTATGGTCTCAGTCTCTAGTTTCAAGTATTATTATACAACATGATGTTCATTTAGTAAATGATGGTCCATTTAGAGTCAAACAGACCATGAAGCAGGGGACGCTTTAGGGCGGGGCTACGCGCTGATTGACAGGTCTCTAATCGACCATGAAGCAGGGGACGCTTTAGGGCGGGGCTACACTCTGGTTGTACACGGCATCTCTACGTCCGCGCAGTCCTGGTTTCCACCCCAAATCATCAGGTTTTAAGATACATGGAACAACAAAGTTTCCTTTTTAACTACAACTACCCGAATGAGCTCTTCCCTAAACTCTTCTCTGCTTCAGGGTTCAACACGGCAACCAACGTTGTGGTTCTAGCAGGAACCAACAGACCTGACATCCTGGACCCGGCTCTGATGAGACCCGGACGCTTTGACCGACAGATCTACATCGGTGAGAAACCGTTCACGGCGACCTTTTGAAGGTCAAGTCCTCCTCTCTAAAAGATGGAAACGCTGTGTTTGTGCCCCAGGTCACCCTGATATCAAAGGTCGAGCCTCCATTTTTAAAGTCCATCTACGCCCTCTGAAGCTGGAGGAGGACTTGGACAAAGACGCTCTGGCCAGGAAGATGGCCGCCCTCACACCTGGATTCTCAGGTAAGCACGCCGCTCATCTTCCCCTTCCTCTAATAGCCGAGCCCTCCATCTCATGGGTTTCCTCTCTGTCTGTCAGGTGCCGACATCGCCAACGTCTGCAACGAGGCGGCTCTGATCGCTGCTCGCCACCTGTCAGACGCCATCGATCAGAAACACTTTGAGCAGGCCATCGAGAGGGTGATAGGAGGTGAGACCTGAGTCCTTGCTCTTCTCCTTCCCCCTCGTCTACCACTCATCATACGGTGTGTTGTGTGAAGTTAAACCAGGTGCCCTATAATCCAGAGGGTGAGGCAGGCGAGATGTCTATAGACCTGGTTCCTCATGGGGAACACGCCTCTGCCGGTGATGGTCCAGAAGGACTCCTTGAGGTGACCATGTCTGTGTTGCAGGTCTGGAGAAGAAGACTCAGGTGCTGCAGCCTGAGGAGAAGAAGACCGTGGCGTACCACGAGGCCGGTCATGCTGTCGCCGGTTGGTTCCTGGAGCACGCCGACCCTCTGCTGAAGGTCACACCTCCTGTTCTTCTCCCTCCTCATGCCTGTTTTGTCAGGACACGTCCCACAGGTGTGACAGAAGATGTTGTTGCCTGTGCAGGTGTCCATCATCCCCAGAGGGAAAGGTCTGGGTTACGCTCAGTACCTCCCCAAAGAGCAGTACCTGTACACCAAGGAGCAGCTGCTGGACCGTATGTGTATGACTCTGGGAGGAAGAGTCTCAGAAGAGATCTTCTTCGGACGCATAACCACGGGAGCTCAGGACGACCTCCGTAAGGTCACGCAGAGCGCCTACGCACAGGTCAGAGGTCGCGCAAAGCGCCTACAAACAGGTCAGAGGTCAATGGGCTGAGGTGTAGAAGTCCGTTGTTCCTCAGAAGGTTCTGATCTGACATGACCCAGGTCTTTCGAAGTGATCTCCATGGTAACTGCTGACTACACATTAAGCAAAGGTGCTTCAAAGCTTCCTTTTGGCTCCGGCAAAGGAAACACTGGACCTTCCAAAGAGATCATGCCGACCCACGATGCCTCGTGACGCTTTATGAAAACAAACAAATGTTTTATACAGTCGTAACGACCGGTGTTCATTTTCTACTTATTGATTTACTGTGTAACGAGTTCATCGTCATTAATAAAACGAATGAATGTACACAAGTCTTTTTACATGATGATGGTTCTTCTCGCTGCAGATTGTACAGTTCGGCATGAACGAGAAGGTGGGTCAGGTCTCCTTCGACCTCCCTCGGCAAGGCGAGATGGTTTTGGAGAAACCGTACAGCGAAGCCACGGCCCGGCTCATCGACACTGAGGTCCGCGTTCTGATCAGCGAGGCCCACCGGAGAACCCACCTCCTGCTGAGTGACAAGAAGCCAGAGGTGGAGAAGGTACCAGAGAGTCAGCTGGATTGTGTGTGAGAAGATTCTGTGTGTGAGAAGCAGGGTTCTATGTCTGGTTTTCACAACTGGTAGAACAATGAGGAATTCCGATCCCCTCCTCTGTCTCCTCCTTTTTCTCCTCCGTCTACTAATTCCTATCCTCCCTCTTCTCCTTGGTAGAACCCTGAGAAGCAGGGTTCTAGGTCTTGAATAACTGAGAACACGCCTCCTTTGGGGTTGTGTGTTCCTGCAGGTTGCGCTGCGCCTCCTAGAGAAAGAGGTTCTGGATAAGAGTGACATGGTGGAGCTGCTGGGGAAGCGTCCGTTCGTGGAGAAGTCAACGTACGAGGACTTTGTGGAGGGAACCGGCGGCCTGGAGGAGGACACAACGCTGCCGGAGGGTCTGAAGGACTGGAACCAGGAGAGGAAGGAAAAGGAGGAGAGCCAGGAGGACCAGGTGGCCCGGCAGATCTCTGGAGGAATGCCTTTCTAGAGCCCGTGGAGGGGTTCTGACGCATCACTCGCACATTTATCTCAAATATCCTCCACTCCATGAATTCTCCTTTCACAGAGCAGTTCTCCTTCTCCGAGGCGGGGAACCCTCTCACAGACCTCCTTGTGGTTCTTGAACCCGGTGAAACATCTGAGTTTAGGTGCTAGATGTGTTCTCTGGTTCCAGTTAGTCCCTGGCTTCTCCACAATAAAGCCCCCAATAGACGGGTGAGGGTGTTCTGTCTTCATCATCAGCGCGGTCACCGTGGTAACTGAATGCTAACATGAAAGCTAATTTGAGCTATCTCTACCAATCAGCCTTTGATGAGTCAGTGATCAGTGTGTGCTGTGGTATGACGTCGTAACAATAATGTGTATCTGTGTTCATTAGTCAATGTTTCATCATTTGAATAAATCAATAATTGATCAACTGTTTTAAACTCAATGAAGGCTTTATTTAAAAAGTTGCGTCGACAGTTTTTATCAAGACAAAGTTTGTGTTCAAGTAACGAGTTAATAAACATTAATTACAGAAAATACACGTGCACTGTAAATGTTTGTCCACAAATCCTGCAGTCTTTTAATCTGAAGCCCCTCAAACCGGAAGTGGCGCTGGACGGAAGTGCAGCTGCGGGTCACAGCGGAGACAAACAGACGTCACAATCAGGACGCGCCGGTGATCTCGGCTCAGCGGGAGATCAGCTGCTGCATGGCGGTCACAGTCTCCACGGTATGGACACTAAAGCGCGTCCCTCTGTCCACGGACCCTGGTGGAGACATGCTAAGCTAATGCTAACAAGCGGCACCGGACGGACCGAAATCAATGAAGCTGATCAGATGCAAAGCTTGTTATCGGGTTTATTGATCGGTAGTATGTCGATAGTGTGATCAGAATATATATGAATCTGATATTATGGATTGATCCATTGGGAGAACTCCAATTTTTATAAATAAAGCTAATTATTATTTAATAATAAATGGCATATATCGATATTACCGTGAACTGAAATCATGATGGATGTCCTTTATTAATTGATTTATTTGTAGACCAAACAATTTATTCATTATAAATGTATTATTAAAAGTCTTATTGTATCTATTATTTTATTATTTATATATATATATATATATATATATATATATATATATATATTGGAGCATGTTCAGGCAAAAGGGAATTTATTTGAAAATATAGCATATATAGAATACAATTTATATAATATGTAAAACATATGTATATGTAGAATATGTATAGAATAAATTACATACAAATTTGAATAATATATATTCCTGAGGCTCCTGACTTTGTTTTGGTCACCTGGTGGTGGCGTCCACAGGTGGTGCCAGCTCTCATCATGGAGAACAAACCAAGAACCTCCACCAAGCTGGGCCTTCCACCCCTCACCCCAAACCAGCAGGAGGCGCTGCAAAAGGTAACACACAGCTGTGTGTGTGATGTGTGTGAGTGAGGTCCGATCCCAGTGTCCCTCTACGCCCCGAACCCTCAATCTCCACCGTGTGTGTGTGTGTGTGTGTGTGTGTGTGTAGGGATGTTGAAGGTGCATAACAAAACAATAAGTTAAATAACAAAACCTAAACTGCATCACAGTCACATGGTAATACAAACAGTACCCGTCCACCCGTGTGTTCTTATTAGCTCACTACATGAGTAGTTTGTGCAGCAGCTCACTCTTTTCTGCAACACTGTCTATGTGTCACTGCAGCATCTGCAGAACATCTGTCCGAGTAGCCATCAGCATCAAAGCCAGTGTTTCCCTATAGGTTTACAGCTTGAGGGTCGGGGGGCTGCCTATGCGGAAGAACCAGGGTGGCACGCACACACAGCGGACAGCAAGGTGGGACTGGGTGGAACTCCCGCTTTCTATCAACTCCTTTTTGTTATTAAAATCGAGTTTGGAGAAATTCTTCAATTCTGTGATATCGGCGAATACCGCCCTCATTTTGACTTACTCTTACAACGAAGCTGGTGTAGTGACGTCAGCTGCGCAAATGTCCAGTAATATCTGGTGGTCCATGTTCGATACGTAACGTAGATGATTACTGGCATATCCTCTTTACGTGCAAAGGCACAGCAGAATACAGGATCGAAGTGCGAATGCGCAACGTAGGTTTTTCGCTTGTCTGCAATGAAGAAACTGTAAAATCACTGCTTATTCTGCCACTTATTTTGTATTTTATTATCCATAACTGCTACATTTGTCATCGTAACGTCTAAACATTTGATATAACTCGGATATAGTATATGTAACAGTAAAAAAATACAAGTTTCTTAAATAAAATGATTTAATAAACATTTTTATGTAGGAATTGCACGTCACTGACTCTGGTTCAAAGCGATATGGTTGTAGAGGGTATCTTACAACTTCAGAGATATTGACTATAAAAGCAATGGAATGATTGGAATCATACAATAATTACATTTCTATCACAGATCAGTAGTCAAATATTTATTTATTTTGACTATTTTTGTTCTTCGCTGCACGGCGTGCCATGCGGGACTCACACCAGCAGCATGGAGGAGGCGTTAGCTCTCATTAGCATTAGCGCCTCAAACGGCTCACTTTGAGCCATTAATAATGATCCTTATTATTATAATTATTAATATTTTGACCTATGTCATCTTTAAATCAGATCATCTCGATGATTCATTTAACCGGATCATAACGGTCTCAATTGTCAAGCTAACGTTAGCGAGGCTAGCTTGTAGGATACATTATCTCATCTGTGAAAAGTCCACGCAACCTTCTTCCATCATACCACTGTCACCATCGGTGGTTTTTCAAATACGTTTCAAGATTTTTAAATATCGTAATGCACCTTCCTCCAGACATCTAGTCTTTTATCCCGGAGCTTTTCAATTCCACCTTTAAAAGATGAACGTTTCGGTACTGGTGCCGTGCTCTCTGCGAGCGGGTGTTGAATGGACTAATTGACATTCACCGAAATCAAAGAGTAAAAAAGGAAACCATGAGTGTGAATACAAGACGGAGGAGAATAAATGTCAGTCAGTGATTATTAACTTTGGATTAGATTCAGAGTAATATTGCTGGTCCAATATTGGATCGGCAAAGACCCTGTCTGCCCCCCAGGGACTTCCCTGGTATCCTCTATGGCCAGTTTACCCCTACGTGTGTACACCTGTGTCTCTACGTGTGTGTCAGTGTGTAATGTGTCTGTGTGTGTGTGTGTGTGTGTGTGTGTGTGTGTGTGTGTGTGTGTGTGTGTACTTACGGTGGTCTGTGATTGGTTGTTCTCTGTCTGCAGGCTAAGAAGTACTGCATGGAGCAGAGCATCAACAGTGTCCTCATCAAACAGACTCAGAAGCTCAGCAGCCTGCAGGTAGACAAGATGTCCATCATGCTGTAACCATGACAACAGCATTCAAACTGAGACCTGAGCTGTCTGACTCTCTCTGTCTGTCTTCCAGATGGCGTCTCTGTCCATGGGCCTGGGTGATGCTCTGTCTCCTCTACAATCGGTAAGTAATGCTTTTGTGAGGCGGTAGAGCCTACATTTCCCACAATGCATCTGGCCCAAGACCCCAGTTTCTGCATCAATGTGTTGGTATACTTTTGCAATTATGGAATGCCGTTTTAGTCTAAATTAAATGAATGAATAAATACATAAATACCTGAAATAAATAAATGAGGCAATAAATACATAAATATTAAATATATTTAATTATTTCATGGTACTTTTATTTCATAATGCCACTTTTCATTTCATGGTACTTTTATTTCATAATGCCACTTTTCATTTCATGGTACTTTTATTTCATAATGCCACTTTTCATTTCATGGTACTTTTATTTCATAATGCCACTTTTCATTTCCAGAGTCTTTTATTTCATAATGCTTCGAGGTAGTATGCTAGCATTAGAAGATCAAATCGATCAACATGGCTGACAAGCAGCAGCTGGGCGTTGTTGGTTTCCTTCAGCCATGCTGTGGCTCTGGTTGTGGTGTTTCTAGTTTCCTGTTTAACCTGTGACCTTCTGTTGGTGTTCAGGTAGCAGCTCAGCGTCAGAGAGCTCTGGCTATCATGTGTCGAGTTTACGTGGGCTCCATCTACTACGAGCTGGGTGAGGACACCATCAGACAGGCCTTTGCTCCCTTCGGACCCATCAAGAGCATCGACATGTCGTGGGACTCTGTTACCATGAAACACAAGGTCGGACTGCCACATTCTCTCATCCCTCATTTTCTGTCCTCTTCCTGTCCCTGTGGTTCTTGGGCTGGATGTTGGTGGTGGCAGCAAGGAGTTCCAGGTCAGAGGAGACGTATAATCCCTCAAGCCTGTTCAGATCCTGATCCGACCGACTCGGCTGACCCCTTGTTCATAATTATTAGATTAGAAGCTCTTTCTCGGGCTCAAGGATAACTTGACCTGACTAGCTTTACTAGATACATGGATACATGGAATTTGAACTCTGAAACAAGATTCTTAGAACCCATTCAGAGGAGGATCAACCTGAATGGAAAGGAACAACTTCCTAAAGGCGCCCTTTAATGTGGTACAGTTGTCCCAGAACGGTCTGGTAGTGCAGCCTGACGTGGTCTTCTGAGGCAGTAGAGTTGAACCACTCCAGCTGGTGTGGAGTCTTTCTCACTTAATGTCAGCTATGATCGGCTCCAGCTCCCACACAGTTGTATCCGTGGTGACTCTGGGTACGCAAGGCCAGGCCTTTTATTTGTATAGCACATTTCAACAACAAGGCAATTAAAAGTGGTTCACATAAAACCATAAAGCAGGAGATTTACAAACGGTGAAGAACATTGATTGAAACATAAAGGATAAACAGTCATTAAACAGATTTAAATCAACATTTATTGCTAAAATATGTTTGACATACGAGGAATTTGACACTACATCACATGGTGGTTGGTGCATAACATTGGACAGTAAGACAATGAGACAACAAGACAAATTCAATTTACAAATTGGCAATTCAACTCTATAAAATAGAAGGCCACGTGTTAGGGGGATATAGAATAAAAGTTTAGAAGAAAAGAGAAAAATAAAATTCAATTTAAAATAAAGTGCACAGGCAAACAGAACCACACCGTGTGTTGAGTGTATGTGAACGTGTGAATAGAGTGAAAAGGGGGTTTACGTTTAAACACTAAAACTAAAGTGAACTTTGGAGTGCAGTTAAAGTACCAAAATGCAGAAATCAAGTCTTTAATCTAGATTTAAACGAGCTGAAGGACTCTGCAGACCAGCAGATTTCTGGGACTTGGTTTCCAGATATGTGGAGCAAAGAAAGCTGCTCATCAGGAATGTTACAGGCTTCCTCCGGCTTGCTCTGCTGGAGCGCCGCGTCGAGGAGCTATGAGCCCTTTTCTTCATTGAAGCTCGAGTAAATCGTTCTAATGTTTGTCTGCAGGGTTTTGCCTTCGTAGAGTACGAGATGCCCGAAGCAGCTCAGCTAGCTCTGGAACAGATGAACTCCATCGTCTTGGGAGGCAGAAGCATCAAGGTCAGTGCAGTTTAAACCAGATATCAGTATAAAACATCTCCTACCTACTGACCAGTAGGTTGTTCATCATCACACGTCTTTTTGCCTGCTGTTTGTCCTGCAGGTTGGGAGGCCCAGTAACATCGGCCAGGCTCAGCCAATCATCGACCAGCTGGCAGAGGAGGCACGGGCCTTTAACAGAATCTATGTGGCGTCGGTTCACCCCGACCTCTCCCACGACGATATCAAGAGCGTCTTTGAGGCCTTCGGAAGGATCAAGTCCTGCACGTTGGTCCGAGAGCCAGTCAGCGGACGGCACAAAGGCTTTGGCTTTGTCGGTGAGCTTCAATAACAACAAGGCTAATGCTGCAGGAACCAAAGATGCATCAGAGATATACGGGATATATACCAGAGATAGACTATAGATGTACCAAATATGATCAGAGATACCAGAGACAGAACGTAAATATATCACATATATACTGTATATAATACTTATACCAGACGTATATCAGAGATGGACCAGATATACAAGATATTTACAAGATACATATCTGAAATATCATTCAATTCATTTTATTTTGTACAGCCCAAATCTATCTAAACTTTTTATATCTTTGTAATCATATGCAAGATTTTCAGTAATGCATGTATACGTTTTCAACAATATATATATATATATATATATATATATATACAACCTTTTCATATGTGCACGCATGAGTGTTTCAGATACGTATAAATGTTTCACATGTAAACATATACAAGAGATCTAACAAATATAAGCATTGATATGCTATGGAGATATTTACACTCTCTGGGTTTTGGGACAAAACAACATGTCAAAGGTTTAGAAGGTATGATGTGTATGTAATGAATAGAGGCACCTGACGGGACGTAGTGGAGGCGACGTCCTGTTCTCCACTGGAGCTAACACGCTAATGGTTGTGATGGTTCCAGAGTACGATAGGGCTCAGTCTGCTCTGGACGCCGTTTCCTCCATGAACCTTTTTGACCTGGGGGGCCAGTACCTCAGGGTGGGGAAAGCCGTGACTCCTCCCATACCTCTTTTCACACCGACCGCTACTGGAGGACTCCTTCCCCCAGCCGCCGCCATGGCCGCCGCCGCCAAGATCAATGCTCAGGTAGCTCAAGAAGCTCCGCCCACAAATAATAATAAATACATTATATTTACAACGCAATCTTCATCAACAGAGCCAGCAAAACATAGTAAACAAGTAAAAGCGAGTAAAAAACACCTCCTGAATAAGTCCAGTGATCCATTTGTGCGGCGCTGCTGAGCAGACGGCCCGGTCGCCAAGGCGCGGAGGCTTACAGATTTTCGTAAGCCACTCTGAGGGTGCGGGAGAAGATCCTGTTCCTCACACACAGATTCCAGGTCCAAGTTCCCGATTATTAGTTTTGACACCTTATAATACACAACTGTATGTGCATCGCTTCCTGATCTGTGCTTCTTGATTAATGGTAAAAAACGTGTGATCTCCCCGTCACCCGTCCATCATTACCTGTGTCAAATGCACCCCCCTGTCGCACTGTTACACACCCACACCATATGGTACACAGACATCACAAGAAGTACCGTAGTATGACATGAAGTACTGTTATATGACATGAACTTTGGAATTCTTTACTTTATTAATGTGTATAGGATATCCCACTTATTATTCACAGTACCTTCTTAAGTATTTATACACCTGATCTTATTTGTTTACTCACTGTTTGATATATTTTACGCAGTAATTATTCAATGTAGGTGTATTTTATTTATTAATATATGTTGTTCTGTGGTGCGTTCAGGAGTCGGTTGGAGCGTCAGTGCTCAAAGCTCTGGCTGGACCAGCTCTTCTCTCTCAGCAGCTGGGAGGACTTCCTCAGGCCGCCATGGCTGTTCCGGCTCCGGGTGTCACCACAGGTAGAACGCCTACAGTCCCGCCCACAGACATTTAAATCCCGCCTCCACTGCTGTCAGTCCATCTCATGGTCAGCTGCCTTCCCCCCAAAAAGTTACTTGTCTTAAAATCGTAAAAAGTATTGAATCCAGCTGGAGGCTCAGGAGGCCTCATGCTCTTTGGTTCGTGGACGTTCCTGTTGTTGGATGGTCAAATACTGCATTCTGCAGGAGGTGGAGTTAATAACAGCTTTTCCCTGGAGAGGGAGGTAAAACCAGTGCTCCCACCATCTGCAGCAGTCTGGGACCAGCGCCGCCCGTCTGACCATCCTGTCCACGTGCTTTCTGTCTGCTTCAGATGGAACCCTGGCTCGACCCGGCCTTTCTCAGGTGGGTTTGGTGAACCCGGTGCTGGCCACGCCCCCGGGCCCGGTGCCCTCTGTTGGCTCTGAGGTGAAGGAGGAGGAGCAGAGGGGCGGAGCCATGGAGCCGCTCAGCGAGCAGGAGCACGGGGTGATGAGGAAAGCTATCCGCCAGCAGGAGGTACGGGTGGGAAAGGCACTACATGGAGGGTGGATCATGCAGTCCCTGTGTTGTTAAGGTTTCTCTGGTCCCCTTTAGTCCACCGTGATGGTCCTGAGGAACATGGTCGGACCCGAAGACATCGATGACGACCTTGAGGCTGAGGTCACCGAGGAGTGCGGTAAATTCGGGCGGGTGAGGCGCGTTGTCGTTTACCGTGAGCGGCAGGGCGAGGAGGACGACGCCGACGTCATCGTCAAGATCTTCGTGGAGTTTTCAGAGGCGGCTGAGATGAGCCGAGCCGCCCGGGCACTGAACCGACGGTGGTACGCAGGACGGCAGGTGGTCGCCGAGGAGTATGAAAGGGAGGGGTTCAACCGGGGCGACCTGACGGCGTAGAACACACACACAGCAAATAGACTGTATTCAAAGGGAAGCCAGCGTCCTGGGTGGCCCCCTGCTGGCATTCACACACATGATCTCACTAGGAGGACGCCAGTGGGATCCTGTTTCACCACAATGGAACACAAACAACACACTGACAGAACAAAAAGGACTCAGACCTGAAAACGACCATCAAATCGTATCAATCAAAGAATTGATAAGTTATTGTGAATCCTTCTAAAATGATTAAACGTCTCACACCAGGATGACGGACGTGATTGACCTGAGACATCTGGGTGTGATTATTGACGTGGTGATTGACAGTGAGTGAACTCGTCATTGGAAATGAAGACTTGTATTCTACGAGATCTTTAGGTGAGCTGACTACGTGCTAACATAGCAGCTAGGTGGGCCAGCTAACGAACTGTGATCCTGCGTTCCTGAACGCAACGCTCAGTCATCCAAACGCGACTATTTGGAGGTTGACTGTGTTCAGTGTTCAAGTTTTATCCAGCGGAAGCTGAAGCATTTTGATCAGCTCTGTTCTGTCGTTCATCACTTTATAGTTACTGTGTTCTTAGCTCCTTGCTCCTCTTTAATAACATTCAGTGTAATAATCCGCCCCCTGTAGAGTGCAGCTGGGGGTCACTGCTGCTGTTAAGGACGCTTGTAAAGGACACATGATTCACTCATGAAAACACGCACTGGAATGCAGTGAAAGCTGAAGCTCCAGCCTATCAGGGTGTGCAGCTCCAAGGTACCAAACAGCATAAGGGAGCTGATTCCTCATCCTCTGCAATGCACAAACAATCTGACTAAAGATCACTGACAGGTGGAATGAAGCAGCAAGGAGGTCATCTGGACCACGAGACCGTCTCATGTCACATCTGCCTGGATCTCCTGAAGAATCTGGTGGCTATTCCCTGTGGACCAAGCGACTGCATGAGCTGTATTCAGGGCTTCTAGGATGAAGATGGTGGGAAGAAGCTCCCCAGCTTCCCCAAGTTTAGGCAGACCTTCACCCCCAGGCCTGTCCTGGTGAAGAGCACCATGTTAGCAGATCTGTTGAAGCAGCTGATGAAGACTGGACACCAAGCTGCCTCTGCTGATCTCTGCTATGCTGGACCTGAAGACGTGGGCTGTGATTTCTGCACTGGCAGGAAGCTGAAAGCCATCAAGTTCTGTCTGGTGTGTTTGGCTTCTTACTGTGAGAAACACCTTCAGCCTCATTACGAGGTGGCTCCATTAAAGAAACACAAGCTGGTGGACCCCTCCAAGAAGCTCCTGGAGAACGTCTGCTCTTGTCATGATGAGGTGATGAAGTCAGCAGAAAGGACTGAGAGGCGGAGAGAGCTGAGCTGAACGTGAGACGACTCATCCAGGACGGAGAGAAGCAGCAGGTCAGATCCCAGCACAGAGCTGCAGTGAGTCCAGTCAAAGATCTTTAGGAGAAGCTGGAGCAGGAGATCTGGGGGCTGAAGAGGAGCGACGTTGAGAGGAGACCAGAGCTGAATTCTTACAGTATTCATGTGTAGTCATACTGGATCCAAACACTGTTATTATCTGAGGGGAACAGAAGAGTCACATTAATGAGTCTGACTGGTCGTTGTTTCACGTCTGCTTCATTCGTGGTTCAAAGTTGTCTAAGAAGGTTGGTTGCTTTATTTATGTATCACACACTTTATTGCCCCGTGCATCCACACTGCTGCTTTTCATCAAGGACACATTTGTCCCGTATTTTCCTCCACGACTTTGTTCCCTCGTTTGTGTAGATCTCCCTCCATGAATCAGAGGCCATCCGGCGTCCTCATAGTCCGCCAATGACGGCTTGTACAAGCGCTCATATTTAAAAGCTCTTCAGTCTGATCCGTTCTCTCGTAAACGTTCTTCCTTTTAATAACGGCCGTATTGTGCTGTGAAAACGGAGACGTGAGACTCCGTAAAGGACGTAGTCAGAGACCAATCACAGCCTGCTGCTGCAGGAGGCTGCGTCGCTCTGAAAACGCAGAAGCATGAACTAGGCTTAACGTGGAGGTGGAGGAGGTGGTGTAACGTCACAGGAATATCAGCAGACTAGGGTGGTCACATGAATGTGGATTTGCGCTCGGTGACAAATCTTGGGTGTTATATTTTCATGGTGACATCTGTGTCTCAGGTCCCCTGTCCTCCACAGGAGTGTATGTGGACCACAGAGCAGGTGTTCTGTCCTAAGTGCATATCAGCTTCTCTATGGTCACATTAGTACGCTGCTCAAAACAATAAAAGAAACACTTTGAAAACACATCCCATCTCAATGTGTAACAAATGGTGGCAACTGTTACCAGAGAAGTTTCAGTGTCGGGAGAAGTTTACACAAAGGAGTAATGAGTGTTACAGGAAGCGCGTTTAATTGTGAAGGCACGGACCGGATGAGCGCATACGGCGGCTCGCTTGGCCCAATCCGTGCCACTCCGCCGCTCCTGCTGACGATGGGAGACGTTCTCTGTGAAGAGCTCGAGGATATAGTTCACTTCTCGGTGCACGACCTACCGACACGAGGTTATGTCGTCATGGAGGAGATCCGACGTCAGGGTAAACTCTGTGACGTCACGCTCAAGGTACTGCCGACGACGCTCGAGGCCGGGATTAGCCTGCTGGCTAGCTAATAGCATGTCAGCTAACAGTAACAGTGTAATGTTAGATGTTAATAAAAATGCTAAAAGCGGATTATTAAAATAAGCCAACAGGCAGTACTGACAGGTTGGTGACGTCAGAGGCTACTAGCTCAGCTAACCTTTGAACCGCAGCTGCAGGTTGATCGTGTTGTCATGGTGATCACAGAGCAGAGGGCTGCAAGTGTTTCCGGTATTTTAAAATGCCCAGAGTGGGTACTAGTTTCTGTCACTACACTGCAGCGGAGGGATATTGTACCAAATGTTACTGTATTCAAATCCTTTACTGCAGTACAAGTACATGTTGTACTGCTATAGTAAAAGTATGCAAGCATTATTAGAAAATGTATTATTTAAAGGAGACAACACTGTAAAGGTGAATATATTAGTTCATATAGAACATCACACTACAACAAAATAGTATATAATATATAAGGAGACTACAGGTGAGAATAACCCTTGTCGCCGGCAGGTCGGAGGTCATAAATTCAGCGCTCACCGGATTGTGCTGGCAGCCTCCATCCCGTACTTCCACGCCATGTTCACCATGGACATGGTGGAGTGTAAACAAGACGAGATCCTGATGCAGGGCATGGACCCCAGGTAACCAAAAACCAGTACCGTGTCTCCCACAGCAGCTTCACCAGTCTAACCAGTCCCTGTCCTCCTCACAGTGCCCTGGAGGCTCTGATCAACTTTGCCTACAGCGGCCATGTTGCCATCGACCAGCAGAACGTCCAGTCCCTGCTGATGGGCTCCAGCTTCCTGCAGCTGCAGAGCGTTAAAGACGCCTGCTGCTCCTTCCTGCAGGAGAGGTGGGTGACGCCACCATATCGCCCAGTACGCTCCCACTCCTCCCAGCACCACAAGTTGGGTCAGTTAGAACTATCCAAAATGCCCTGTGAAGCATGAGGGGTAGTTCAGTCCAGACTACCTGGTGCATTCATTCAGAAAACAACATTTCCTTAAGAAATCGTTACTAATCTGAATTAACCCGTCCGTCTCTTCTCTGTCTTCCTGTCTGCTGGTCCTTGGTGCTTAGATTACACCCTAAGAACTGTCTGGGGGTGAGACAGTTTGCAGAGACCATGATGTGCACCACTCTCTATGACTCGGCCAACAGTTTCCTCCATCAGCGCTTTGTGGAGGTGTCTGTGTCCGACGAGTTTCTGGGTCTGAGGACTGAGGAGCTGCTGGAGCTAGTTGGCTGTGATGAACTCAACATCAAAGCAGAGGAGCAGGTGAGACACCAGAAGCAGGTAGAAACGTGTGCAATGTCCACTACTTATTGGGTTGTACCCGTGCAGGTGTTTGAGGCAGTGCTGGCCTGGGTACATCAGGACAAGGATCTGAGGGAAGCGGTGCTGCCGGAGCTTTTGTCAAAGATCAGACTTCCTCTGTGTCGACCTCAGTTCCTGACGGACCGAGTGCAGCAGGAGGAGTTAGTGCGCTGCTGCCATAAATGCAGGTGAGCCGTTTGCTACTATTTAAGTAATATGTTGCTAATGCCTGAAATTGAGGTTTGTGGGACGTTTTATAAAACCTTAAAAAGAAAACCAGGGGTTTACTTGTAACATGGCTCTTTGAGTCTTGAGTCTCAAATCTGATTCTTGGTTCTTGACTCAGAGTCTTGATTCTGAGTCTTCGCTCTGAGTCAGGACTCTGCTATGCTTCCTGTTCCTTCTCAGAGATCTGGTGGATGAAGCAAAAGATTTCCACCTGATGCCAGAACGTCGTCCTCACCTGGCCGTCTTCAAGACCAGACCGAGATGCTGCACGTCCATCACGGGACTCATCTACGCTGTGGGAGGACTCAACAGCTCAGGTACACACATCACCTGTCTTCGCAAACTCAGACACATTTATTTGCCAAGTATGTTGGACATACAAGGAATTCGTCATGGGTGCAAACGTGGCATTGAAGAAAAGAGAATATTTTTACAATTAAATTACATCACACGTCATTTAGCTGACGCTTTTATCCAAAGCGACTTACAATAAGAACATTTCAACCATAAGGACACAAACTCAGAAGAACAAGAAACAAGAAAGTGCGATTTCCTCAAATAAGCCAAATTACAACTCGCTGTAGATAAGAACCATTATAAGTCCAATGTAAGTGCTACAGTTAGTTAGTGTGTTAGTGGAGGTAGAGTCTGAAGAGGTGTGTCTTTAGTCTGAAGATGTGAAGGCTCTCTGTGGTCCTGGTGTCTTCAGAGACCTCCTTCCACCATTTAGGAGCAGGACAGCAAAGAGTGGAGATCTAGTCGAGTGTTTTGCTCTCAGTGAGGAGGAACAAGCAGTTTATCACATGCAGAGCAGAGAGTGCGGGTCGGGATGTCGGGTTGGACCAGGTCCTGGATGTAAGCTGGACCCCATCCATTCACAGCATGGTACGTGAGCACCATGTTTAGAACTGGATGAGCCACCGGTACCAGTGAAGAGAGCGGAGGAGTGGAGGAGTGTGGGAGAACTTAGGAAGGTTAAAGACCAGTGGAGCTGCTGCATTCTGGATGAGCTGCAGAGGTGGAATGGTGGTAGCAGGAGACCTGCGGGAGAGAGTACAGGAGTCCAGGAGGGAGACAAGAGCCTGAATCAGTACCTTCTGAGTGAGAAGAGGACGTATCGACGGGGTTGTCGTGGCGCAGGGGTTAGAGAAGGTGTGCTGGGAAGCACAAGGTTGGTGGTTCGAGTCCAGGCTGCCCCATGTCAAAGTGTCCCTGAGCAAGACACCTAACCCCTAATTGCTCCCCGGGCAGAAATGTGAAATAGCCACGGGTTTAAAGTGTAATGCAAGTCGCTTTGGTTAAAAGCGTCTGCTAAATGACCTGTAATGTATGTAATGTGTTCTCCTGATGTTGTAGAGCGAGTATCTACAGGATGGTGTTGTCAGTGAGGGCGATAGAGGTGAAGTCAGTGGGATGCAAGACGTAGGAGGTGGGTTTGAGAAGGAGGAGCATATGTCAGCTATTTTCTTGGTAAAGTAGTTGGCAAAGTCTCCTAGAGAAGAAGGGAGGAGGTTGGAGAAGATAGAAAAGAGTTTCTTGGGGTCAGAAAATGAAGATTGGATTCTGATTGGTAGAAAGAGCTTTTGGCAGCAGAGACAGAAGCAGAAAAAGGAGAGAAGAGATTGAAACTCAAGCAGGTCATCAGGTTGTTTATATTTACACCGTCTCCTCTCCGATGCTCGCATGGCGGCTCTCATGGCACCGGATCAGACCGACACGGAGCCGCAGGGGATTTACTGACCCGTCGGGTCATAAGAGGACAGAGAGGAGAGTCTCTGCAGCAGCGTCAGAGGAGTGAGAAGGAGTCAGTGGAAGGGAGAGCTGATAGAACAGAGGAGGAGAGAGGGAGCGAACAGGCACAGAGTCAGTGAAGTTGGACAGGAGAATGTCCAGTTCTTCCAAGAAATGAGCCAAGGAGCCTGGCGGACGGTAAAGGACAACAATGGTTAATTGTACCGTGTGACGAGTTGCACATGAGTGGAGCGGGTGGGATCGGTGAGAGAGCGGATCTGGCCCGAGGCCTGTAGTATCTGCGGGAAGCGGTTCGGACAGGTACAGGGGTCAAACACATAATTAAAACTAGAAGAAGGCGCCGCATTCAGCCGCCCAGAAGACTCCACGAAAGACTCCTTAGTCTTTGTCCTGCTCGTCTTGACTCCACGAAAGACTCCCTAGTCTTTGTCCTGCTCGTCTTGACTCCACGAAAGACTCCTTAGTCTTTGTCCTGCTCGTCTTCATGCTGTGAGGATACGCTTCCCTCGATCTGTAGTTAAATACTCCCTCGTTAGTGGAAGTCGGCTACAGCTGCGCTGACCACTCCCCCGTCGTTTAGGGGACAAAAGGTCGATCGGCCTCGACAGAAACTCCTCAAAATGCAAAACACCAATTAACTAGAATATAGAAGAATATAAATTACGAATAAAAAATAAAAAGGAAATTTAAAAAAGAAAGTGCACAGGGAAACTGATAACAATACTATACACAGGTGTATTTAAAGTGACCAAGTGTGTTTTAAATCGAGTCAGTCAGTGGGGGACCGGGTCTGTCAATGAACCTGACGGCCGACGGGAAGAAGCTGTTGGTGTGGCGGGAGGTCTTAGTCCTGATGGACCTCAGCCTCCTGCCAGATGGAAGGGGCACAAACAGGTTTTGTCCGGGGTGAGAGGGGTCGGCTACCATCTTTTTAGCTGCTTCAGGGTCCTGGAAGCGAACAAGTCCTGCAGGGACGGCAGATTGCAGCCGATCAGCCTCTCTGCAGAGCGGAGGACACGCAAGGTCACCAGACGGTGATGGAGGAGCAGAGGATGGACTCGATGATGGCCGTGTAGAAGTGCACCATCATCGTCTTTGGCAGGTTGAGTTTCCTCAGCTGCCTCAGGAAGAACAACCTCTGCTGAGCCTTCTTGGTGATAGAGCTGATGTTCAGCTCCCACTTGAGGTCCTGGGTGATGATGGAACCCAAAAAGCAGAAGGAATCCACAATAGTGACGGGGGAGTCACACAGGGTGATGGGGGAGGGTGGGGCTCTGTTCCTCCGGAAATCCACAACCATCTCCACTGTCTTCAGAGTGTTGAGCTCCAGGTTGTTCTGGCTGCACCACGACACCAGATGGTCAGACTCCACCTGTAGGCAGACTCGTCCCCACCAGAGATCAGTCCAATGAGGGTGGTGTCATCCACAAACTTCAGGAGCTTGACGGACTGGTGACTGGAGGTGCAGCTGTTGGTGTACAGGGAGAAGAGCAGAGGGGAAAGAACGCAGCCTTGGGGGGAACCGGTGCTGATGGTCTGGGAGGCTGAGACATGTTTCCCCAGCTTCACGTGCTGCTTCCTGTCAGACAGGAAGTCTGTGATCCACTTGCAGGTGGAGTCGGGCGGTGCAGATGGGAGAGTTTGTCCTGCAGCAGAGACGGGATGATGGTGTTGAAGGCAGAGCTGAAGTCCACAAACAGGATCTTGGCGTAGGTTCCTGGGGAGTCCAGATGCTGGAGGATGTAGTGGAGGGCCATGTTGGCAGCATCGTCCACAGACCTGTTGGCTCTGTAGGCGAACTGCAGGGGGTCCAGGAGTGGGTCAGTGAGGGACTTCAGGTGGGTCAGGACTAGCCGTTCAAAAGACTTCATGACTACAGAGGTCAGGGCGATGGGCCTGTAGTCATTGAGTCCTGTGATCCTGGGCTTCTTTGGAACAGGGATGATGGTGGAGGCCTTGAAGCAGGCTGGTACGTGGCATGTCTCCAGGGAGGTGTTGAAGATGTCAGTGAACACCGGAGACAGCTGGTCAGCACAATGCTCCAAGGTGTGAGGGGAAACGGTGTCCGGGCCGGCTGCCTTACGGGGATTTTGTATTTTAAAGAGCCGGTTAACGTCTCTCTCCAGAATAGAGAGGGTCGTTGAATGAAGAGTGTAAAAGATGTACGATATGGTCAAGTCCTCCGACAGAATCAGGGGTATTTAATTCATTGAGGTCCATCTAGAGATAACTTGCTCATCAAAGGTCATCACAGCAATGTCTGACTTATGCTATGATTTTATATGGATTATAGTTGTATTAACATCTGTATGTTGCCTACAATTGATGGTCAAATCATCTAAATCTAAAAATAGGAAAAGTTTGTCCTCTCTATCACTTCCTCTCCCTGTCTCTCTCTCTCGCTAATATGTGCCCATGGGAAACACTGAATACAATCAATAGAAATCCAGACCAACGCGTGGAGGTGATGTTAATCTGCCTTAAGTGTGTGAATGAACTGGTTATAACGTATTGTAAAGTAGCGTTGACCAATGACGGTTAGCGCTGCGACGCTGCACATCGGCGCCCTTTGTGATCTTGGATGACTCGATTAGTCTAAAGCTGACAGACATATTTTTCTTTATAGGTGACTCGTTAAACGTGGTTGAAATGTTTGATCCTGTCGGGAACTTCTGGGAGCGCTGTCAGCCAATGAGAACAGCTCGCAGCAGAGTGGGCGTGGCTGTCGTTAACGGGCTACTGTACGCTATTGGTGGATACGACGGCCAATCACGTCTAAGCACGGTGGAGGTTTACAACCCGGAGACGGACAGTTGGACACGTGTTTCAAGCATGAACAGCCAGCGCAGGTTAATACTCGGATCAATACACACAACTATACACAAATCAATACTCGGATCAATACACACAACTATACACAAATCAATACTCGGATCAATACACACAACTATACACAAATCAATACTCGGATCAATACACACAACTATACACAAATCAATACTCGGATCAATACACACAACTATACACAAATCAATACACACAACTATACACAAATCAATACTCTGATCAATACACACAACTATACACAAATCAATACTCGGATCATTGCACACAACTATACACAAATCAATGCTCTGATCAACTACACACAACTATACACATATCAATACTCGGATCATGTACA